TAATCAGGTTTTTATTAAAAATTTTTACTGATAAAAAATTTTATAATATATGATATGTTAGCATTCTTTAAAATTTATAATAAAATATTATTAGAATAAAACTACTAAAGGCAGATATTGTAAAGATAGAGTCCTTGTATATTTTAAGACATTAACTGTATTATGTATAAATGTTATTTTATTTGATAATAAAGATATTTTTCAAGTCAAGTCGAAACCTTAAGAAAATTTTTGTTTCAGTGTAATTTTCATTTTATTATAATTATTAATATTATTCATATTATTAGTCAAATACGGTGTCAGGCTGTAGTTTTATATATGAATTTTCCATTTTCACATAGAAAAAGAACAATTTTTATTTTCTATTTAAAAAAAGGCTGTCGCAAATTTGTCAATAATTACGTATATTTTCATGTTTCTTTACATTTGACGAGTTGCACCTGGCCGTAAATACCGTTTTTGATAAACAAAAAATATAATTATTGACCTTTTATAAAAGTAAATATTACGCGCATTGTAAGTTGAGAGAAATAAATATTAGGCTGAATAAGAATAATTAAAAACGAAAAATACTGTAATAATAAGTTTCGCATTTTTAATTTTGCTTTCATAGAGGGTTATGTTATATGTCAAAAATTTGTCAATTATTGATTATGATAAAATGAAATTCGAAAAACTTATCATTCGGTTTACTATTTTTCGGTAAAATGTAGTTTAGAAAACAAATGATTATAAATTATTTTTACGGCGCCTTACAATTTGTAGTATTGAAAATTAGGGCATGTTACGGAACGGCATAGAAATAAAGGTTTAAAAGGAAACTAAAAGTTCGTCACCAAAATTTCTAATTGATTTTTGCAACATATAAATAAATTATTATAAAGAATTTAAAAAAATTTTAAGAAAAATCAAGAACTTAACCTCAAAATTCAGAAAATTAATTCTATATATCCTTTTATATTGTATTCTATTCTTCGAGCGCGGCTAAATAAATAAACATTCGTTTATTTATCGAACTTACGCACATACAATGAGAATCCTTAACGATATACACATTAATACAAAAAAATTCACATAAAAGAATAATTAAAATTATATTAATAATTACAAAATCATAACCACAAGGTTTAAAAATTAACAAGGGTTAGAAAACAAAATTGTAAAGATTTAGTTTCAATTGTTATACATTTCAATGAATATTAATTTTAAATAAAACAGTATATTCACGAAACGGATTTTAGTGAACCAAATATTAATTCCGAGGATTTATACTGTTATAGGAAATCACTGAGACTTGGACATGCTACAAATCTTAAGTTCGAACCTTTAACAATAGAGAATTATACAGTGTTAAGAGAGCGCGTTTTCAGTCCGTAAGACTCGTTGAAATCCTAAGTTCGAACCTTAAGGAATTATTATTGCAAGAAAACTTGCAAAAAGTTCAAGGTGGAGGGAAAATTTTGGATCTTTGTCCATACCCTAAATAAACTCAAAACAATCCTCTTAAATTGAGATTATTTCCTTTTGATACCATATTGCAGAAAAGTTGCATATCAACATAAGAGGAATTCTCAAAAAAAGACGAAAATTTTTTTGTCTGTGAATGGGAAAATTAAAAAACTGCTTTAAATTTTTATAACCAATATGGTGTCAAACTAAAAAAAAAAATTAACCAACATAACACTACTATAGCTAATTATGTAAATGACAATTTAATGGCAACATAACATGTACAGAGTCAGTTACATATATATTTATATATATATATATATATATATATATATATATATATATATATATAGTTTTCGAATTTTTTTTTTTCCTCCTTTAACCGCATTCTCGCTGATGTTTATCATTATACGTTTCTAAAGACAATAAATTTCACAGCTTCCTTTTTTTATAGATACATATTTATAAACATTACAGAACATATAGCTTATAAAACACGAATAACTTCTATATTATCATCATTGATAAAACTTTCAAAGAGAACATTATTATACAATCTCGATCTACTATGTATATTGTTTTTAATTATATATCAATAAAATAATTTTGTTAAATTAGAAAAATTTTTTTCTTTAGAAAATTTTAGTTCTTTTTTTTAATTTTATTTGTTTTTATTTAACTTTTTTAATTTTAATATTTTCCTATTCTTATTACATAATTTTTTTCTTTTTTTTTTAATAATCTAATTTTTTATTAAAATATATTTAATTTGTCTAAATACAAATTTTATTTATTCAAACAAAAAAAAAGCGTAGTATAGTGCGATTCCAAGTGAGATTTTGACTTTTTCGGAGTAGGTTAACCGATTGTAATGAAACTTTGGAATTTTGTTATATATAGTAAGACTAATCTTTAACGTAAATTTCAGCCAAAAATATTTGTTAGTTTACGAGATTTGCAATAATAATAAAAAATTTAAAACTGCTATATCTTCCGTTCTAATAAACGGATTGAGGTCTACTTTTTTTTAAAATGTCAAGGAAAATGAGAGGAATAAATCTCTTTCAGAACATTTTTTTATAATTTTACAACTACAAAAATTATTAAATAATAATTGAATAACTTTCGCGCGACTAACTAAAATTCAATCACTTAAACGCTAAAATGATCTTACCTGTGTTTTCTTTAATGTTCCAAAGGATTTTTATTGTAAATGTAAGTTTAACTTAAGAAATTTTATTAATTTATTAGTATAAACAATTGAGATTTCTGCTAGTTGACGTGCAGACGACATTGCGCACGCAGCATTCTCACATAGCCAATTTAGTCCACGAATCACGTCAGTTGGCTATGTGAGAATGCTGCGTGCGCAATGTCGTCTGCACGTCAACTAGCAGAAATCTCAATTGTTTATACTAATAAATTAATAAAATTTCTTAAGTTAAACTTACATTTACAATAAAAATCCTTTGGAACATTAAAGAAAACACAGGTAAGATCATTTTAGCGTTTAAGTGATTGAATTTTAGTTAGTCGCGCGAAAGTTATTCAATTATTATTTAATAATTTTTTTAGTTGTAAAATTATAAAAAAATGTTCTGAAAGAGATTTATTCCTCTCATTTTCCTTGACATTTTAAAAAAAAGTAGACCTCAATCCGTTTATTAGAACGGAAGATATAGCAGTTTTAAATTTTTTGTTATTATTGCAAATCTCGTAAACTAACAAATATTTTAGGCTGAAATTTACGTTAAAGATTAGTCTTACTATATATAACAAAATTCCAAAGTTTCATTGCAATCGGTTAACCTACTCCGAAAAAGTCAAAATCTCACTTGGAATCGCACTATAATAAATATTTTTTTACTGAAAAACGAATTTTTTAAGAAAATTAATTTTTCAAAAAATCGAATTTATCTCTTTGAAACTCGAAGCAAATATGATATTTAATTTATTTTACAAAATCAAACACGAATATGTACCGTAAAATACATGTAGAATTGAATTTTTCTCCCAAAAAATGATTTTTCCTAGTTAAGGGTATGTGATACATAATGACGTCACCAGCCGATTCACGAAAATTTCTCAAACGCATATTATACAAATATTTTATTTATATTTAAGATTATTGTTGAATTTTAATTATTATGTAATAATTAAAAAAATTAAAAATTGTCATGTAACAAGAAAAAAAAAACATAAAGTATTAGAAGATTAGAATTGAAAAAATAATTTTTTTGAGATTAGAATCGGCAAAAATCTACTTTATACTGACTTTATTTATTTTCTTGAAAAAAAGGTAATTTTAATGAAAATTAGTTTGTTTTTATTTTTTTCTAAAGTGCAGAGCATTTTGTTTATACAAAAGGCAAACGAGAAAAAAAGGAATCGATTATTAGTGACGTTATAATGTCTCTCATTCCTTTAATGATTTTCAGATATAGTTTTTTTTTTTGGTAAAAATTCGCATACGAATATGGTACAAATATCATACAAGTAGAAAATTATTTGTAAAATTTGTTTTACTTTATATCCTTCTTGCATTCTCGTGATCGCCTACAGATTTTTATTATTTACAATAGACATAAAACTAATTAGACTTAAACTTAGACACTTCATCAAAACATGCAAATCGTCGGCTTAAAAACTCAAAATATTTAATAATAATTATAGAACTTATTTGCAATAAAATATTCATCTATTTTCATTATTATTAGTATTATACTTCTTATTTGTTATTATTATTAGTAGTATCATTATTATTATTATTATTATTATATCATTGTATATATATATATATATATGTATATAATAATATGCAGTTTAATATCTCGAGAATTAGAGTCTGTTTTCGATGAATATCGATGAGAGCTCTTGGTAGTAAAAAACTAGAAAAAGCTAATTAATTCACTTAAAAATTGTTCGTCAGTGATGTTATTTTTTTTTCGATTCGTGGAATTTATCAAAACTTTCAAAAGTTACATTTTAATATTCTATTCATCATCAGTTAAAGGGAAAAAAAAACTACACAATTTTTTTGTTGACACCTGATCAATTTTATGTCTTAAAAATAGAACTTGAATTGCACATATGAAATAGCAACAATTAACTATTAGGAGATAAATTAAAACTAATTCGAAAATAATTACAACAAATTTTTTTCTTTAATTTGAAAAAATATTCATTATCAACCTGCACAGCAGAATTAGTTTTAACAAAAAGGGCTAAATTTATAACTAAATTTTCTTTCAATGATTGAAAAATTATGATTCAAAATATACAACTGTTTTTGCAATTTGTATAACTTATAATTATTATTATTATTATTATTATTATTATTAATTACATTGTTTTCAGTGAGAAACAAAATGTCACGTTTTCACAAAAATTCGTGTATTTTCAATAATGTCTTTATGAGACAAATAATTATGTCACAAATGTAAAATTGCATTTTATGAAATTTAAAAACCAAATCTTCTTGAAATTTCAGATTCTTTGGCTGTTTTATGCAAGTTTATTTAAATAACTAAAATAAAGCAATATTATACATCTTTCTTCTTTTTTTTTTTTTTTTTTGTTTGTTTTTGTTTTGAATACACAGTTAATTTATATTTGAAACGCAAAATAGTTTACATTCTGTGTTGACCATTGGGGGCGAATTGTGGTTGTTGATTCGGTGGCAGCATTGGTGGTCCTTGTGGATTAAAAGGACCATGTACAGGACCAGGCACTGGACCAGTTTGAGGCTGAGTCGGATATCTAATTCATAATTCGAATTTTATTTTTTTTCCTTCTTTCTTTCTTTCTTTCTTTCTTTCTTTCTTTCTTTCTTTCTTTCTTTCTTTCTTTTATTAATATTATTTATTATTATATTTATTATTCTTATCAAAAAAGTTTTTTCTCAAATCAAATTATTTTAAAATTTTTTCTTTCAATACATTTTTTCGAAAATTATTTATAATATATATATATAAACAAAATTTTTATTAAAAATCCTTGGAAATTTAATATTATTGTTTGAAATTTATAAAAAGAGAATTTCAATTTACAATCTTTTGAAATTCAATTATTTCTAAAAAAAAATCTAAACACCAAAAAACGTTTTTAAAAAAATCAATTATTTTTTATAAATTTTTCTAAATTTTATAAATGAATATTTTGTCGACAAAAATTATTTAATAACACATTTAATTTCTTAGATTTGAATTCTACTGCATAAGTTTGAATATATTTTAACCGTTTGTGTGTGTGTGTGTGTTTTTAGAACATTTTAATAATTCAAATTTTTATTTTAAAATTTAAAGTAATTTTAAAGTTTTTCAAGGTGAAAATTAAATTCAAGAGGAACTCTCAGTTTTCAAGGTTATCTTACAAAATAATTTTCCTACTTTTTTTTTTTTTAAATATATAGTTCAAAATTCACTAGATGCAATACTTGATAAAATTAATAATGTTTAATAATTATTATTTAAATAAATAATTTGTCGTGAAATTGTTTTTTTAGTTTCTTTTTTTTTAATCTATACCAATTTCTTGAACACTTGAAACTTCATTATATATTTTTTCTAATAAAAAAATGTCATATATATTTTTTTTACAGTTAAAAATTGCTATATGAAACAGTAATTATTTTTTTAAAAGTAATTTTAAAACAGTAGATTAACTTATTTGGAAAAAGATTTCAAAATAATACCACTTCTAATCCTAAAAAAAATAGTTATTTATTCTGAATTTTTTTTAAATTGTACCAAAAAAAAAAAAAAAAAATGGTTGTAATATATTTATTCACAATAAAAATTTATGCAGATCGTTTGAAACTATTTAATGAAAGGTCAATGATTCTTTTAAGTTTCTATTAAATTATAAAATACATATTTACTCTAAAAATAAAATAATATTTCGTAAAACTTTCTTGTCTGTTATTCTAATTAAAAAAATTTCCATGTAAATAATAATAATAATAATAATAAAAAAATACTGCTTTTTCATCGATTTTGTTATATTTAACTATTTGGATGATAAAAAAGTTCGTATAGTTTAATTGATCCAAAGAAATATTATATAATTACCTATTATTTATTTTATTTATTAAAATAATAATTTATATCAAATTCAACTCAACCATAAGGCAATTATAATACAAAAATTTAAATTTAAATATGTTTCAAGAAAATTTTGCACAGCAAAATATGGAGAAAATTTTCAAGGAGGTTAAGAAACGGGAATAAAAAAAATTTTTTTTGAAAATAATTTAAATTTGATAAAAAAAAAGAAAATAGAAAAATCACATTTTTTTATATAAAAGACTTATTCCAATTAACTCTGGTAATAATAAAATATTGCTATAATAATAAAAATTATAATAAAGTGAAATATGTAATCGAAATTCTAGAAAATAAAAAAATACTCTAGGGTTAGTCCACTGACTTTCGTCTAATAGTGGTTGCGACCAAATTTTTAAAAAATCTACTTTTAATATATGTGAAACTCGATGATTCCCTGAGTTCATTAACAATAATATTATGGTAAAAATTTTATTCCCTTTAAAAATATTAAATATCAAAAGTAGGAGGTTCACAATGTGATTTTGTAACCTTCAATTTTTCAATTTTTTTAAAAACGCTATTATTAAAAAACTATTAAAAACTAGATGTTGGAACTCACCAAAAACATAAATCACTTTATTCTGCACAGAGGAACGAAAGAATTATTGCAAAAATTTATTATTTTTGGATAATACCTATACGATTTTTAAAAAAATTTTATTTAAATATTCTCATGATTTTTATTTACTTATAACTTTTTTGTCGGTGCTCCGAAAAAATTGAGGTTTTGCACAAAGATTTTTTATAATATTCTTTACCTTCTATTAAAATTTTACGAAGGTGTTTTGCTTCGTTTTGGAGATATTAATTTTCAAAATTTTTTGTTTAAAAAGGTTAATTAAAAGACTTGAAGTTAACTGACCAATTTCAAATCGCTACATTTTAATATATTTTCATAAAAAATGGAGCAGTTTAAATTTGGTTAGTTAACTTCAAGTCTTTTAATTAACCTTTTTAAATAAAAAATTTTGAAAATTAATATCTCCAAAACAAAGCAAAACACCTTCGTAAGATTTTAATAGAAGGTAAAGAATATTATAAAAAATGTTTGTGCAAAACCTCAATATTTTTGGAGCACCGACAAAAAAGTTATAAGTAAATAAAAATCTTGAGAATGTTTAAATAAAATTTTGTTTAAAATCGTATATCGTCCAAAAATAATAAATTTTTGCAATAATTCTTTCGTTCCTCTGTGCAGAATAAAGTGATTTATGTTTTTGGTGAGTTTCAACATCTAATTTTTAATAGTTTTTTAATAATAGCATTTTTAAAAAAATTGAAAAATTTAAGGTTACAAAATCACATTGTGAACCTCCTACTTTTGATATTTAATATTTTTAAAGGGAATAAAATTTTATCATAATATTTATGGTTAATGAACTCAGAGAATCATCGAGTTTCACATATATTAAAACTATATTTTTTAAAAATTTGGTCACAACTACTATTAGATTAATGTCAGTGGATTAACCCATATTTGATTTGAAAATATTGTTAATTTTTGAAAAAAAAAAAAATGAAACTCACCCTTGAGGTTGATAAGGGACACTGGTTTGCTCAGGTACCGAGGGTGGACGGGTATGATTCCCAGGTATCATAGGAAAATTTTGAGGCATTGCCATCATGGGCATATTAGGTGGTCTCATCATATCGGCTCTAGGTGGAATATTTGTAACCACATGCATAGGAGTACCCAATGGCTGTGGATTGAAAACACCTTGTTGCGGAGGTGGCATACCATTAAACATCTGCAAATATATTTAATATACTATAATCGAATGATTATATGATTTATACTAATAAAGTTAGTCTATCAAAAAGGATACAAAAAAATATTATACAAATAACAGACCTCGGATCGACTTTAAGGCATAAAAAAAGTCGATTTTTTTTATTTTAACAAAATTTATTTGGTTAATGAATATTTTATTTTAATTAACTAATGTTGTTAAATATTAAATTCATTTTAATTATTCTGTAACGAGAATAATTCTATAAAAATATTATCAAGTAAATTTATTTCGAATATTTCCGAATCGAACTAATATTGTAGGGAAAATTTTCAAGATTTTATTTAAGTAGGACCTAAAAAAAAAATTCTTAAAGTTACATATTTTTATAATTTTTTGCAGCCTGATTTAAGCAATTTATTTGAATGAAAAATTATGTCTCAGTTTTTAGTTTTCATGGTCAAAAAAATTTTAAGCAATACTTAATCAAGTTTTACAGATTTTTAAATAAACCTTTTTTTTTAAATAATAATAATTTTGAAAGAGTTAAAGTTGAAATTTTTTAGAAATAATTGATAATTTCAAAAGATTTTTTTTAATTTTTAGACAATTATTAAATTTTACAGAACTAAAAATAATTTATCAAATAATTTTAGATAAAATTTTTTAAAAGTAATTGAATTTTCAATGATTTACAATTTGAGATTTTTGAAATTAATTCAACTTCAAGTGATTTTTAATAACAAAATTTTTGAAAAATATTTTCAAGTAGTTGAATTTTCGAAGAAAATCATTAAAAATTCTTCAAAAAGCATAATTTTTTTTAAATTCTCAAACCCCTTAAAATAAATAAGAAGAATCAACTTACATGACTTGGAGGAGCTGGTGGTCCTTGATTTGGAAATTGAAAAGCATTCATGTGTGTTGGTGGCATTTTCGAGAGAATATAATTAGCCGGCATTGCTGGATTTGGTTCACGCATTAATGAATGATATAAATTAAGTGCATCCACCAAATCTGAACTTAATTGTGTCAGTGTTGCATGTTGACGATCTGTTTTTTCAAGAGCTGTATCAATCAATGGACCCATTGCCGAAACTTGTTCTGAAATAAAAATTAATTTTTCATATTTAATATTAAAAAAAAAAAAAATGAAAAAAAATTATATTGTAAAATAAAATCTTATTAAATAATTAAAGAAATATAAAAAGAAAAGAAAATTAGAAGAGAATAACAGATAATGAATTAATTAAATTTAAAAAAGCGCAATTATATTTAATATAAAATTACAATTTACCTTCCAAATCAAGCATTTCTGGAGGATCTGTACTGTCAGACTGTGGATCAGCTTCATGCAATAAATGCATAAGTCTGTCAATTTTTTGTTCATTTATTTCAACTTCAAGTACTTCTGGTTCTCTTTTCACTGTTTTCACTTCCACTTCGTCAGAAAATTGCACCAATTTTTTTCCACTATCAGCTTCTTGTAAATTTCAAAAAAAAAAAAAATTATTTAAACAATCAAATCGAATATACAAATTAAATGAAAAATTAATAAAATTTCACTAAAATACTTTGTCAATAATTAAATTTGATGATGGGTAAGTCCACGTCAAAAATATCAGAATCTGCAAGTGGTTCTTCGATTTTAATGATACTTGGTAAAATTATAGCTTTATATAAGAGCAATGTGTAAGTAAAAGGAATTTTTAAAATATCTAAAATTGTAGGAGTTATATCACTTTTAATTTTGATACTGCATTTTTTTCTTTCCTTTATATCTCGGTCAATTTTCAACCGATTTTGATGAATCAAAAACGATTTTTTTCAGAAAATTACGTATTTTCAGAAAATTTTAAAATAAAAATAAAATTTTGTTATTTAAATAGAAAAAAGTAAAAAACAAAATTTCTTTTAGATTTTTTTTCAATTTCGACCTCTTTTTTTTAATTTTTAATTTTTTAATAATATTCCTTTTTATTTTATCTTTAATTTAAAAAAAAATTCATCCTGGAGACTTTTTTAGATCTCGTGATATCGTTCTTTAAATATCCACATCTCAAGAAAACTAGGATCCAGATTTGTGTTTCTACTTTCATTTGTTTTATAATATTATTGTTACAAACTAGAAACTTTCGCGTAATAATGTTTTTATTTTTAAATTACTTGACTAAAACAAGTGAAAATTCAAGCAAATCAATATTTTATTAATAGATTTGAAGCAAAGTTTTTATTTTTTGTAATATTTATAATTTAAAATAAATTGTAATGAAACCTTAACAATGCAATCTGAAATTGTAGCTGAAGTTTTTAGCGCTTTCTTTTAGAGGATTCTAAAACAAATAGTTATTCATAACCATAAAAAATTTCAACAAACAAATGAAAGTAATGATAGAAGCAAGTCCTGCGGTTTTCAAATTGATGAAGACTTATAATACTTAAAGGACGATATCACGAGATCTAAAAAAGTCTCCAGGATGAATTTTTTTTTTAAATTAAAGATAAAATAAAAAGGAATATTATTAAAAAATTAAAAATTAAAAAAAAGAGGTCGAAATTGAAAAAAAATCTAAAAGAAATTTTGTTTTTTACTTTTTTCTATTTAAATAACAAAATTTTATTTTTATTTTAAAATTTTCTGAAAATACGTAATTTTCTGAAAAAAATCGTTTTTGATTCATCAAAATCGGTTGAAAATTGACCGAGATATAAAGGAAAGAAAAAAATGCAGTATCAAAATTAAAAGTGATATAACTCCTACAATTTTAGATATTTTAAAAATTCCTTTTTTTTTACACATTGCTCTTATATAAAGCTCTAATTTTACCAAGTATCATTAAAATCGAAGAACCACTTGCAGATTCTGATATTTCTGACGTGGACTTACCCATATATAAAAAAATAACTACAAAAAAATATTAGATTAATAATTTAAATGAAAGAAAAACATTTAAATAATTAAATTTTTCATTACTTGTTGTCTCCGGTTGAGCGGAGAGATCTGCAGTAACAAAATTCGATGGAAAAAGACCTTCTCCACGATGATTACTTCCTTTCCACCAATTTTGATCGGAATCATCGAGAATATGAACTGAAAATTAATTTAATTTCATGTAAAAGATATTTAAGATTTTTTTTTTCTATAATTAGAAAACATACTGATTTCTCCAGCCATAAATGTCAATTCGTTGTCTTCAGCTGCTTCGAAATCATAAAGTGCTCGTACTTTTCTTCCTTCGTTATTACTCGTCGATGCCATTACAGAACTTACATTAGGATATAAACTGGGAGATTTTTTCGTAGCTGGCGAACCATGCGATGTAGATTGATATTGTTTATTTTCCTTTAATGATAGTTCGATTGCTATCAAAAAAAAAATTTATGTTTTTTTTTTTTTTTTGCCTTTAATTTTCTTTGGAGAAAAAATTCAAATTGACAAAAAAAATTTACCTTTAGCAATATCCTCTTCTTCCTGAGAATTTGAAACTACATTTGGATCTTTACTAAGGGTAGTGGAATGTTTGGGCTGAAAAAATTTTTTTTATTTTAATGATAAAAAAAAATAATTTAAGTATAAATTAAAATTTTTGTTTAAAATAAAATTCACTATTTTTTTTTTTTTTTTTAATGTAATTTTTTCTAATAATATTTACCGTTTCTAAAATTGATGGAAACTCGACACCATCGCCTTTTAATTTGTTGTAAAAACTGGGTATTAAACTCAATTGTGGATCTGTTTTGAAATCACCTTCCGCCCATTTTTTTAACAATGCTTTTAATTTCTCACATATTTTTGGTTGCAGCTTGGAAAGTAATTTTTTTAATTCACTTTCAAAGTCGCGTGATGCAATTTCTAAATGAAAGACCTTCCCGCAATTATTTGAACAAGCGTCTAATAGCTGAAAGAAAAGGAAAAATTTTAGTATTTACATGAAAACGGGCTTACCAAAAAAAAAAAAAAAAAAAAAAAAAGAAAATTTGTCCCTCCGTACCGAAGTAGTAAAATTAAAAAATGTATCAATATAGAAACATAATTGTTTAAAATGTTATATATTACGAATAATAATAACAGTAAGCAAAAACATAAATTTTAAGTTAAAATTGACTGCAATTTTGTTAATAATTTAATTGATAATTAAATAACAATTTAAAGTATAAATTTTTTTTCAATTTTAAAAATTAATTAACATCAGCCAAGGAGTAACAGGATTGTCAAAAAAAAAAAATTTTCTAATTCCTTGATGAAAATTTTTCCTTGACAAAAATTTTTATTAAATTTAAAGAATTTTATTGAAAAAAATTTAATAATTTGAAGTTAGTAAAACGTTTTTTTCTGCGTTCTATTATTGGGAAATTATTTATGGAAAATAGATGACAAAAAGATGATACAATATAAATTCTACAGAATATTCTGCTAATAGTGCAAAAAGATTTTTATTCTTCGACTCACTATTATGAAAATAATAGCGCTTTTCGAGAACAGTGTCTTTAGCTCTTTGAAATTTTGTCAATTTAGTTGTAAATTTGCAAGGTTAGTGGTGATGTACTTTTTTTGACTTTTTAACGAAAAAATTATACATATCATTATTATTTTTTAATTATATGCATGAAAATAAGTTTAATAATAAGTAAAAAAATTTGTTTTAACGTAATTTGACTCGATTTACCGAAAATTATAGAGAACAACTACTATCTTGCAATTAATAACAAATAACAGTCATTGCCCTCCCTGGGAAATGTTTAATTTTTGGTTATTATGTTATTTTTCAGTGATTAACCGTTTATTTTCAAGACTTTTTTGAGATAAGTATTTTTAATTTTTGGACGTTTTTTCATATTTGGTGAATTAATTTTTTAAAATAAAGATGTAATTAGAACCGCAGCATGTATTAGAATGATTTGTAATATTTTATTAACAATTTTTTAATATGAAGTATGATTTTAGGCTATCGAAAAAATGCCAAAGGTAAAAAAAGGTGTTTCGTATATGCTTCTTTAAGCAATGAAAAACTTGAAAATCATGTAATCATTATATCAAATCAAAATAGCCAAAAATAATTTTTATTTTTACAATTGAGTCAGATTCGACAATTTTCCCAATTTTTTAGGTTAATAGTATTATTTACACTTAAAAGTCATATTTAATGAATCTTATTATTGTTAATAAAAGAAAATTATTTTAAAAATTACTTCTTCTTTATTAATTTCAAATTATATTCATTCTTTAATAAATGATGCAAAATTTATAATTTACATTACTATTTTATGTCTAGTGGGCAATCATTGTAAAATTGATGGTCAATCACTGTAAAAATAATGACAATCACTATTTTTTCTGTCATGTGAAGATTTTTTTATTTTTTTTTAAATTTATACTAATATTAAATAAACAATTCATTATTATTTTCAGATTAATGGAATATTTTAATTCCTTTAAAAATGGTTTCATTTCTCATTTCGATAATTAAACATTTGTAATTTGTATAAATATATCCCCTTTTTGGCAATCACTGTACCGTTTACCCCTATTTTAGTAAAATATTTAAATATAAAAAAAATTAAGTATTTAAAATAGAAAAATTTTACTTACGGTTATGGCATATAAAACAACATGCGGATCCTCATGATTCAGTCTCTTGACAATTGATTTTAAACAGTCCTTTGCATTTGTAGGTGAATTGCCTACTTTATCACAAATATCCATAATAATTGCCCAGTTTTCAGTTGTATTTTTTTCATTTGTTGCCTTTTCTAATGAATAGAATTAAATTTCATCATTTTTAAAAGACATCAATATATAATTTTTTTTTTATCTTAAATGTAATTTGTAAAATGATATCAAATTATCATCATATATATATATTGAACAATATTGCTTAAAACAATCGTCTCTGCTCTTCATATATACGTTTATTTCGCATTTGGTTTTATCTCTACTTGTGTAGAAGAATAATCATTGAACTTTACGATCAGTGACAAATAATGTAATAAATATAGTATTATAAAAAAAAAAAAAAAAACAAAACATAGTTAATAGTGATATGAAAATATTAAACAAAAATTAAATACATGAAATAGAAAAAAATATTACTTTACGTTAAAATCTTTGATTTTTTGTTTTTTTTTCTTCAAATCACAATTTGACAAAATGACAATATTTTAAAAATATCGTTTTTCAAGTAAAAAAAAAAATAATCATTTTAAGGGTTAAATGTTAAATATTTCATTTAAGAAAAAGACATCATAGTGAAATTAAAATTACATTAACACAATTCTCTATATTATATATCTGGAAAACAAGGTTTCTAAATTGATGTCACAAAAGAATCTGGATTTCTCTTTTTCCAGAGTAATTGAATATTGTTTTGAAAAAGTTTTTTTTTAACTAAGTTTTTGTTTCTTTTATAATAATCAAAGAGGAAAAATGTATTTTTAATGAAATTTTTCACATGAAATAACAAGTGTCATCAGAATTATGGGATAATTTATTGTCTTTAAATTAATTACAATTTGTGTCAAAGGAACAAGGTGTATTCAACTCACCGACGTCAGAGTCGAAAGGCGAATTGGAAAAAATACCCATTATTAAGTGTTTCTTTTCTTAAGATTTTTTTTTAATTATAGATGAATTTGATAACTGTCAAAAAAACACTTTTTCTCTTTTGATACGCATCCAGCTGATAGTCATTTAATAAACACTTTTGTATGACTAACAACATTCTTATTATCATCAAGGAGCCGCCATTTTCATTTTCGAGCTGCCAAAAATATCTCGAAATAATATATCGAATTTTATAGGATTCACGCGGGAATTATGAAATTTTCATTTAAAAATATTAAAAAGTTATTATTTTTCTAATATTATTATTAATATTTGCAAAAAAAAACTATTGTAAAATAAAAATAATATTTTATTATGAATGCAATATATAAATAAATTCTTTATAATATATGTAAATTTTTTTTTCTTGTAGTCAGTGACGTCATGTGTCAATTTTATTTTATGGGAGGGGAATCTTCTAAAAAAGTATAATTTTTTTTTTTTCATATTTTATATATAATACAAAGTTTACCTGTTATTTTGTAATTATACCTGATAAGTGTTAAGTTTTACGTTATATAACATACTTTAAATGTGATATTAAAATTAAAAAAGTGTCATATTTAGAAAAATTGTTGAACATTACGAAAATTTTTGACATTTCCAAATAATATTTATTACCAGGTAATTGTTTTCTTCATTTTTTCAAATTTAAAAAAAAATTATAAACGGATGTGATATACATAGAGGTTTTTTTTTATATGTTTATAGTTTTGAAATGCTAATATTTTTTTAATTTTCTCGACATTTTGAGGTTATGAAAAAAAAAGTTAACAGCGTTTGAATTTTTCGTTGAAATAATATAAAAATCTTGTAAATCGCATTTGTTTTTTATTTTTTACAAAAATTGTTTTCTGATATAAATTGTTCTTTATTTAGTTTAAATGATTTTTAATTTTAAATTTATCATTATTAAAATATATATACATATAACAAATTATTTTTATAAATTAAATTTTTTAATTATTAGATATATTATAAATAAATATAAAAAATTAACATCTTTAATATTTTAAGAATTTAATGTATTGAAGTAATAATATATTATATAGTTTTAAAGAAAAATCATGGACAACGAAGAATGTTTAAAAATTGTCAAAAGTGCAATAAGAACATATGAAAACTTTCCTAAAGAAGGCGTTATATTTCGGTAAAAAAAAAACATCGTTACAACTTTTATGATAAACGATTGAAAAAAAATATATATATTTTTCATTTAGAAAATAATAATTAATTTTTTGCCTTATAAATTTTTCTTTCAAAAATTGTTGATCGAGAAAATAATGTTAAAAATATATTTTTAGACAAAAAAAAAAAATATAATAATTTGCACATAAAGATATTTTTTCTTCTAAATCATTGATCATAAACGTTGTGAACGTCAATTATGTAAAATAAAAGTCCATTAATAAAATTGAGCAATTCCATGGGATATGATCACAAGAATTTTTAATGATTAGAGCAATTTTATTGTGACCTTGTGAATATGTTCCCTTATTTGTACAGAATGAAAGGCCCACAAAAAATTTTTCAATATTTTTTCAAATATCTCTAATTAAAAATTTATGTAATTTAAAAAAATAAAAAACATGTAACTTTTTTTCTTTTTATCCAAATGAGATCAATTTTTTTTTCAAATTTCTCACAAAAAAATGCTATTTTAAGAAAAAAATAGTTGATGAAAAAAAAAAAATTTTTTGCCCGGAAAAAATGCAAAAAAAAATTTTGAATTCATTTTTTTAAAAAACTACCTTTTCGATTTCAAAAAATTTTTTTTCTACTTATTGCCTATGATGTTAAGAATAACTTCTCTAATTTTGATAATGGGACAGCAAGAACTTTGAGAGATAAAAAATCGAAGATGTAGTTTTTTTAAAAAATGAATTCAAAATTTTTTTTTGCATTTTTTCCGGGCAAAAAATTTTTTTTTTTTCATGAACTTTTTTTTTCTTAAAATAGCATCTTTTTGTGAGAAATTTGAAAACAATATTGATCTCATTTGGATAAAAAGAAAAAAAGTTACATGTTTTTTTTTTTTTTTTTTAAATGACATAAATTTTTAATTAGAGATATCTGAAAAAATTTTGAAAATTTTGAAAAATTGTTTGTGGGCCTTTCATTCTGTACAAATAAAGGAACAAGGTCTCAATAAAATTGCTCCAATTAAAAATTCTTGTGATCACATCCCATGGAATTGCTCAATTATTATTTTTTTCGATAATTTTGAAATTTATTTGTTTTCAATATAGAGATATATTTGGAATATTTCAAGATGTTACGGCGCTAAGAGCTCTTAAAGAACTCATTGTTAGACATGTTTCATCTTTGGATGTAGACATAATTGTCGGTTTAGATTCTCGTGGTTTTTTAGTGGGACCAATAATTAGTTTAGAACTTGAAAAACCATTTTTACCAATAAGAAAAAAAGGAAAACTTCCTGGCGAGGTTTTCCAATACAATTACACACTCGAATACGGAGAGGTATTTTAAACTTCTCTATTATTTATATTTTTTAAATATAAAAATAAAAAAAAAAATATTTAAAAATTAATTAAACTTTTTTTTAAAAACAAAATATATTTTTCTCTACAGGCTACATTTGAAATTCAAAAAAATAATCTCAGTTCAGGAAAAAGAGTTTTAATTGTTGACGATTTACTCGCAACGGGAGGTGAATGTTACATTAATTATAATAACAAAAAAAATAATTTTAATATAAACTTAAAAAATAAGATATTATCCTAAAATTGATATTTAAATTAAAACTTTTTTTTTTTTTTTTTTTTTTTGAAAAAAAAAATAAATAAGAAATATGGAATTTTAAAAATCGAGTTAAAAGTAATTTTCATTTTCAATCAATGTATATTTATAATTTCAGGTTCAATGTCAGGAGCGATTCAATTGTTGAAAAAAAGTGGAGCTACAGTTGTTGAATGTCTTGCTGTAATTGAACTCATTGAATTAAATGGACGAGCAAAATTAGACGCACCTGTTCATTCTATAGTTCAATATTGATTAAATTAATTTTAAAAAAAGGCGACTATCAATCTCAGCGAATCTTGACAAAATTTTTAAATTTCTCCAATTATCATATTATAGTCGTATTTTAAAAATTTTTTTATTCTAATTTTATATTGTAGATATAAATTATAGAGCTGAATTAAAAAATCGAAATAAAAAATTGAATTTAAAAATAAACGCAATTTTTGTTTGTTAAATTTAAGATTAGACAATAAAAATTTGCTCCTGGTTGATAATAAAGCATTCCAAGAAATAAAATTTTTAAAAATGTATATATTTTCCAATCTGTACATATATGTACAATTTTTATGAGAATAAAGTTTTTTACACTTTTATCTGAAATAATTCACATTTGATTTTTAAAATACATTCCTTAATAGTAAATTTTAATATATTTTTTTTAGTTATCCTTTTTTATCATTATTTTTTGCTCTAATTTTTTTTTCTGTAATTTCATTTTAGTTTGGTGTAATTTTACATTAAAAAAAAAAAAATACCCATAAATTACCTATTTTATTTCCGAATGGAATATAATTTTTCAGTGAAAAAAATAATTATGGAAATCTAATCTATTGTTTTTCAAATATTTTTCTGTTAATAAATTATAATTTACTATATATTATATATTAATAATATTAAACTATAATAAAAATTAATAATTTACTATTATTTATAATTATAATAATAAATATTAAGAATATTATTCTATTTAATGTTAATATTATCAATATTATTTATAATACTAATATATTGCAGTATTTAAAAATTTACCCTCGTAGATTTTTACGTAAATTTTTAGTATTACTTGATCTGTAAGCTCCCAATAAATTGTGAATCTCAGATTCTAAATGTTGAACTTGACAACGTAATTTATTGCATTTTTCTCGATTATTATTAATATTCGTCTCTGTTCTGCATTTGACTATTTTTTCCAAAATTTTCGGTTCAGAAATTCTATTTAATTTCAATTCTCTTTGATAATTTTCTCGAGAGTTGTCCAATTTCCATGATTGATTTTGTACTTGTTTTTTTAAACATTTTTCCGCTTCTGAAAAATTTTCTTTAGTTATTAAAAATATAACAATAATATAATTTCAATCCATCATGTTTAATCTAAATTAATTGCAGACTTTTTTTTTAAATTTGATAATTTATTGAAATTATTTTTAAAATTAATAAAATATGTTTTTGTCAATTATTTTATTAAAAAAAAAGTTTGTTATTTATCTTGGAATTTGAATAAAGTTAAAATTTTAATAGAAAATCACAAATAATTTAGATAATATATTTCTTTAACGGCTTAATTGTTCCGAATAATTTAATATTATATTAATTGATTATTGTAAAAATTATTGTAAAAATAAATCTAAAATATTAGAAAAAAATTGATTTTTAAAATTATCCGTGAAATTCGTAAAAATATAATTTTTTTTTTAATTCCAAAAAAAGGCAAAAGTTTGAAGGAAAAATTGAAAAATAATTTTAAAAAAATACGAGAATTTTAGAAAATGAAGAGAAAATAGAAAATTATTGGAAATGCAGTGTTGAATAGAAAAATTTTTTAAATTGCAAATTTGAAATAAGAATTTTGCGAGAATAATGCCAAAAAATCAATTCTACGAATATTAGAAATAAATTTTACTACAAATTATAAGATTTAAAAAAAAAAAATTGGCTTCATCGAGTTTTGAATAAAATAATTATTATTAATTGACGAAATATAAAAATATAATGGAAAATAATTATTTACCTTTAAGTCTCGTTTGATGAATTTTTTCCGTAAATTTCTTCACTTCAGAGCGCAATCTTTTTTCTTCAACTGATTGCATCGCTTCAATTCGACATTGATCAAAAATTCGTTCATCTTCCTGTTGCCGCACACTTTCTGTATTCACAAGAATTTTCGGATATTCATCTTGTGGATATTGAGGATATGAACCATAAGCCGGCAATTTAATTATTTTATTCCTGAAAAATTGTTATATATTTTCATAAAGAGGGGGAAAAAATAAAATTTCAAAGAAAATAATTTTACTTTAAAAAAATTTTTTTTTTTATTTTAAATGAAATAAAATGAAAAATGTTTATTTTCTTCATTGAATTTACGAAGCTGAAGTACGCAACGTTTATGATAAACGATTTTTAAAGAAATAATTATTTAAAATGGAAAATTCTATAATTCTTTGCCTAAAAAATATTTCTTGTAGTTTTCATTAATTAATAAATTATAAAAAAATATTTTTTAGGGAAGAAGGAATTTTCCTTTTTTTCCAAAACAATTATAGAATTTTTCATTTTAAAAAAATATTTCTTTAAAAATCGTTTATGCGTACTTCAGTTTCGTATTGAGTTTTTGACTATAAATTGACTATATAGAAATAAAAAGGTAGAGTAATAATTTTTTTTTTCAACCAAAAAAAGAAATAAAAATTCATTTTTTTTTACCTGAGATAACGATTTGGATGTGTACGATGGGAAATTTGTCGATTTAAACGATGTGCAACTTTTAGTAAATCCTTGACACGAACGTGTCCCGGTGTACTGTAAAATCGTTCAATTTCTTCCGGTGATTTGACACTCGATATTATTGTATCTCGTGCACAAATACTATAGGCAATTGTGCACATTAATAAAAGACTCGGTTGACAAAATGACAATAAATGATCCCATAAAATTAGCCAATCATTCGCTGCAAGAACTTCGCTCATTGTCGTTCGAAGTAAAGGCCATGCATATTCAGTGGATGTGATTTTTCTTTTGCAAAAAATATTCAATAAATTAGGATCCGCTTCCAAGAGAATATTTTCAATGATACCTAAAATATTCAACGGTGGCAGAGGATGATATTCAAACCATTTTTGACAAAAGCTCAATAAAATCACAAGAATTGCTTCGAATGCAAGAACAGGATCTTTCTGAAATTGATGTAAAGAAAATTAATTTAGGAATTTTTATGTTTTTTTTTAATTAAAAAATTTACTATAGTGTTTAGAAAAAATAAAACATAATTGCCACAAAAAATAAATTTATCAATTTCTTTTCTTTTCATTAAAAAAATTTTCTTTGATTTTTTGAAAAATTTTTTTCTTTTTTTTATAACTTTTATTTTTGATATATATATGGCTTAAAATTTCTGAAGTAGGCCAATAATTTTTTTTTAACAACTATATTCTTCAAAAGTTAATAGAAAATTATTTTTCAAAAAAATTAATTATTTATTTATATTTATTTTATAACTAATAATAATTAATTCTAATAAATAACAATAAACAAAAATGAGTAAAATAAATTTTGTAAAATTGAAAAATTAAAAAAAAAAAAAAAAAAAGAAGGAAGCCAACACTACGCGGTATTCCCAAGCGGTCACCCATCCAAGTACTAACCGCGCTCAATGTTGCTTAACTTTGGTGATCGGACGAGAACCAGTGTAACAACATGAAATGAGCGTTGACTGAAAATATGAGTTTTACAAAGTGGCTAAATAGTTGTCTATCAGGTAAGCCCTTTTGTTTTTAAAGGAAGTTCTCTCGCAAACAGAAACAACTAATATTCAATTACTTACAAAAAAAATTGATCAGACCTTACATAGGAAATTCAAAATTAATTATTTTGTTTAAAAAAAAACATAGCATTTTGACAATTAGGAAGATACGCAGCACAACGCTTGGCAACGTTGCTTCTTGTAGGTTAGGTATAGAAAAAGCGCGAAATTTGAAAGTATAGTATAAATACTATATATTATAATAGTATATTCATCAAAGATTCATAATAATAAATAATAATCAATAAATATTACTTTAATAATAAATTTATTATTGAAAATTTTGAAAAATGATACATATCTGATAAAATTAATTTAATAATGTTATAATTTTCTTACACATTTCAGGAAAATGTATTAAAAAAAAAATTATAATTTTTAGTAAAATATGTAATAAAAAATTAATTATTAATTTAAATTCTTTATTTTAGTTTTAAATTAAATTAAAATTAAAAATTAAATTAATTTTAATTGATTAAAATCAAAAAGTAAATTAATTTAATTCATTTTAAATAATTCAAATTGAAAAATTTTTTTTAATTCGATTTAAATATTTTACTAAATATACTATTTGTAAATAATAATAAATATATTTTATAATATAAGTTTGAAATTATAGTTCCTAATTGATTCCGTAAATTAATAATAAAAGAATAAATAAGATTCATATAGGATATAATGAAAGAAAAATATAATTCAAAACTCAATTACATTAGATTATATAGACACATGACAATTTCCCTGAATATATAAAATGCAATAAGAAGTATAATTAAAAAATTTTAATAGCGAGAAATTAATAAAAATTTGTAAACCTCGATTTATTTTTTCCAAAAAAAGGGAATACAATTTAAAAATATAAAAACTTTGCAGACGACACGAAACGGAACAGGGGGGGGAGAATAAATCCAACGTTGCCAAGCGTTACACGCTAGTACTACGTGAATGAAATGAAAACTTAAATGGTGATTGTTTTGACTAGCAATATAGGGAGAGAACCTCCTTAAAAAAGCTGATAAAATGTATTAAATTTTAAAATTATAATCCAATTTTTTTTAACACATTATAAATTTTATTTTTAAGTATTTTTTTTTTTTAATTATTAAAAGGCTGACATTTTACTTCAGCAATTAGTAAAAAATAACTGAATAAATAATTTATTTCTTTGTATGCCCATTGTATATTACTCAAATCAAATTTTAACAAAATTCATCAAATAGAACGGTAAAAAAAATAATTTCTATTTGCTTAAAAATTGTTTGAACAATAACTCATCTTGAATAAATTAAAATTTTGCAAAATGACTTTTGGAAGATATTATGATTCGCAAAAACTACAAAATTATTATATTATGACACATAAAAATTTTGTTATGAAAAAATTAGTGTCCCACTTCAGAAATTTTGAGCCGTTTTACAAATATAATATGAGCCAAAAGTTTTGAACGTTCAAATGAACAAAATATTTTTTTCAATCTATAAATTATTAAAAATTATAACGGCAAAATAAAACAGTAAATTAAACAATTATTAAATTAATAATTTCTTTTAAGGTATTTAAAACAATATTTTGTAATAAAATTCATACTTAAAGAAGTTGCGAAAAAAATTTTGTTCAAAACTTTTAGCTCATAATATAATTCATAATTTTATTTTTTTTTATTTGTGTAAATAAATAAATAATTGACATTTATTAAATTTTAAAATTAAAAACAAAATTTTTTTTACTTCGAACTTGTGTACGCAAAAAAATTATTTCCTTTTTTGTTGTTTAAATAAAATATCCCGATGATAGAGTGGCAACACTAAGTCTTCGAAACAATGTAAAAAAAAAAAAAAAATGAAATTTTACGTAGGTGAAGTTTACAAAGTTTATAATCAACGATTGAGAAGAAAAAAATATTTTTCTATGCAAATTATTATAATTTTTTATCTATAAAATTTTTTTCTACGTTTCTTGATTAATATAATTTTTTTGTAAAAAAAATTTGTAGGCAAAACATTAGTTATATTTTTTGAGTGGAAAATATGTTTCTTCTTTTTTTTTCAATAAATTAATTAAATTTAAATATTAAATCAATCAATTTAAATTTGTATTAAATTAAAATTCCAATAATTTTTGAAATTTAAATCATTTAATCTTTAGATATATTAAAATTTCGTTAATTTTAAATTTTTGATCGACTGAATTTTTACATTTGATTAAAATTCTAATTAATAAATTTATTTTGATCAGAATAAGAAATTAAAATTGGGCGAATGTTGGAGGAATTGAAATTAAAATTTTTAAATAAACTGAAAGTCAAATAAAATTTAATTAAATTGACATTGAAAAACAAATGTTTCAAACAAAAAATTATAATTTTTTTACGAAGCTGATAAGTACGCAACGTTTATGATAAACGATTTTTAAATAAATAATAAATAATAATTTTTTGCCTAAAAAATATTTCTTGTAGTTTTCATTAATCAATGAATTATAAAAAAAATATTTTTTAGGCAAAAAATTATAGAATTTTTCATTTTAAAAATTATTTATTTCTTTAAAAATCGTTGATCATAAACCTTGCGTAGTTCAGCTTCGTATTTTTTTTTTCTTCTAAATCGATTGATGTGTAGAATTTGGTAAACTCTGACTTTTAGCTATATAATCTGTAAAAAAAAAAAAAAAATTAATTCATACCTGAAATACAACAGTAAACGGAAAAATAAATCCCGGAAGTATTGTACAATTCGATAAAATTGGACACCATTCAAGTATTTTTTCAATAGTTATCGATAAACAGGAAGCTTTACTTTTATCAGCCAATGGATAGTCTTGAATTAATTCTTCGATAATATTCACTGGAATATTGCCACCCAATGAAGCGTAAGCTTGTCGATTTCCTGGCAATTTTAATATTGTCGACCAAACCAACATACGATGTTTCTCAGGATATTCACCAAATTCTTTAAGAATTGGTAATAATCTCTCCAATTTTAATTCCTCCCTCATACATTCTTTAATACATTTTAAATGATCAGTGGCAAGATGTGCTTTTAATTTATTGTCAAATTCTTTCAATATTACATTTTGTTCCCTTTTTATTTTGACATTAACAATAATTCTTTCTAAATTTGTTAAAATTAATAATCCATCATTATCAATATGTGCAAGAAATTTACCATTATTCGACACACGAAAACGTTTAATACCATGAAAAATATCACAACAATTTTTAATAAATGACAAATTTTTTAAATCAAAAAATTTTACATTACAATTAGATGTTAATATTGTTATTATTTTATTTGCACCACCATCAAGTGGTTGTGGTACAATTGCAATTTGTTTAGAGCCTAAAATTTCATTTTTGAGATGAACATTTTTTAAAATACTCCAATCATAAGTGTTGAATATAAGAATTTTATTATCCACACCAACAATTATTATTGCACGTCCATCTTTTGTAAATACAAAATCTTTAACGTGTCGTAAACCAAAATTTTTTGTATTCACTTTAAATTCATTGTCAAAATGTTGAAATGTCCATGCTTGAATAACATCATTTGAATAAAGTATTGAAATTAATCCTTGTGTTGAAAATGAAGCTTTTTTTAAACATAAACGATTAATATTTAATTGCAATTGATGTATTTTACAATAACATCGAAGATCCCATATTATTGCCTCTTTTGCTGATGATGTGAGACAATAATGTTTATAAAATGAAATATTTATTGCTAATGTTGAATGACCAATGAGTAAAGAAAAATTTTTTAACGAATCTAACCTCAAAACTTTTATATCCAATGAATTGAGACCAATGATAAATTCATTTTTATTGATAGGATTAAATGCAATGAAAGTAGATGTGCCTACAAATCCTAATTTTCGATAAGACGGAATTTCATAGGCTAATTCGATATAATAAACAATACCCTTTGAATCAACTGTGATTAATGTTTCCTCGTCGTCACTAAAATCTAAATGTGAAAAATTTACTCTTATTGATGGACAAGAGCCTCTTTTTATTATTGCTTCTAATTTATGATGATTTCCACATGCAAATTTTTGAAGATCTTGCCATTTTTCGTCACTCATTGACTTCATATTGAGGCCGGGGGGTTTTTTTTTTTACACTGTATCACTCTCGAACATTTTAACTAATAATCGCGATTTTTAAAAAATTTAAATGTATTCTTTATTTACAGTCTTTTAAATACATTTTTAAGAATTTATTTTATATTTTATTATTAAAACACCTTTCAAACAAACGTCAAACTTTGTTTGTTGTGGTTACACACGACTATTCGATTTGATTTAATTCTATTCGATCAATCGATTTTGACTTTTTTTTCTTTTTACCAACGAACATATTTTCACATAGATTAGACTCAGATAATAACCAGTGGCTTCTATTTTCAAAATGATTTTTAATCGAATACTTCCTGTTTATGGCAAAAAAATGTTTATAATTTGGATATTTTCAGTTTTTTAATTATATTATTATATTAGTCGGTGTTTTGATAGAAGAAACTGTTTTATCGACCGAAATGCACATTGTCCTGATTTTACTTTCTGAATAAAACACGTGTTTCTGTGGTTTGATGTTTATTTCACTCAATTTTTGGTATAAAATATTTTAAAAAGTGAGTAAATTTAAATTTAATTTTAAAAATAAACATTTATACATATTGTCCATTTAAATTTTGAACAATTGTTTGTGATATAGTATAAATTCTCAATTTTAAAAACATAACCTTAAAATTTTGAAATTTTTAAAAAGGCAAAAAAAAACAGTAATATAATTTGTTTTAAGTAAAATTTTTAATTATAACACTAATAAACGACTTTAATAAATAAAATTCTGAATTTTTAATGTATCGATTGGAATTTATAACATAAATTGATTTATTTTCAATATGAATAGAAAATAAAAAGCTGTCTTTAAATAATTGCTTATTATTATTTTGATTTTATATTTTTTTTTAAATTTATATTAAATTTTAGTGTTTTATAATTTTTTTTTTTCATTACAGATAAATTGAAAATATTGATAAAATGGTCGCCAAAACTGATTTAAAAAGAAAATCACCAGAGAACGAAATATCGAAAAGTTTGTTATTTTTTATATTTCATATTTTATTTAATTTTTATTACTTTTATTTAAAAAATCTGATCACTTCTTCAATATTAAATATTTCTAATTATTCTAATTTATCTAAAATAATTTTCTTTTTTAAAACAGAAAAAAGGAAAAGAATACGAAAAGAAAATGCAATAACAAATGATATAAATAAAATATCAAAAAATGAGAATTCTAAAAAATATAACGAAAATTGTAAGTATTTGTTTTTTATGAATGACTAAAATTTATAATTCTCAATTAAATCAAAAAATAAATTATAATTTTACTCAAAATTAATTTATTTAATAAAATAAATTCAATTAAGTTTTTAAATTAATGTTCAATTTACTAAATTGTTTAATAATTAAATTAATATTTAATGTTATTTCATTTTTTAGACGACGAAAATGTCGAAACTTCATTTTCATTATTGGAAGATAAAATTTCGGAAAATACATTAAAGGCAATTGATAATATGGGATTTAAGTCAATGGAAAAAAAACAAGAACATTGCATTTTATCAATTCTCCAAGGTGAAAATCTTGTGGCAACATTAAAAACAAAGTCAATGTCAAATTTAACTTTTCTAATTCCTGCTGTTGAATTAATAAATAACACAAGTGCAAAATTGAGAAAAGGTAAATTTTACACCTTTAATTACAATTAATGATAGAAAAAAAACCAAACAAGCAACAAGTTAGGGAAAAATTATCCGGGAAATTTTCTTTGCAAATTAATATAATTTTTTGTTTGAAAAAATATATTTTCAATCTTTCTTGATCAACAAATTTTTATTATTTTTAGCGTGAAAAATGTTTTTTTTTTTTTATTTTTAATCGTTAATCATAAACGCTGTGAACTTAACTGACGAAGATCGAATTTTTCTCACGATTCGATTAATTTTCGGATTATTCGGATTAATAAATTTAGAAAATAATTTTTACAATGTAAAAAACATTGATTTAAGGAAACTGAAGAAGTTTTTTTCAGGCCGTAGATCTCTACATTTAAAAAAAAGCTAAGCAACCATCAATTTAATCAATTCAAAATTTAATTTATCCAAATTAGATTCTTAAAATTTTAATTCATCCAAACAATTAACAGTGTTGACACAAAAATTTTCTTTTGTTTTTCTCTGATTTTTTAGTCAAAATTTAAATTTTTTTCTCTAAACCCTAATGAAAATATTTCAAGATTTTTTCAATTATAAAAAAAAGACAATAATTTTTAGTATCAAACGATTGAATTGAAAATTTTAAAAATTATAAATTTTAGTAGCCTTTTTGAAAATTTGATATTTTTCTCGTACTTTTACAGGCCTCGGATTATACGACTTTTTTTCAAAAATACGATTTTTTTCGACTTATTTTAATAAAATGTGACTTTTTCGACTTTTTTTTACATTTTTGTAAAAAAAAATTTAAACAATATACATTTTTGCTTCCTCGTGGAGGAAGCTATGTAGTCCTTTCGTTTATAAACTTTTTAAAAATGGTGAAAACAAATTTTCCTCTATATAGAAACATGTTATATGAGATCCTGATCAATTGTCCGGATGTATGTATGTGTGTGTGTATGTGTGTGTGTGTGTGTGTGTGTGTGTGTGTGTATGTGTGTGTGGATAGTTTTTGTGAACACGATATCTTTAACAGGTTTTAATGGATTTGGGTAAAATTTGGTAGGCTTATTTAACACATTAATCTCTCAAAAATGACGAGAGGATTTTTAAAAATACCCCAAAAAAAAAATTTTATCGTCTTTTTTTCAAAAATTTTTTTTTAATTGAAAAAATTTTTAAATCGAAAAATTTAAGGTGATATATAATATAATCGTCTTCTTTATATCAAGATGAATCGATTGATATATATAAAGTATAGATTTGATTGAAATTTAAAGAATTAAAGAAAGTTAAAAAATCAAAAATTCTCATTTTAGCTAAAAAATGATGTGTTTATTTAAATTCATGTTTATATATGAAATAATTTTATTCCCTGCATTGAAACGAATTGGTTGGTATATATAAAGTATAGATTTGATTTAAAATTTGAGAATTAATAAAAATTGAAAAATCGAAAATTCATATTTTAGCTAAAAAATTTTGTGTTTTTTTAAAATTCAAGTTGATGAATAAAATAATTGTATTTCTTGCATTAAAACGAATCGATTCGTATATATAAAGTTTATGTTACACTCAAAATTAATTAAAATTTTCTTTATTTTTCAAAAAATTTAATTAATTTAAAACATTTTTAACTCGAAATTTTTTAAATCAATCAATTGAATTGGATAAATTCATTGCTTCCTTCACGAGGAAGCGAATTTTTTGCTTCACAAAATGAGGAAGCATAATGTTTATGAAATAAACATAAAGGACCCCCTCCTTGTTTTAGTATACAATGCAAATTTTCTTCAGATCTTCTTTATTTCAATTATATAACAAACTTTTAACTAAAATTCTTCACTAAATTAATTATTCTTAATAATTTTAATGAAATTCTTCACAAATTCAATTATCTTAAACTATTTTTCAATTCAAATTTTTATGAATGAAATAACCTAATGAAATGATCTAATTTAATGATTGTTTACAATTTCAAAAAAAAATTAGCAAATAAAATTACCAACAATTTTTAATTTAAAATCACTTGAAATTTAATTATTCAAAAATTCATTTATCTGAAAGCAATTTTTCAATTAAAAACTTTCTTGGAATTCAATTTTTTTATGTGATTTCTAATAAATTTTTCATCAACAGAAATCACTAGAAATTTCTCTTATTATAATTTATTTATTATTGTCTGAAATTTAAAACAATCTTATGAAATTCAATTATTTTCAACAATTTAAATGCTTCTAAAATTTAATTATTTCTACCATTTTCCATCTAAAATTTTTTCAAATTCAATTATTGTAAAAAATTTCAATTAAAAATCAATTATTTTCAAAATTTTCAATCTAAAATCAACTAAAATTTAATTGGTTTCTTAAAGTTTCAATTGAAATTCAATTATTTTCCAAATTTTCAAAGGAAATCCTAAAAATTAATTATTATTTTGCAAATTTTTAATGGTAATAAATTAACGGGCTTCTCATGCCCGTGTATAACTTTAAATAAATAAATAAATAAAATTGAAATTCAATTTTTCGAAAATTTAACTATTGTGAAATCATTTTTTTCCCAAATCATAAATTATTTTCATTTCTGTAAAATTTAATTATTCTTTGCAAATTAACAAAATCTTTTGAAATTCAATTATTTCTAAAAATTCTTGATAATGTTCTTATATAGAATTATTTTCATTATAGAATTAATAAAATGAATTTAATATCTAATAACATATAGTTATTTAAAGTAAAATATTCAATAACCAATTAAATTTTTTTTCAAATTGAAAAAATCGACTTTTTCGACTTTTTTTCGAATATAAATCGACTAAAACGACTTTTCTTGTGCCTTAAAGTCGATCTGAGGCCAGCTTTTACTAAAATTCTCTGATTTATTTTTAAATTTATTAAAAAAAAATTTTAATATTAGATAATTTCCTATTTTTTTCAAATATTTTTACTTCTTTAGGAACTGGATGCATTATAGTATCATCAACACGCGAGTCAGCATTACAAGTTTTTGGCACATTAAAAGAATTATTACAATTTCATGAATACAAATGTTGTTTATTAATTGACGGCTCCGATTATAAAACTGAGGCAAAAAAATTATCAAGAGGCGTCAATATTATTGTCACAACTGTTGAAAAATTATTTTATCATTTACAAAATACTCCCGATTTTGTGTACAAAAATTTGCAAATTCTCATTCTTGATGAAACTGATCGTATTTTAGAAACTGGATGTGAATATACGTTAAAGCAAATTATTCATATTTTACCAGGTCTGTGTTTATATTTATATTTTTTTTAATCGAAATTATTTCCAATTAAATAAATCAATTTAAAGTTTATAAAAAAAAAAAAAAGTTTTCAAGGATAGTTTTTTTAAATTTTAGAAAATAGACAAACTGCACTATTTATGAGGGAGAAAATCAATGTTGATGAATTGGTAAATTTGACAATGAATAAAAAACCAATTTACTTGGATCAAGTGGAGAGGAGTGTAGAGAAAATCGTTGATGGCTTAGAGGAGGGATATATTTTGGCGCCAAGTGATAAACGTTTTCATTTTCTCTTGAGTTTCCTTGAGAAAAATAAAAAGAAAAAAGTGATAGTTTTATTTAGTTCTTGTTTGTCAACGATACATCATCATGATCTCTTGACTTCTTTGGATGTTCCAGTTTTTAGTATTCATGTAAAAAACTATTTTTTTATTTTAGAAAAATTGATTTTTTTTACATTTCAATTTCAGTGGTTTTTTTTTTTTAATTCTCTAATTCAATGAAAGGAATGAATTTTTTTTTTTCATAAAATTAATATTTCCAGTAATATATTTGAAAAATCTTTTTTTTTTAGAGCAAGCAGAAACAATTGAAAAGAATGGCAATTTTTTCGAAATTTTCCACTTCTTCGGGAATTTTACTTTGTGCTGAAGCAACCGCCTCGGAATTTGTTTTTCCAAAAGTCGATTGGATTTTACAATACGATCCACCGGAAAATCCAAAGGTTTATTTTTTCATTGAAACTTTAGACTCTAAATAAATTTAATTTCAAATTATTTCGTTAAATTTAATTTAATTAATTTTTTTCTTATTTTCTTTAGGAACATATTAATCGACTTTCTGAAATGATCAAGGACTCGAAAGGAAAATCAGTTTTAATTTTAAGTCCCGAAGAAATTGGTTTTCTTTTCTATTTAAAAGAAGCTGGAGTTTCAACATCAGAATTTAAAATTTCTTGGAATAAGATAAAAAATATTCAGCTCTCGGTAAATTATGAAATTTTTTTTATTAAATTAGCTTACAATTAGTTAACTTTTTTTTTTATTAGTTTTACTTTTCTTTAATTATTTTATTAATTTACTTGGAAAAAAAAATTGTCATATCACTAATTTTTAATTGATCAAAAATATTAATTTTAAATTTAATTTTAGTTAGAAAAGCTGATGGCAGAAAATTATTTTCTCAATTTATCAGGAAAAGAAGCATTCAAGGCTTTTGTCAAATCATACGACTCGCATCATCTTAAAGAAATTTTTAACATAGAAAAATTAGATTTAACCAAAGTGGCAAAATCTTTTGGTTTTACTGTTCCACCAGCTGTCGATTTAAGTATCCTTTTTCAATGCAAACTTTTTTTTTTTTTTGAAATTTACATTAAAAAATTCGTTTTTCTGTAAAGCGAAATATTTCTATAGAATATTTAATTTTCTTTTAAAAAATTATAAATTAATTTTTTCTTTAAATTGCTGTTTTTCCTTAACAATATTAAAAAAAAAAAACAGGCATTACTGAATTTGATAAAAGTGCAAGGCCAGAAAAACGTTTAGGCGGAGGTGGATATGGCTTTTTCAAAACTCTTAATCGTACAAATGAGAAAAAAGGAAAAAAAATTTTCAAACAAGTTGGAAAACGGAAAAAAAATTCCAAAGCTGATAGTTAAGTTCAATTTTAATGATAAAAAAAAAATTAAATTTTTCCCTATTAAATAATTTTAATTAATGTTAATTAAAATAAGTAAATTGATATCAATTTTTTTAGAATTTAGAATTTGAAATTTATTTTCATGACCTTAGGTTTAAATAATTTAATTTATTTTTAAATTAAATTAGATGTATGTTAAATTGTTTACAATTTAATAAACTTTATATTAAAAAGAAACAATCAAATTTTCAATAATTTCTTTTGCCTTCCTCTTATAAATAAATAGAAGAAAAATTCTTTACATTATGTGTAATTTTAAAAAATAATAAATTCCTATTAAATACTATACAGACTTACTTACTCTTTTTTTTTACAATTTCATATAGTAGTAAACATTTTTTTCTTTTGTCTTCATCTAAATCAATAAACGTATTGTTTGGAGAGAGCTCTTAAAAATTTAGCCTTTCGTGTATTTGCCGCTTCCCTTTGAATTTCTTCATTATTATTTGAATTAAGTTCCAGTAAACCAATTACTTTAATCTGTAAAATAATTATTGAGTAGATATAAATAAATCAAATTTTTACAATATGAATTTTTTTATAAATATTTTGAAAAATAGGAAGAAAATGAAATTTATGAACTTACAGCTAATTGCTTTCGATGATGTTCACCTCGCTTGGTATGCAAATAAATAAGATATTCAAGAATTGTCGTGTCCCAAATGCAATGATAATAGGCGTCCATTGCATCGGCGGGAGCACAACTTTTTTGATCACTAGCTGCCATTTTAAAAGCAAGAGCATAATCAACATCCTCCAAAAATTGACAAAGAACAGCCGCTTGTGTATAACATTGTAAATGAGCGCAACATTTAATCATTCTTCTATAAACAAAATCTTCAATTTGTGCTCGTGGCACTGGTTGTGAGAATAAATCACTCGAGACCATTATTGCCTTTAAATAATATTTCATGGCACTCTCATGAAATCCTAAAACTAAAAAAAAAAAATACAATTATTAAACTAGAAAATTAAAATTATTAATTTTAAATTAAAATTGAGACATTTTCTCAATTCAATTTTAAAGGAATTATTCTTTGAAACAAATTATTTTTATATAAAAATAATTTCACAAAATTATTGTCTCCACATTCTTTTTATTTTATTTTAAACAAATAGATTTAAAAAAAAACTTTTTTTTTCCAAAATAAACTAAACAAATATCATACAAGATTTCAAATGTTTTTTTTTTTTTTAACAACATTCCAAATAATTTTAAGATATTTGTTTCTACAGTTAAAAATTTTTTTTTAAATAATCGCAAATTATATAACCGAAAAATAAATTAAACTTACCAAAATTGAGATCGCCCATTGATTTTAACCATGAAACATTACTGGGATAGAGTTTGAGAGCTTGTGTAAGTAATTGGAAAAGAATTTCTCCGATGTTCCTAATATTATAAGAATTTGAACTGAAAACAAAAAAATAATGTGCAATTTAAAATAATGATTACCTAATTTATTTTCAATATTATATATTTCATTTTTCAATTAATTAAATTATTTGTAAATTTCTAATAAAACTTGTTTATTTTTTATTTATTTATTGTTTATTATTATTATTATTATTATTATTAAATATATAACTATGAATTATTATTAAAATTTGAAAATATTTAAGACTTCGAATGCAAAATTTATAAATACTAAAATTTATTAATAAATTAAAATGAATTAGTAAACTTACTTTGGAACGCTAGCTGGCCAAAGAGCCAAATATTGTGTATTGAGCTCCAAGCTCGATTCATCGCGCAAAACATTGTGAAGACGAGCGAGCAATGAAATCATCACCGAGAGAGCAGTTGGTTCACGAAGTCTACTTAAAGTTGCCGATATTCCGGCCATTGAATCGCGCGAAGAATTTCCCGAACCACCAGAACTTCCTGCACTTCGTTTTTGTGGTGGATCTCTATTTGGCGCAAAAGCTGCTAAAACTATTAAAAAATAAGTCATATTTTTGTATTTAAAAATATTTGTGTGAAAAAAATTAGAACAATTGTTGTAAATTATAAATATTGTTAAAAAAAATGATCAACAATTATAATTTTTTTTTTTTTTTTAATGTAATGAATGTACATAGAAATGTAAAATTTTTAAAAATAAATAAAAATATCATTTGAAAGTTTTGTAAAAATTATTTTAGAGAAAATTTTCTAAATAAAATTCTTACCCATATCCCATGCTTCTCGGGAGAATTTTCTGCCACCTTTATACTTGACAACATCTTGACAAACAGAACTAATAGCCGCTGCAAATTCAGTGTAACTCCATCTTTTTTCTAGTGTCGTTAAATAATCCCATTCAGTCATATTTAATAGGAAAATAGTTGAAAATTCTATCACTTCTTGTCGAGGAAGTACTTTATCGGTTGACTGTAATGCTGCCAAACATAATTTTGCTCTCTCCACTAAAGCATGAACATCACCTGAAAAAAATTTTTTTTGATTAATTCATTATTAAAATAGAACAAAAAATTACACTAAATTTTCTCATTGAAAAAAAATATTTTATTCTTTTTCTATTACACTATTTTTTTTTTTCTTTGAAATTAAGAAATTAATTTAAAAATAAAAAAATTTGTAAACTTTTAATTTTTCTAGAAATTTAAAAAAAAACAAATTTTTTTTTTAAGTATCCAGGGTTCCTTAGTAATAAAAATGTAGCTTTTAAAATTCAGGTCAAAAAATTTTATTCTTAAGTCTTATGTAGCTTTTAGTACCACAAGATTAAAAAATTAGCCAATTTTGAAATATTTAATTGAAAAAAAAAAAAAACTCGTAGATTATAAAAATGAAAAATACTCACAAATATTAGTGCCCGGCCAACTATGTAAACAGTGCCAAATTTCAACGAGTAAAATTTCCCAACTAATTAATCGACAAAGTTTAAATGTTAAATTTCCCGTGTGATGTTGTACTTCAGCTGATAAAACTGTCAATAATTCTTTTGATCTCTCAAAATCTTTTCCCAATGCCAATTCACGACTTTTGGCTAATAAAATATATGAATAATCTTGAAGAAATCCTCGTGGCAATGACATAACGACACTTTGCAAAGGAATTGGTAATTCCCATGAACCATTAATTTTCCACAATGGTTTCGTACAATTTGTACCATCGAGTCTAATTAAAGTCTCGTGAATTTCTATTGGATTATAGGATAAAATGAGACGTTGCTCAAGATCAAAAATTTCTACTCTCATAGTTCCTGTAAAAAAACAAATTTTTTTTTTCATTTTAATAATAATAATAACAAAATTATTAATTGAATAAATTGTGAATTCAATTTGAATTTTTAAAAATCTTTCATTTTTCAAGAATGAAATTTTAATTTTTTTTAATTTAAACTTAGGTATGTTGAATTATGCAAGATTTATCGTCAACTTTGACATTACAATTTTCATGAAAAGAGTGAAAACTTGATCAAAAATTGTAAAAAAAAAATTGTGGAATTAATTTTTTTCAACAAAAATGAATTCTCAAAAAACTGAAATTTCAGATATAGATAATATCATTTTTTTTCTAATATTAATAATTTTCAAAAACAATTAATTTTTTAACGAAAAAAATTTTTATCGTCAAAATTTTAATTTTAAAATTTGTCCAATAAAAATGATAAATAATTGAAATTGCAAAATAATTTTCAAAATAATTGAATAAAACAAAATTTTATTTTAAAACATAATTGATTTAAAAAATAATTTAATTGCAAAATAATTATATTTCATAATAATTGAAATTACATAATAATTAAAATGAAAAGTCATTAATTTATAAAATAATATTGTATTTTGAAATAAAAAATTATTTAATTTATTTTTTCATTCTTTAATAAGAATAACAGGCCTCGGATTTACTTAAAGGCACAAAAAAAGTCGTTTTAGTAGATTTTTATTCCAAAACAAGTCGATAAAGTCGATTTTTTTTTATTTCAACAAAAATATTTTACAGATTTTTAAATAAAATATTTTTTTAAAAATAATAATACTTTTGGAAGGGTTAAAGTTAAAATTTTTAGAAATAATTGAATTTCAAAAGATTTTGCTAATTTTCAGACAATAATTAAATTTTACAGAACTAAAAATAACTTATCAAAAAATTTCAGATAACATTTTTTAAATGTAATTAAATTTTCAAAGATTTACAATTGAGATTTTTGAAATTAATTGAACTTCGAGTGATTTTTAATTAAAATTTTTTGATGATTTCACTAAAAAATTAATTAGAAATTGCAGAAAAAATACAATAATTTGATAACCACTTTTACTTGAAAAATAGTTTCAAATAGTTGAATATTCAAAGAATATTATAAAAATAGTTAAATATAATTGAATTTCCTTAGAGTTATAATTAAAATTATTAAATTAAAAAAAATGTTTTGATGGAAAATTTTAGAAATAATTAAATTTTAGAAGCTTTTAAATTCAACTTTTTGAAATAATTGAATTTTAATTGAAATTTTGGATAATAATTCAATTTTAGTTGATTTTTTATTGAAAATTTTGATAATCATTAATTTTGAATTGAAATTTTTGAGAATAATTGAATTTTAGTTGATTTTGAATTAAATTACCATTAAAAATTTGCAAAATAATTTATTTTTTAGGATTTCTTTTGAAAATTTGGACAATAATTGAATTTTAATTGAAAATTTGGACAATAATTGAATTTTAATTGAAAATTTTCAAAATAAATGAAATTCAATTGAAATTTTTGAAAATAATTGAATTTTAATTAATTCAGAATTAAAAATTTTGGAAAAAATTGAATTTTAATTAATTTGGAATTGAAAATTTTGAAAATAATTTAATTTTAATTGAAAATTTTCAAAATAAATAAATTTTAATAGAAATTTTTGAAAATAATTGAATTTTAATTGATTTTAAATTGAAAATTTTGAAAATAATTGAATTTGCTTTGATTTTGAATTGAAATTTTGGGAAATAATTGAATTTTAATTGATTTAGAATTAAAAATTTTTGAAAATAATTGAATTTTAATTGATTTTGATTTGAAATTTTTAGAAATAATTGAATTTCAAAAAATTTTAGATGAAAAATTGTAGAAATAATTGAATTTTAGATGATTTTGAATTGAAATTTTTGAAAATAATGGAATTTGAAAATAATTAAATTTTATTTGATTTATGATTTTGAATTAAAAATTGTTGGTAATTTTATTTGATATTTTTTTTTTTGTTTTTATTTATTTGTAATAAAATGTCAAACCCAAAGTCAAATGACCATTAAGGTCAATAAAATGGTAAGTTCGGTCAAAGTAACAATATTCATATAAAAGATCTAAGATAAGAATATTTGTTTTGAATTATAAACAATTGTTAAATTTCATAAAAATTTTAATTGAAAAATAATTTGAAATAATTGAATTTGTGATGAATTTCATTAAAATTATTAAAAATAATTAATTTAGTGAAGAATTTTAGTTAAAAATTTGTTAAATTTTTTTTTAGAAATGTAAAAAAAAGTCGAAATAGTCGCATTTTATTAAAATAAGTCGAAAAAAATCGTATTTTTGAAAAAAAATCGGAAATAGTCGAAAAAGTCATATAATTCGAGGCCTGTTAAATAATTCTACAAGAATATTATCAAGAAAATTTATTTCGAATATTTCAAAACCAAACTAAGACAAATTAAAATTTTAAATAAGTAGGACAAAATTCTAAAAAAAAAAATGTTTAAAGTTCCATTTAAAAAATTTTTTAAAGTCTGATTTATGGAAATAATAGTTTTTAGTTTTAATGATCAAAACAAAGATATGAAACATTTTATATTTATAATTAAAAAAGAAAATTATTAATTGTAAAATACTGACTTGTATAAGTGTTGCAAGGAACGCCCCAGTCATTGGTCAATAACATTGTTGGAATTTCAAGATCATTAAAAGAGGCCTCCTTCTTTATTTCATCGAGTTCTTTATCATTGAATAAATTCACATATTTTGGACTGTGAAGAATTTTATTCGCAAGTCCTTCAATCTCACCCGTCAAATTAAGATACAAAAGATACTGGGCAATTCGTTTTTTATCACTTTCAGAGACACAATCCAAAACATTATCTACAGCCTGAAATACAATTTAAAAAATTCTTTAAATTTTCATTTAACAATTTTTAAAAAAGAACATTTCAGAATTTTTTCAATTTTAAAAATTAATTTTATTAAAATAATTCAGAAAAAAATTTATATTTTAATAAATTAAAGCGATTTATTAATTTATTTGAAACAAATTTTTCAAATTGAATTAAAAAGAAAAAGAAGGTTTAGTTTCATTTGGCGTTGAAACTATTTTCAGGCAAATTATTTCATTAAACAATAATTGTTAAATGTTATTGAAGTAAATAAAATAATTTTAAAAATTTAGTAAAAATTTGTTTTTTCTTACGGAGAAAAATACTTCAAGTCCTCGTACTCCAGCAGCTCTAATATCCGACACATAATCACCGACAATAACTTCATTTTCTAATATTTTACGAACAAGATTGAGACATTGAATTTGCAATGGCAAATCGCGAGCTACGATCATTTTTCTATTTGTCAATCCACCCTGAATATCCAATTCTAAATTATCTCTGTAAACTTCAGGAATTTCTCGTACAATATTGTCAGTCTGAAGAATTTGTATGATATTCTAAAAACAAATTATTGTCAACAATATATTTAATTTTAAACATTTTTCTTTGTTTGTTTGTTTTTTTTTTTTTGCCTACCATAAATTGATCTTTAACAGAAGAAAGCAATTGTTGAGTGAGACTCGGTTTAATAGTTTCAACAGGAACATGACAAGCAAGACAACATCCTTCTAGCCAATCTTTTTTTACTTTACAATAAAATAAATTTTCCGAATTGCCTAAAATTTGAAAGAAATTATGCGCTTGAGAAATATGATGTTTGGCACTTTGATATTCTTCTCTGAGTAGATAAAAAATTGCGAGATCGTAATGTATCTGAAACAAATATTTCTATTTTATTTTCAATTATTTATTTACTATTATTATTATTATTATTATTATTATTATTATTATTATTGTAAAGATTGTATAAAAAATTTTCTATACCTGACATTTAAATTCTTCTGCAGTTATACTAATCATATTATTCCAATTTTGTTTTATTTCCGTACTGTCTTCCGTCAACATTTGAAAAGTATTTACAGATAAAACCTTTGGCTTTAAATCATCTAATTGAAGAACAGCATTTAATGTATTCAATGTAATTGAAATATTTCCCTCCAATTTTCTCACAATATCATCAGTTAAACCAGGAGAAATAAACGTCGAATCTTGCATTCCTAAACTGATTTTTAAAATAATAGTTAAAAAAAATAATTAGTTTTTATCATAATTGAAATTCTTTAATAATAATCTTTTAAAATAATATTCAATGAAAATATTTAATAAAAATTAAATTTTTCTAAATTCTTGAATATTGTAATTATTATAAATTAAATTTTTAAATAAAACTAAATAAATATGTCCACAAAAAAATAAATGATTTTTTTTCTTGTCTTACTTGTGAAGAAATTGTTGTTTCGATTGTCTATTATTTAATGCACGAAAAATAATTGCCCTTAAATGCCATCTATGATAAAGGACAATTGAAAATAAAAGTTGATCTGAAATTGTTGTCAATGGATAATCAGGTATTCCAGGAATTTCCACAATTGCCTCTGATGTAATAAAAAATAAATCCTGCAATAAATTCATTTGAAGGGGCAATGGTAATTTTTTTTCGATTATATCTAAATCCCATTGTAAATAAGCGGCCACTTTTAGTGACAAAATTTTTAGTGCAAGATTTTTGTGTGTCCAATTTGGTGTTAAATTTGATATTGCATCAATTGATTCACCGTCAATTATTTTTATTTCCGGATCTTTGTGATCATTATTTATTGTCATAAATTTGATAATTAAATCTGTTGGCGAAGGATCTGCAAAAAAAAAAAAAAAATGTTTAGAAAATATTTTTTTTTATAAAGTTAATAAATTATATTTTCAAACTTACAAAGATTTTTAAATAATTATCTTATTTTAACCCATTCAGGATCAGTGCAGACCTCGAATCGACTTTAAGGCACAAAAAAAGTCGAAAAAGTCGATTTTTTTTATTTTAACAAAATTTAATTAGTTAACAGGCCTCGGATCGATTTTAAGGCACAAGAAAAGTCGTTTTAGTCGATTTATATTCGAAAAAAAGTCGAAAAAGTCGAATTTTTAAATTTTAACAAAAATTTAATTGATTAATAAATATTTTACTTTAAATAACTAATGTTATTAGATATTGAATTCATTTTATTAATTCTATATTGAGAATAAATCTATATAAGAACATTATCAAGAATATTTTTAAAAATAATTGAATTTCAAAAGATTTTGTTAATTTTCAAAGAATAATTAAATTTTACTGAAATGAAAATAATTTGTGTTTTGGGAAAAAATGATTTCACATAATGAAATTTTCGAAAAATTGAATTTTAATTTATTACCATTAAAAATTTGCAAAATAATTTAATTTTTAGGATTTCTTTTGAAAATTAGGAAAATAATTGAATTTCAATTGAAACTTTGGAAAACAATTGAAATTTAGTTAATTTTGAATTGAAATTTTTGAAAATAATTGAATTTAAGTTAATTTTAAATAGAAAATTTTGAAAATAATTGAATTTTATTTGATTTTGAATTCAGAATTTGGAAAATAATTAAATCTTAAAAGAGTTTGAATTGAAAATTTTGAAAATAATTTGAATTTTAATTGATTTTGTTTTGAAATTTTTAGAAATAATTGAATTTCAAAAAATTTTAGATGGAAAATTGTAGAAATAATTAAATTTTAGAAGCTTTTAAATTGAAATTTTTGAAAATAATTGAATTTTAATTGATTTCGAATTGAAAATTTTAAAAATAATTGAATTTAAAAAAATTGAATTCCAAAAGTTTTTAATTAAAAAATAGTTTTCAGGTAAATTAATTTTTGAATAATTAAATTTCAAGTGTCTTTAAATGAAACATTTTTGGTAATTTTGTTTTTAAAATTATAAACAATCATTAAATTTAATAAAAACTTGAATTGAAAAATATAGTTTAAAGTAATTGAATTTGTGAAGAATTTCATTAAAATTATTAAAAATAATTCATTTATTGAAGAATTTTAGTTAAATAATTGAAATAAAGAAGATCTGAAGAAAATCTGCATTGTATACTAAAAAAATGTATTTTGTTTAAATTTTTTTTAAAAAATGTAAAAAAAAAGTCGAAAAAGTCGCATTTTATTAAAATAAGTCGAAAAAAGTCGTATAATTCGAGACCTGGTTTAATGAATATTTTACTTTAAATAACTAATGTTATTAGATATTAAATTCATTTTATTAATTCTGCAATGAGAATCGAATTAATTGTAAGACAAATTTTCAAAATTTTATTTAAGCAAATTTCTAAAAAAAATTCTTAAAGTTCCATTTTTATAATTTTTTCAACTCTGATTTAAGCAATTTATTCTAATTAAAAATTTTGTCATAGTTTTTAGTTTTGATGGTCAAAAAAATTTCAAACAATATTTAATCAAGTTTTACAGATGTTTATATAAAAAAAATTTTTTTAATTAATATATAATAATTTTGAAAGAGTTAAAGTTGAAATTTTTAGAAATAATTGAATTTGAAAAGATTTTGTTAATTTTCAGAAATTAATTTAATTTTACAGAACTAAAAATAATTTATCAAATAATTTTAGATAACATTTTTTAAAAGTAATTGAATTTTTAAAGATTTACAATTTAGATTTTTGAAATTAATTCAACTTCAAGTGATTTTTAATTTAAAATTTTTCATAATTTCTGTTACTGAAAAATTTATTAGAAATTGCAGATGAAAATAAAATAATTTGAAAACTTTTTAAGTGAAAAATGGTTTCAGATGTAGTTGAATTTTCGAAAAATATAAAGCAAATGTTGCTTTCAAAAAATAATTGTTACTTCATGTATATATAACTTATAATTTTTAAAATTGAATATTGAAATTGTTTTTCATTTAATCTAATAAATTTTCAATATTAAACTCTCATTTTCAAACAAGAAACTTTCATTAGTTTTTCAGAAAAAATTGTTTAAGAATAAAAAAGTTGAGTGATTAAAAAAATCAAAATAATTAATACAAAAAAAAAATACAAAAAATTGGACGATTTTTGACTGAAAAAAAAGTTTCGAATGACACAAAAAAAGGTATTAACAATAAAATATTATAATTTCAATAACATTAATAATTGTTATAATAATTTAAAACTTTTAAGAAAAGCGCGAAAAATTAAATGATGTTTTTAAGGTTAGGTTGCACGCAAACACTTCACGAAATATAAGTTTATAGACACTATTGTTAATAATGTTAATTAATATTAATTAATAATAACGTTAAATAATTTAAATTACAAGAATAGTCTTAAAAATTGCTTTAATAATTAAAAAAAAGTGACAGTAGTGAACTTACCAGGTGAAGGTTTTGAGATGTGTTTTTCCAATAAAGAAGGATTTAAAAGAAATTCAAACCATAATATTGTATCAGGCGATATAGGAACAGTTCCTGGCCTCAAAAGATCGACATCCATTATTAAAAATATCTTATTTCATATATATAAAATTATAAAAAAATTAACGTTGAAAAATCCTTCCCCCTCCGTGAATCACTATTTTGTTGATCAACATAACCTCTAAAATTTTAGTCCGTCATCATCTCGATTGTTGTGAAAATGAGTTGATGTCAGGAGACAAAGTTTTTTATTATTTTTCTCAAAATGAGATCGTGTTCAGTATTTTTAGCCTTAATATCATTATTTACAGTCTTTCAATTTACAGGTAAATGAAAAAAATTGTTTGACAACTGTTTTTTTTTGTCTGTAAAAAAGAAAAATTATTACCTAAAAAAAATTCGTATTTACAGAATGTCTTCATAGGAATTTAAAATATTACGAGACACTTGATATTTCTCAAGTAGATCATAGAATAGTAAAAAGAGGAACTCAGCACAGTTATCATCCTTATAATAAAATAAGTGAAATCGAATTTCACACACATGGGAGGTAATTTTAATTTAATTTTTTTCTTTTTTGTTACATTGTTTTCTTGATTGTCTTTTTTCTAACTGATTAAATTTCTTAATTATCTATTAGTTCAATTGAAAATGTAATGTTAAAAATTAATTTTATCAATTTTTTTGTAGACATTTTCGATTAATTTTAACTCCAAGACGGGAAGTTATTCACTCGAATTTTAAGGTGTATGAGGTTGATGGCGATGGACAGGAAACAAGTGTTCATTTAGGTAAATAACATTCAATTTTATTCCCCGTATTTTAGTGATTTTTATTTAAAAAAAATTTTTTTGGCTATAAGTTTAAATTTATTTTAATTACTCCATTTTTTTTTGACAAATAATTTTTGAATAACACAAAAATTAGGTTTTTTGACAGACGAATTTTGAAAACAAATTTGATGAATTATTCTATTTTTTTATTACTATTTTAATCATTAAACAATAAAAAAATTAATTAAATCTAAAGAACTAATAATTCTTTTTAAACTTTTAAGAATTATTATTTTTTTTTATATATTTATTTTCTAATTACTAAAAAAGTGACAATTTTCTTTATTTCCCTTACTTCTAAAATTAATATTTTAAGAAAAAATTAAAATTTTAATTTAAACATTATTTTTATTTCCTTTTCTACCTATATATCATACAGAATCATTTCTGAAAGTATCAATTTTTTAAAAATTATTAATTAATTAAATCGATAGAAATTGTTTTTTATATAATAATTGAATTTTTAAATACGGAAATATTTTAATACAATTCAAGTTTTCGTACACTGAATTAAACAAAAAAAAAAAAAAAAAATTTTTTAATTTGTTGAATTTAAAAAATGTTGCATGTTGAAAATAAATCTTTATAAAAGAAGTTTAGGTATTTAAATAAAATTATTTTTTAATTTGTTGAATTTGGAAAAATAATAAACTTTTTAAAATTAATTTGTTTTTAATTTGAAAATTTTTTGTAAATATGAAATTTATATTTAATTTATAATATTCTTCAATTTATAATCAAAATCAAATTTCATTTACCATAATCCAAAAACAAAATTGTGAAAATGAAAATTTTGTTTAATACAAAAATTACATAAAAATGACGTCGATAAAGTTTACAAAACTATAATGATCATCGATTAAAAACAAAAAAAAAAAAATAGTTTTTACGCGGAAAATAATAAAATTTTTTGCCTACAAATTTTTATTTTAAGAATTTATTCATTGAGAAATGTTAGAAAATGTTTTCTGACACAAAATTATTATAATAATTTGTATAGAAAAAAATGTTTTCTTCTAAATTATTGATCATAATCATTGTGAACTTTATCAACGTTAAAAAAAATAGCTTAAAATAAAATTCCGTGAAATAATAATTCAATTAATATTTAATTTAATATTCGATCAAATGAAAATTTGATGAAATATGTAAATTTTTCTATAAAACAGGCCTCGGATTATACGACTTTTTCGACTATTTCCAACTTTTTTCGACTTATTTTAATAAAATGCGACTTTTTTTTACATTTATTTTACAAAACTTTTAAAGATAATACGTTTTTTTAAGTGTACAATGCAAAACTTCTTTATTTCAATTATTTAACAAATTTTTTAACTAAAATTCTTCACTATATTAATTATTTTTAATAATTTTAATGAAATTCAACACAAATAATAATAATATTCTTCAAAAATTCAATTATCTGAAAGCATTTTGCAATTAAAAAGATTTTTAAGTTCAATTTTTGTTTGTAATTTCTAATAAATTCTTCAATTATTTGAAATTCAATTATTTTCCCAAAATTTAAATTGAAATTCAATTATTATTAAAAATTTTCAATTCAAACTCTTTTAAGATTCAATTATTTTTCAAATTCTAAATTCAAAATCAAATAAAATTCAATTATTTTCAAAAATTTCAATTCAAAATCAACTAAAATTCAATTATTATCCAAAATTTCAATTCAAAATTAATTATCAAAATTTTCAATCCAAAATCAACTAAAATTCAATTATTTTCAAACTCTTCAATTGAATTTCAATTATTTTCAAAAACTTAAATTTATAAGGTTCTAAAATTTTTCATTTAAAAGTTTTTGAAATTTAATAATTTTTATTATAACTCTCCTGAAATTTAATTATTTTTGTTTTGACTATTAAAACTAAAAACTATGCAAAAATTTTAAATTCAATTTATTTCCATAAATCAGACTTTAAAAAATTTTTTAAATGGAACTTTAAACATTTTTTTAGAATTTTGTCCTACTTAATTAAAATTTTGATTTGTCTTAGTTTGGTTTTGAAATCTTCGAAATAAATTTTCTTGATAATATTCTTGTAGAATTATTCAACAGGCCTCGGATTATACGACGTTTTCGACTATTTCCGACTTTTTTCGACTTATTTTAATAAAATGTATTTTTTTTAGTATAAAATGCATATCTTCTTTAGATCTTCTTTATTTCAATTATTTAACAAATTTTTAACAAAAATTCTTCACTAAATTAATTATTTTTAATAATTTTAATGAAATTCATCACAAGTTCAATTACTTTAAATTATTTTTCAATTAAAATTTTTATGAAATTTAACAATTATTTATAATTTTAAAAAAATATCAAATAAAATTACCAAAAATGTTTAATTTAAATCATAAATCAATTCAAAATCAACTAAAATTCAATTATTACCCAAAATTTCAATTCAGAATTAATTATTATCAAAATTTTCAATCAAAAATCAACTAAAATTAAATTATTATCGAAAATTTCAATTAAAATTCAATTATTATCAAATATTTTAATTCTGAATTAATTAAAATTCAATTATTATCAAATATTTTAATTCTGAATTAATTAAAATTCAATTATTTTCAAAAATTTCAATCAAAATATTCAAAAATCAACTAAACTTCAATAGTTTTCAAAATTTTCAATCCAAAATCAACTAAAATTTAATTCTTTTCCAAAGTTTCAAATTGAAATTCAATTATTTTCCAAATTTTCAAAAGAAATCCTAAAAATTAAATTATTTTGCAAATTTTTTATTGTAATTTAATTCAAAATCAACTAAAATTCAATGATTCTAAAAATTTTAATTCAAAATTAATTATTATCAAAATTTTTAATAAAAAATCAACTAAAATTCTTCACTATATTAATTATTTTTAATAATTTTAATGAAATTCAACACAAATAATAATAATATTCTTCAAAAATTCAATTATCTGAAAGCATTTTGCAATTAAAAAGATTTTTAAGTTCAATTTTTGTTTGTAATTTCTAATAAATTGATGCCATCTACACGGATTTTTCTAAAGCTTTTGATAAAATTAGTCATTCAATCCTTCTTGAAAAATTAAAATTAATGGGTTTCGGCATTTGTGCATTATCATGGATAAAAAGTTATCTAACTAATAGAGGTCAATATGTCCGTGTAGATGGTAAATATTCGCGAACATTTACTTCTACTTCCGGTGTCCCCCAGGGTTCGCACTTGGGTCCCCTTTTATTCTTACTATTTATTAACGACATTAAATTAATTTTTAAATTTTGTTCTTTTTTGCTCTTTGCAGACGATCTTAAGCTATACATGACTATTAATTCTAACTCTGATTTTAATAATTTTCAATCTGACTTAGATCGACTGCAAGAATGGTGTCATCGTAACAAATTCTTCCTGAATATAAAGAAATGCTTAACAATCTCCTTCTCGAGAAAAAAAATTGTTTTTAATCATAATTATAAATTAGGAGATTCTTCTTTAAACCGTGTAACCCAGGTGCGGGATCTGGGGGTCATCTTGAGTGACAATTTATCTTTCTCTGAACATGTATCTTTTACAGTGAATAAGGCTCTAAGGTCTTTGGGTTTTATTATGCGGAGTGCTTCTGATTTTAAAAGTTTAATTTCCTTAAAAATACTTTACTTTTCATTTGTAAAATCTATCCTTGAATTTGCCTCCGTTATTTGGTTTCCCCACTACTTTGTTCACATCATTAGATTAGAAAGGGTACAGAATCGTTTCTTGCGCTTCTTGGCCAGACAACTCGGTGTTGGTTATGATTTTTTCTCTCATAATTATGATGAATTACGTTCGCGATTTAATATTCCTAAAATTGAGACCAGATTTTGTTATAACGACTTACTTTTTTTGTTTAAAATTATCAATGGTGTCACAAATTGTCCGGCGATACTGTCAATGATAAATTTCTGTTCGCCAACTAGACAATTAAGAAATTCCTCTTTATTTTATATTCAACATCATAGAACTAATTATGGTAAAAACTCTGTCATTAATCGACTATGTCGCGAAGCCAATCTGTATAGCGAGAATCTTGATCTCTTTGGCGTTAGTTTGAGAGGATTTATTACATCCTTGCGCACAACTCTTTTTAAAAATCGTTCTAATAATACCAGGTCGTTCATTGCTTAAAAGTTTTTCTTTTGTTTTTGATTTTGGACGCCTTTGGTCCAATTATGTATATACATTTATATTTTTGCATTTTCATGTATAGGGCTTCTCATGCCCGTGTATAACTTTAAATAAATAAATAAAAATTGAATTATTATCCAAAATTTCAATTAAAATTCAATTATTTTCAAAAATTTGAAATTAAAAGCTTCTAAAATTTAATTATTTCTAATTTTTTGATCGAAAATGTTTTGAAATTTAATAATTTCAATTATAATTCTAAGGAAATTTAATTATTTTTAACTATTTTTATAATATTCTTTGAAAATTCAACTATCTGAAACTATTTTTCAATTAAAAGTGGTTTTCAAATTATTGTATTTTTATCTGCAATTTATAATAAAGTTTTTAGTGAAATCGACTAAAACGACTTGTTTTGGTGCCTTTTTAAGTCAATCCGAGGCCTGATAAAATAATTGCCAAAAATAAATTGTACGGATATAAAAAATTATTACATATTGGGAATTTTAAGAATTTTCTAAAAATACCCCTTTAACGACTTTAGGGAAAATTATAATAAATTGACAAATATACAAAAATATTTTCAGATCATGACAATTTCTATCATGGTCGAGTATTTGGAGAAGTAGATTCTCACGCACAGATTCATATTGACAATGGTGTTCTTACGGGAACTGTTACTATTCCTGACGAAACTTTTCATATTGAGGTAATGTCTAATTTTTTATAAAAAAAATTTTTAAATTAAATTATTTTCATTTTTTTTTTTTTTAATAAAAAAAACATTTTTTTTTGTAAATATTTTTTTTACAATTTTTATATACATATAAAAAAATGAACTTTTTAATTTTCAGCCATCCTGGAGGCATCTTCCTCACTTGGATAACAAATCAATGATAGTTTATAAAGCGTCGGATGTAAAATTAAGTTGGGAACATTTTGAAAATGGAGAAGGTCACACGCATAGTGCTCCAAAAACATGTGGTTACGTAAAAGAGGAATCAGGTAATTTAAGAATTAAAATTGGTGTTTTTTTTACGTATGTTTGAAAAAGCTTCGTTTTTGTTTAATTTAATTTTTATTATCGCATAAATAATATTCGAATTTGTTTAGACATTCCCGAAGAAAAATTGGAACTCGATGTGACACTCGAGGAAGAATTTGATAATCAAACAAGAAAAAAAAGACAGACTGAAACTTATGAATATACACCGACAAAAACACGATGTCCACTTTTACTTGTTGCTGATTATAGATTCTATCAGGAAATGGGAGCCAGCAGTACAAAAACAACAATTAATTATTTGGTTGGTTTTGTTTAATTTTTGTTAATAAATTTTTGAGTTTAATTTAATTTCACCTTTTTTTGATGAAAAATTCTAGTATTTTTAATTAAAATAAAAAAATATCTTACATTTCGTTTAAAATTTAAAATAATTTTCATAATCATTTTATAGAACATTATTAGCATTTATTAATTAATTAATTATTATGGTAGTAAATTGAAAAACATTTTTGTTTTATTTGCAGATAAGTTTAATCGATAGAGTGCATAAAATATACAATGACACTCTCTGGCAAGATCGTCAAGAGCAGGACGGATTTAAAGGAATGGGATTTGTTATTAAAAAAATTGTCGTTCACAGTGAACCAACTCGTATTCGAGGTGGTGAAACGCATTACAATATGGTTAAAGAAAAGTGGGATGTTCGCACACTTCTTGAAGTAAATATTTTGCAATAGATTTAATTTAATTTGTCAAAAAGAAAAAAAAAAAATTTTTTTTTAATATAATTACTAAAAAATATCTCACATTAAAACAAATTAATATTCTTTCTATAAAATATGGAATTTGAAAAAAAAAATTATGTTTCTTTTCTAGGTCTTTAGCAGGGAATATAGTCACAAGGATTTTTGTTTGGCTCATTTGTTTACTGATCTAAAATTCGAGGGTGGAATTTTGGGTTTGGCTTATGTTGGTTCACCACGAAGAAATTCTGTCGGTGGCATTTGTACTCCTGGTAAGGAACAAAAAAAAAAAAATTTAACTAAAATTTAGACATTTTTTAAAATAATTTTTCATTTTCTAATCTTTTAATTTTTTTCAAACAATTATTTTTTCAAATACTTATTCTTCTGAAATTATTGGTACTTTTATAAATTGGGATTAAAATTCTCAATTTTTTTTTCCCACAAATTGTCATTTTATTTTGCGGAAATTTCGTCTTTTTTTAAGACGTTCTATTTCTAATTTTTTGATTTTTTTTTCATTATTATATATTTATTTATAAATTAACGGGCTTAAAGTAAAAATTTTCATTTTTTTTATAAGGTTCTCAGCCCATTATCATAATATCAAACTAAAAAGTTGTTTTTAACAATAAATAATTTCTAAAATTCTCGATTTTAATTTCAATTTTTTTTTATTCTTCTACATTGTAGATATTTCTCTTACATTTTTCGATTTTTGTTTTTAATTTTTATATTTTTCTTTTATAAATTATAATTTTTTTTTCATTATTATATATATTTATTTATAATTTAACGGGCTAAAAACAAAAATTTTCATTTTTTTCCAAACAAAATTTTTCTCAAATACTTATTCTTCTGGAATTCCTAAAATATATTACTTATATTTACTTTTACAAATTAGAATAAAATTCTCAATTTTTTCCAACAAATTGTTATTTTATTTTGTTTCATTTTTTATTTATTTTTTTACATTATAGGTATTTTTCTAAATTTTTCAATTTTCTCTTTATTTTCTAAAATTCTTGTGTTTTTTTTAATTCTTTTTCAATTTTTCTTTAAAATTCTGTTTTTGAATTTCTAAAATTTGGTGTTTTTTTTCTATCGATATAATTTTTTTTTTTTTTGCTATTTAAAAGTTTATTATAAAGTTTCTTGATAAATATTGCAAGAATAATTTATTTAAATAAATTCAAAAACATATCCTATAAGAATTTCAATAATTTTCAAAGTTTTGTTTATATTAATAATTTGATAAAAAAATTAATTTTATTATTTTCCATTGCAGTAAGTAATTTTTAAAAAAATTTTGTAGACCAAAAAAATTATTTCGTTCATTTGAACATTCAGAACTTTCTGGAATATTAAAAAAAAAATCCATAATTTAGAAAAATTATTTATTCCTTTTTATTAATTTATTTATAGAATTTAATTTTTTTCTATTACAGAATATTTTAAAAATGGCTACACTCTGTATCTTAATTCCGGTTTGAGTTCAAGTAGAAATCATTATGGACAACGTGTTATAACTCGCGAAGCAGATTTAGTGACTGCTCATGAATTTGGACACAATTGGGGGTCTGAACACGATCCTGATATTACGGTATTGTTTATTGAGTCTTTTAAAATTATATACATTTTTTTAAGCAATAATAATAATAAAAAAAATAATAATATTAATGGTAGTTTAATAACAGTAAAAAAAATTTTAAAAACTTTGATAATAAAATATAAAAGAAACGAAATTCATAAAAAATGTATAGAAAGTTTTTCTAAATTTCTAGAATCAAGAGTAAAGAATGAAATTTCTTTGTAAAATTATTATTAATATTCATAAAAATTGAAATAAAAAGTTTCAATCAATATCGGTTTTTTTTTCAAAATAGGAATGCAGTCCAAGTGCTAGTCAAGGTGGTTCGTACTTAATGTATACCTACAGTGTTAGTGGATACGACGTAAATAATAAGGTATGAACTAAAAAAAGGAACAAAATTATTTATCTGTTCTAATGTATAGTTTTTCACAATTTTATTAATAATAATTGTTAATTTTTAATGAAAATTTAATTTAACATTAATAGTAAATGTTCAATATTAAAATTGAAATTTTTTTTTTTTGTAGCGTTTTTCGCCGTGCAGTTTGCGATCAATTCGAAAAGTTCTACAGGCAAAAAGTGGACGATGTTTCTCGGAACCTGAGGAATCGTTTTGTGGTAATTTACGCGTTGAAGGCGATGAGGAATGTGATGCTGGACTTTTGGGAACAGAAGACAATGATGCGTGTTGTGATAAAAATTGTAAATTACGTCGTCATCAGGGTGCCGTTTGTAGTGACAAAAATTCGCCTTGCTGTCAAAATTGCATTTACATGCAACAGGGGACAAAATGTCGTGAAGCACAATATGCAACGTGTGAACAGGAATCGCGTTGCACTGGAGCGACAAGCGAATGTCCACGATCACCACCAATGAAAGATGGAACCGGATGTCTTGAGAGGGGACAATGTCGTCTTGGAAAATGCGTTCCCTATTGTGAAACTCAAGGTCTACAAAGTTGCATGTGCGATACAAGTAAGAATACTTTTTTAAAGTTAACAATTTGAAAAAAAAAATTTTATCATTTAAAATTCCATGAGTTTTCAATGAATACTAGATGTGATAATTTACATTAACATCACTAATTTTTTTTGAAAAAAAATTATTTTTTTTTTCTTTTAGTACTAATTGACGAAGCTAAAGTACGCAACGTTTATGATAAACAATTTTTAAAGAAATAATTTTTTAAAATGAAAAATTGTATAATTTTTTGTTAAAAAATATTTTTTTTATAATTTGTTGATTAATGAAAACTATAAGAAATATTTTTTAGGCGAAAAATTATAGAATTTTTCATTTTAAAAAATTATTTCTTTAAATATCGTTTATCATAAACGTTGCGTACTTCAGCTTTGTACTAATTGCGACTGGCTTTTATGATTTTTTTTTTTTCAATTTTTTTTTGGCAAGCCGTTTACGAGATATGAATTTTTCAGAATTTTAATGATGTTTTAAATTCAAATGCTCTACCCCTAATTTTGAATTTGAATCCTAAAAACATGAAAATGTCGAGTAAATTATATCAGTAAAGTTAAAATTTTCAAAAAACAAATATTGTGCTCGATTTGTGATGTTTTGTGCAAAAATTTACATAATTTTTTGAAAAACTCAAAATTCTGGACAAAAAAAAAATCAAAAAACTTTTTTTAAACGACTAAGTTTAAATGTTTCAAAAAAAAAAAAAATAAATTTTGTGCTGAATTGTATTGACTTGTGCTCTTTTGTGTATTAATTCATTTTTGGAAAAACTCAAAATTCCGGGCAAAAACATCAAAAAAACATATTATTTTATACATCTGTAAAGTTTAAATTCTTTTAGAAACCTGATAATATTCCCAATTAAGCTTTTTTTTCTCAATTGTGACGTAAAAAATTAAAATTAAAATAATTTTTTGACCAAAATTTGTAAAAAAATAAAAATAACTAATTTTTTGATTATTTTGTCCGAAATTTTAGGCAACAAAATTTGTTATTTTGAAATGTTTAAACTTAGACGTATAAAAAAATGTTGTTTTAATTTTTTTTTTGGCCCGGCATTTTGAGTTTTTAAAAAATTATGTAATTTTTGCACAAAAGATCACAATTAAACACGATATTTATTTTTGGAAAACTTTAACTTTTTAAATTTACAAAAGTGTTTTGGTATTTTTGCCCGGAATTTTGAGTTTTTACAAAAATGAATTTTAACAGAAATGATTACAAGTCGAGCACAATTCAGTATAATATTTGTTTGTTTGTTTGTTTTTTTTTTTTTTTGAAAATTATAACTTTAATGGTCTAAATTCCTTGGACATAACATAAAAAATAAATTTTAATTTTTGACCCTTTTATAATTTTTATTTTTTTAAATAAATTAAAATTTTTGAAAATCCATGCGATAGATTTTTTGAAGAATCATTAATAAAGTGTGGAAAAAATTTGTCTAAAGAAAATAGTAAAAATTGTGAAAGAAGTACAATTTTTGAAAATTTTAATTTTTTTGAAGACTAATTTCTAAATTTGTCCAAAAAATAAATTAAAATTTTCTTTTTTTAACCACCTTGTATAATTTTAGGATCCAAATGATGTAAGAAATAAAATATAACCTCCTTTGATAATTTCAATTTTAAACTAAAATTCTATGAGAATTTTAGAATTAATAATATTCATTTTAATTCACAGTTTCAGAAGCTTGTAAGAGATGCTGTAGAATGAGCTTGAATGAAACATGTTTTCCCATCGATCCACAGGATATTTTACCCGATGGCACTCCTTGCATTCAAGGATTTTGTAATAAGGTAAAATAATTTCAAAAAATTAATTTAATAGTATTTATTAATAGTATTAAGAATAATAATAAAAAATTTGCTGATAATTTTTCCTTTTAGGGAGTTTGTGAAAAGACAATTCAAGATGTGGTGGAGAGATTCTGGGATATTATTGAAGACATTAATATCAATAAAGTTATAAGATTTTTAAAGGACAATATTGTTGGGGCAGTTATTATTAGCACGGCTTTGGTATGGATTCCATCGAGTTGTGTAATAAGTTACATTGATCGTCGGAGAGTTAAAGAAAATGAGAAAAAATGGCGTTGGAAAAATACTGATGAACTAATACATCCGGAAGAACGAAGACAAGTTATTTATGTTGGTTTACCACGTCGAGTACAACATGTGACACAACAAACTTAATTTCCCCCTTTTATTATTAATTTAATTAATTGAAAAAACAAATACTAGTCAGACGAAGTAATATTTTTTTTTTTAATTTTTAATTTATCGTTAATTTTACTTAACATCACCGCAATATTATGGTGAATATATTAACTTGCCAGTTACCAATAAAGCTTTATAATAATTTTTTATTTAAATTTACGGTGCTCGCAACTAAAAAAATTTAATTATTTATTTTAGTTTCGATTTTAATATTTTATTAATTGTTGTATTTCTAACTTCTATATATTTGATACTTAATTTAATTCTATTTTATTTTTAATTTCTATATTTTTGTTTGTTTTTGACTTTTTATAGTATTTTTAATTTATAATTAATGATTATACTGTAAAATATTGTTGGACTGATTTTTGAAAACTATTTTATAGATAAATTTAGATTTTTTTTTTTTTTTATACAAGTATTGAATTTAATATTGAATTTATTTTTCAATATTTTTCAACAAAATATTCTTTTGTGTAAAGTGTTAATATTTGTAGTCGATTTGTTGTTTATTTAAAAAATCTTCATACTATAGGTAAAAGTTTTTTTAAATCATTTCTGGAATATATAAAATATAATTATAGTTTTTTTTCTTTTTTTATCTAAACTTTTTATACGTGTTTAAAAAATTTTTAATCCTTAACAAACTATACATATGTATTAATAATTTATTAATATTTAATTTTTGTTTTTTATTTTATAAAATCTATAAACAAAATTGTGTTTATTTCTAAAACACAAAAAATTTAATCATGAGAAAAAGAATAAAATAATTACATTAAATTTTCTTATTCAATTTTTTTTATTAATTTATTTTTTTTTGTTTTAGATAGTAAAAAATAAAAAAATTACATACTAAAAATTAAATGTGAACAAATGAAATAAATACCGTATTATTTATGAAAATATTAATGGAAATATTGTACAAAAATTGTGTATTTCAAAGTTGTAAAATAAATATTAAAAATAATATAAAATCAAAAAATTCGAATATATTTCTTCTTATTAATTTCCTATAATAATAGTTAAATAATTTTTCAGTTAATCAAATAAAAAAAATATAACATTGCGTATTGATGAACGTGAAAATGTAAATAACGTTTCCCCCTTCTATTTTGATAACAATCTGACAATTTGTTTTTCAGTTATTATATTTTTGAAACCAGAAATTTAGTTTGAATTATTAATGCGATCTTTTTGATAGTAAACTAAAGATTATAATCAATTTACGCAACACTCATCACATTCGTTATTGAAATTCAAAAAATGAACAATTATTTACTTTCCAATTAAAAATCATTATTTAATAAACAGTATTGTACTTTATTTATTTTTATTTAAAAAAAAAAGTTTAAATTAATTACAAATATTATTTTTTTCTCTATATTTTTCGAATACGAAAAAAAAATTAAATAATAATAAGAATAAATTAAAATAAAAAAAAATTAAAGTAACAATCAATAATAGAAGAGATTATCGAAAAATATAAAATAAAATATTTATTTCGACTCATTATAGGCAAAAAAATATCTAAATCTCGGGATCAAATTAAAAAAATAAAAATGAGAGATACAAATATAGATTGTATAGTTACGAATGGATTTCTTATTAAATAAACAAAAAAAAAAAAAAAAACATTTCCTTTATAAAAAAAAATGAACAATAAAAATCTCAGAATACCTACTGCAGTTACATTAAAACTATTCAGAGTCGACGTGATAAATTATATTTTTAGAAATAATATTCAAATGTGAACAAAGTTTTTTAAAACCATAATCAAAAGAAAAAGTTTAATAATTTTTTTGTGTACTATATATATAAAAAGAAAATTTTATAGTTTAAGGAATTTAAAAAATATAAAGGAACAATGAAAATAATTTTGGTTGTGATGTTGAAAATTGTTTTTACAATCGTAACAGCAACCGATTCAATGTTAACTACAAGGGATTATGCAAATCTTATTAGCGATATTCATAATTCCACTAATTCCTCTTCAGTGTCTCTAATACATTTTACCAAGGAAGGAAGTAAGTTTCACAGAAAAGAGAATATTTTTAAATTTAATATAATATTATTACATTCCCGAAGTTAATTATATTTCATCCCTGCTAAAAATAAAATCAGAAATCAGTCTCAAAACGTTAGAAATCCTGACGTTTTGAGACTATTTTGATGTTTTGTGAATGCTTCTGACTAATTCTGACTTAAATGGTTTTTATGGGCCTTATGTTTCTGAAAAGTGACTATTTCTCACTACGTTTTATTTTTTTTGTAAAAAGGTACTCTATTGTGTTAAGAAAGCCATTAAATTTGTAAAAAAAAATTTCTATTTTTTTGGTATTATTCATATATGAAAATGAGATATTTGGAAGATTCAATTTTTCAGGATTCTAGACATACAAAAAATTCTATAAATAGTTAAAAATTAAAAAATTGAATAGTTAATTTCAATGAAAAAATTTTAAATATGTATTTGAAATCCTTAGGACAATTTTTTTATTCCATTTAAACCTCTTATTTACTTTTACCCACTACAATTTACCTTTTGTATAATATATTCCCTTCTTCCAATAGAAGGGTCCTTTCGAGGCTCCTTCAGGTTTTATGACTTTTTAACGCAAAATAAAAAAAATTATTTAAATTTAAAATAATATTTTTTTAAATATTATATTTGTAATTATTAGATTTTAACGATTCCAATCATATAATTAATAATAATAATTATAATAATAATATTATATATATTATATCATATATCATTATTTCACACGACACATTAACGCAGTGATTGATTTCTGTATCGATGTCTTAAATTCAGCTACTGAGGAAACTGTAAAGTCAATAATTTTCTATTTTAAAAATGTTATGAATAAAGCTCAATGTTACTCTTTTGCATAAACTAGTAGTTCATAAACAAATAAACTATAATAAATAAATAAATAATTGAATTTTATTTGATTTTAAATTGAAAATTTTGCAAATAATTGAATTTTAGTTGATTTTGAATTGAAATTTTTGAAAATAATTGAATTTTACTTGATTTTGAATTTAAAATTTTAAAAATAATTAAATTTCAATTAAAATTTTGGAAAATAATTGAAAAATTTATTAGAAATTACAGACAAAAATTGAACTTAAAAATCTTTTTAATTGCAAAATGCTTTTAGATAATTGAATTTTTGAAGAATTTTATTATGTATCACTCATCGATAATGTGTTTGCTGCGGTCCATGATCTCTGATTGGAGCGAGGATGAAAAAAATACAGAAATATAGAAATTTTTTTTTTAAATATTCAAAATTTACACCTTTTTTTGAAAGTCAAAAATATTTTTCACTTTTTTTTAATAAAGGACAATTTTTATTTCTTTTTTTTACCCCTTAAAATGAAGCTTTAAATATATGCTTTTAATAAACAAATTAAATAAATTTTTTTTTTGTTTTTGAAATATTAATTAATGTAAATAAATTAATTAAAAAACGATCCAATTTTTTTTCACTCTGTTATAAAGTAGTTATGATTTTTTAAAAAATCGACTGTTCATATTTCACTAAAATTTTAATCCTCTCCTCCTTCTACAGTTTTTAATAAAAATTAATAATAACACAGACACACAAAAAGTAAAAAGTGGTTTGGCGAGACACTTCACTAGTCTATTTCCATGTATTTTTTTTTCCGCTGAATCCGCATCCGAAGTGAGAATTGCCAGATTGATTTTTATTTTTGAGATAAACTCAAAAAACTGATCAGAAAGAAAAATAAAATCAAAAAGTTAAAAAAATTTTAAATGTCACTGCGATAGTGTAATTCTATGTATTTTTTTTACCACTGAATCCAAATCCAAAGTCAGAATTGTTAGATTCGCTCAAAGTTTTGAGATAATTGCAAAAAACTCAAAAAAATTTTAAATCAGTTTTTTTGGGAATTTGAGCCAATCTGACAATTCTGACTTCGTATTCGGTTTCAGCAGGAAAAAATACAAAGAAATAAACTAACGTAGTGTTTCGGCAAAAAAAATTATCTGTGCCCTTAATTCAGAATTTTTATCAGTTTTTGTCGATTAGCTCAAAGAAATTTTTTTTTCCCTGAAACACAACGATACTGCATTTTCATGTATTTTTTCCTGCTGAATCCTAATTCGAAATCAGAATTGACAAATTGGCTCAAATTTTGAAGATAAGTCCAAAAAACTGATTTTGAGTTTTTTGTTACTTGAGTTTTTTTTGCAATTATCTCAAAAATTTGAGCGAATCTAACAAATTCTGACTTTTGATTCGGATTCAGCGGCAAAAAATACATGAAATTACACTATCGCAGTGACATTCAAAATTTTTTTAACTTTTTTGATTTTATTTTTCTTTCTGATCAGTTTTTTGAGTTTATTTCAAAAATAAAAACTAATCTGACAATTCTGATTTCGGATTCGAATTCAGCGGGAAAAAATACATGGAAATAGACTAGTGTAGTGTCTCGGCCAAACAGCTTTTTATTTTTTTGTGTTTTTTAGGGTTCCGTACACCTTCGGTGTACCGACGGAACCCTTATGAAAAGACTCTTGCGTCCGACCCAGCTTTGTGCCCCCCCCCTTAACTTTTACATTTTGCCGAGGGGGAATTTACTCAGGTAGTCAAGTGTACACTCTTCCTGTAGTACTTGTGTAATAACGTGTAATACCGTGTAATAATGCGTTATTACAGTGCTGTAATAACGCATAAAACTCTGTAATATCTCTGTAATAATGTGTAATACTCTGTAATATCTCTGTAATAATGTGTAATACTCTGTAATAACGTGTAATACTTAGTAATAAGGGTAATATGAGGTGTAATAACGGTAGTCAAGTGTACACGTTTTTAACTAGTAAATTCCCCCTCGCATTTTGCTATATGAAAAACTGCAATTTAGTACACATACGTATTTTCACGTGTAGATTACAGGAAAAATATAGCGAGACAGATTGGATTTGATGGCTACGAGCTTTTTCGAAAAAATTGCAAAAAATGGCCCTGCCCTCCCCCCTTAACACATTGAGTGAAGGTATCAAAAATAAAATTTATACAAAGTAGATATTTAAATGTGTTTTTTATTTATATAATCTTTATTTATTTATATAAAAAAGAATTTATTATTGATCACTTCAGAAATTTTGCCTCACTTATTTATTTATTTATTGTTTATATTAATTGAATATTGTGTAAAAAGATCAAAAACATTAGATGAAAATTTATTTTTAAACTTATCTATCAAATAGGGAAATTTATCATTATGTCAATTATAATTTCTTCGAAAGTCAATATTAATTTCAAAATATTGACAAACTTTAAAAACAATTCTAATTATTGAAATAAATGATAAATTTTTCTATTTATGTTGTGTTTTGAGTTTCGTTTATTTGAAAACTAACTGCTGTTTAAGCTGAATAATAATTAAATTTCAATTTTTTTTTTGAAAATAGTTTATTGTGAGTATAATCTGACGTGGAATTCATTGCTAAAAACGAATATCATTTGATTTTGGCAATTTATTAAGTTTTCATGAACATATTTACGTTTTTTTTAAAATCTGTATTGGTGGGGTGAGGTGGCGAGTAAAAAATTAAACATTCTATGCATTTTTTTTTTAATTTTATTATTGCCCTACTTTATTATTTGCTATATAATTTTTTTAAGTGCGATTATTTAAACATTATATACTGGCATATTTCTTCTTGGGCATTGATGAGGTAAAATACATCTGTTGAACTTACGGTCCCTTACATATCCTTCTCGGCATACACAGCCAGGATAACACATCTGTAAATAAAATCAAATGTAAGGTTAAAACATAATTTTCAAAAAAAAAAAAAAAAAAAAAATTAAATTGCAAGAAATTGAAATTGAATTTATTTATTTATTGAAATATATCCCCGTAGTCCAAAAGAGGACTGAAATTTGAAAAATGGAAATTTAATTATATTTAATTACTGTTCAATAATGATTATTTTTATATTTAAAGAATTTACCATGTCACTGATACACCTCGAAGTATCTAACTTGTCACATGTTCTGTGACAATCACTTGAATATCCACACTCTTCAAAAATTGCATTGGGTCCACATTGATATTGATTGTTTGGCTGTTGGGGTACTGTAATTAAAATTGAATTTTATTTTAAATATTTATACAATTAAAAGAAAGGAAAAAATTTTTTTTAGATGCAAATAATGATTTATATTTATTATGTTTTTTAGTTATATTTTGTAATTTACCTTTTCTTGGGCATTGATGAGGTAAAACACATCTGTCGGACTTACGGTCCCTTACATATCCTTCTATGCATTCACAGGTAGGACGACAAAGCTGTAAATAAAATCAAATGTAAGGTTTAAACATAATTTTCAAAAAAAAAAAAAATAATAATAATAATTAAATTGCAAGAAATTGAAATTGAATTTATTTATTTTCTGAAATACATGCCCGTAGTCCAAAAGAGGACTGAAATTTGAAAAATGGAAATTTAATTATATTTAATTACTGTTCAATAATGATTATTTTTATATTTAAAGAATTTACCATCTGATTGATACACCTCGAATTATCTAACTTGTCACATGTTTTGTGACAATCCCTTGAATTTCCACACTCTTCAAAAATTGCATTGGGTCCACAATTGTACTTACTGGAATCTATAATTAAAATTAAATTTCATTTTAAATATCTATACAATTTAAAAAAAAAACAAAATATTTTTTTCTTTTACATTTCTCACTTATAATTATTTAATTTATTTCTTCTTCTACTAATAGATAGAAACGATATTTCAAAGAAAATTTATTTATCAGCAAAAGATAGTTTAATAAATTATTTAATGAAAAAAAATTGTATTATGCATATTTAAAAAAAAAAAATTTAACAATTTTTTATGAATATAAAAATAATCATAGTGTAACAAAAAATACTTACGAACTGCAGCAATGGCCAAAAGTAATGAAAGAGTAAAGATTGGAGACATATTGATGAAGACTTGTAAATGTTGAAATACAATTGTTGTCACTAATTAAATGTTTGCAGAATGATTTTTCTTTGTCAAGTATTCTAAGCGACAGTTAAACATAGACTGTTTTGGAAGATACTTTCAAAAATTGAATTTATAGTGTCGAAAATTCAAAAAGTGGGAGAAATCAAAAATATTGGGCGTAGACAAATATAGTATTTGAATAATTAGCGGGGGTAATACCTCAAACAAGGAAGGCATTTTAATGAGATGTCATTTGAAAATGAGATTTTAATACAAGTGAAATAGGCATTTACTTTTGTATCATTTGAAAATGAGATTTTAATATACTTAAGTGAAATAAGTATTTACTAAACACAAAAGTCTCGTTTCACATTAACGAAAATCTAAACACAACATAAATATCAAAATTATTATCACATTTCAATTAGAATTGTTTTCAAAGTAATAATGACTTTCGAAGAAACTCTAACAGAGATATGATAAATTGAAAAAACATTTTATTATCAGTTAATAATATAGAATATAAAAATTTTTCCAATCTTTTGAAGGTTGCAAACTTTATTCAGGATAATAAAAAAAAAAATTAGAGATTTTGTGAGATATGTTTTTATTAACATAATTTATTTGCTATTTAAATTTAGCGAAGATATTTTGCTTGGTTTCTGAAATATTAGATTTAAAAATATTTTTTACATCTTTCACTATTCTCATAAAAGAACAGAGAGATGTAAAATTGTTTTGTTAATTTTAAGTCTTAGTACTTAAAAAAAAAAATTTCCAATTGCAATTTTTACTTATTTAACAAATTTCTCAATAAATATAATGAAATTATTTAATAATTCATGTAATTTAATTTAACGCTTCTTAAAATATTCACGTTCTCTTTTATTTTTATTGTTATTCGTAACATTATTTTATATAAATAAAAGTTTTCGACATTTTTGAAAAAATGAACATTAGAGGATTACTTCAGAAATTTTGCCTCATATTTAAATATTAATTTTATTTAATTTTTTTTTTAAATTACTTTTTACACAATATTAGGTTATTAATATTTAAATTATTAATTTTACCATTATATATTTAAATACTATTATTATCATCATTAATTAATTTTAATTTTTAATTTATCGTTAATTTTACTTAACATCACTGCAATATTATGGTGAATATATCAACTTGCCAGTTACCAATAAAGCTTTATAATAATTTTTTATTTAAATTTACGGTGCTCGCAACTAAAAAAATTTAATTATTTATTTTAGTTTCGATTTTAATATTTTATTAATTGTTGTATTTCTAACTTCTATATATTTGATACTTAATTTAATTCTATTTTATTTTTAATTTCTATATATTTTTTTTTTGTTTTTGACTTTTATAGTATTTTTAATTTATAATTAATGATTATACTGTTAAATGTTGTTGGACTGATTTTTAAAAACTATTTTATAGATAAATTTAGAATTTTTTTTTTTATACAAGTATTGAATTTAATATTGAATTTATTTTTCAATATTTTTCAACAAAATATTCTTTTGTGTAAAGTGTTAATATTTGTAGTCGATTTGTTGTTTATTTAAAAAATCTTCATACTATAGGTAAAAGTTTTTTTAAGTCATTTTTGGAATATATAAAATATAATTATAGTTTTTTTCTTTTTTTATCTAAACTTTTTATACGTGTTTAAAAAAATTTTAATCCTTAACAAACTATACATATGTATTAATAATTTATTAATATTTAATTTTTGTTTTTTATTTTATAAAATCTATAAACAAAATTGTGTTTATTTCTAAAACACAAAAAATTTAATCATGAGAAAAAGAATAAAATAATTACATTAAATTTTCTTATTCAATTTTTTTTATTAATTTATTTTTTTTTGTTTTAGATAGTAAAAAATAAAAAAATTACATACTAAAAATTAAATGTGAACAAATGAAATAAATACCATATTATTTATGAAAATATTAATGGAATATTAATTAATTCTCATCATTTTTAAATAATTATAATAGTAAAATAATCTTGGTATTCATTCATTCATTCATTCATTCCGTCCGGACCCCTGCTGGGTTTTCGGTGACAGAGAAAAGAACAAGTTATGGAGAGAGAAAGATATATCTTTATTTGGGCGATTCACGATTCGCCGCCAACTCATCCCCGTGTACCTGCTCAGCGGCAAATTTTCGTCCCCGTATGTTCCCCCACTACCGGCCGTACTGTACCCCTCCGTTCAGTTCATTTTGGGTAACAATTGAATTTTATTTGATTTTAAATTGAAAATTTTTGAAAATAATTGAATTTTCTTTGATTTTGAATTGAAATTTTGGATAATAATTAAATTTTAATTGAAATTTTGGGTAATAATTTAATTTTAGTTTATTTTGAATTGGAATTTTTGAAAAAAATTCAATTTTATTGCGATATTTTTTGAAAATTATAAACAATTGTTAAATTTTATAAAAATTTTATTTGAAAAATAATTTTGAAATAATTGAATTTGTGATGAATTTCATTAAAATTATTAAAAATAATTAATTTAATGAAGAATTATTTTAGTTCAAAATTTGTTAAATAATTGAATTGAAGAAGATCTGAAGAATATCTACATTTTATACTAAAAAAATGTATTTTATTAAAATTTTCAATTTAAAATCAAATAAAATTCAATTGTTACCCAAAATGAACTGAACGGAGGGGTACAGTACGGCCGGTAGTGGGGGAACATACGGGGACGAAAATTTGCCGCTGAGCAGGTACACGGGGATGAGTTGGCGGCGAAAAGTGGTCTGCCCCTTTATTTTGCAAATGAGGCTTCGCTTGACCTGCAAGTAAGAAGGATTAATTAATAACTCTGAGGACCCAGGTAATTATTTCTTTCTCCCTTTATCACGTGAAAAAGCTATAAAGAAAGTGTAAAACTGAATAGGTAACGCATACCTTTCTTTCTTACACCAAGAAATATTGGCGATTCAAACAGCTACACTAGCGCCACAGTTGAACTAATTTAGGCGTGACTCGCTCTAAAGCAGTCTCTATTTTGACAGTTTATTTCAAATTATTTAATTATTCTGATATTTTTATTGCGTTTGTAAAATTATTTTTAAGCGTTAAATAAAAAAAAATAATTTAAAACACATGGAGTGCTACAGAGCGAGTCACGCCTAAATTAGTTCAACTGTGGCGCTAGTGTAGCTGTTTGAATCGCCAATAACATAAGTACTTCTTTGTTTAACATTGCGTTTCTCTATCTAGATGATTGAAAATGACATAAGAACATCATCGTCTAAAATCTTAATCTTCTTCCATTTTTGTTTTAAAAATAAAAAAAAATTCATTTATATGTATATATGTATGTAGGGGAGAGTGACAAACAGTGGGACACTTTTTTTTAAAGAGATATTAATATGTCAATTTTATATATTTTTGGACACTTTTTGGTACTACCATAAAATTTCAAGTTTTTGGAACTTGATACATTTTTCTTGTTTTTAAGGTTTGTGTTAAACAGTGGGACACCTATTATTAATTATTAAATAATGAATAATTGTTTAATAATAATATTCTGCTTCATACTTTGTAAATATATATGTTTTGCATTAAATAACGTTAACAAATGTTTCAAAACACTCATAATTTAATAATAGTTTAAATTTTTATAATTTTTTATTGCATTTCATTATGTACTCCGAGTTAATCTTCATTAACAAAGGTTCTATTGGCCAAGGGTTGGTACATCTTTATTTTTCTATATAATAAATGTGAAAAAAGAAATTATTACCTGGGTCCTCAGAGTTAATCCTCATTAACAAAGGTTCTATTGTCCAATGGTTGGTTCTTTTGTGGTATTTGTTCCGGGGTTTTAATACAGGTATAAATACGTATATATGTTATTTATAATGAACTACTGATTACTCATATAAGAGTTTCCTTTTTGCACTTATTGGCTGATCAGTAGTTACTGATTTATAGTTACTCATAGTTTTCTCATTCTTTTGGATATTTGGTAGTTTTATTGGATAAAAGGCAAAATTAATTATATTGGATTAAAGTAAAAATTGGTTATATTGAATTAAAGGAAAAATTAGATATATTTAGTAAAAGGTAAAATTAGTTGTATTGAATTAAAGAAAAAATTGGTTATATTTAATAAAAGGCAAAATTGGTTATATTAGAGAAAGTGAGCAAAACGGTTAAAGATATTTAGATTTTCATGAATCAAAAATAAAATTAAACGAAGTATAATATGGCCAACATAAAAGAGTATGTTATTTTAAGTGATAAAGATTTAAAAATTATTGAAAATAGATATAAATTGTTAAATTACATGCATATGTACAAATTTGAAGATTTATTAAGAAAAGATTCCAATTCTTTTTTTAATATGCAAAGTGCTTTGTATGTACAAATGCTTGATTTTATTGTCCCAATTAGAGACGGTGATAAACATATTTAAATACTTTTTAGCGGTAATAACAATTATGGTCACTGAATTTATGTCTATTACTATAGAGTAAGGCTTTATATTTTTGATAGCCTTAATAAGGGGTGTTTAAATGTGCAGCAAATAAAATATTTAATTAGATTGTTCCCTTTTAAACCAACAGTAGTTTTTGAAGCTGTTGATCAACAACCTTTTGGTAGTGTTGAGTGTGGAGTACATGCAATAACATTTGCAACATCTATATTATTTAACGTAATGCCAAACCGTGTAAATTATGAAACTGATAATAACAAAATGAGAAACCATTTTAAGTCAATGTTTGAAAATAATTGCTTAAATCATTTTCCGACAGTAAGAACGTCTCACAATAGGAATTCGATAATAGAGAATGATTAGAACCGTCTTTTCATAAATTGAACTCAGGAACATAAAAATTATATTTTAAACTATTGTTCTGTTTTTAATACTTTTCCCAGTAATAATATTAACAGAGTTCTATTAACACAAGAGTTAAAAATTAAACATTCTTTAAATGACACTAGTGAAAAGAAAATAATTCGTACAACTTATAATACTGTGAACAAAATTTTACCACATGAATATTTAACAATGAAAAATTTTCTGAGTAAAGAAAATGATAAAAAGATAAATCGAGCAATTAAAGAGAAGGGAAGAAAAAGGAAGGCAAGGCGCGAAGTTACATATTAGCAGTAAATAATAAGACAGGAGTATGAGAGATTGAGAAAACGTAATCGTAATAAAACAGAAATAAAAAAGAAAGAGCGCAAAAAAAATTTGACATGCAAAAAAAAAATTATCTATAAAAACTGAAGATGGAAAGAAAATACGCAAGGATAAAAATTTGGCATGTAGGAAAAGAAATATATCAATGGAAACTCAAGATGAAAAGAAAGTACGTCAAGAAAATAATTTGTCATGTAAGAAGAAAAAATTTTCTACGGCAACGGAAGATGAAAAGAATGTGTGAAGAAAAGAATTTGACATGTAAAAACGATAATCGGAATAAAAAAAGTGCAGGAGTTGCAATAATGTCTTTTGAAGATTTAGATGAAAGTAAAGTACCACAGAATTATTTAGGTTTAATAAATGTAGAATGTAAGTTTTGTAACGCGTTACATTTTTTGTGTGAAAGACCGTAACATAGATACATCACGGAGGAATGTCCCCGTGAAAAGGACATTATGATATCGCCTGAATGTCACAAAAATATTTCCGGTTGATATCAGCTTGACATTCAAGCAATATTCCGTGCTACTTGGGTGGTAGATCCAATATAAAGAAATTTTTTTTTACATTTCTAATATTAAATTTTTTTGAAAAAAATGAATAAAAAATATGGTTAATGCACACTAGCAACGTAGTCGGCCGCTTGCGGACGACAAAGTTGCTAGTTATAATAGTAATGAATGTGCTCAAACTTGAACGAATAACCTGATAAAATTCGCTCAGAGTTTACTTAAGACAATCAGACAGTATCTTATTAGTCTAGACGATTTTATTTCTATTACACATATATTCTTTTAAATTCGAATTCAAATAATATTTACATACAAATTTTTTGTTTAATTAAATATTTGCTCATGCAAATTTTATTATTTGAATACATTAATATATGATAATTTGCATATAAAAATGTTTTTTGATCAATATAACAATATACTTATTATAACATGTTAATTTTTAAAAATTAAAATTTTTTTTAAAATATTCATAATAATCATCAACAAAATATGTTGATAAAATTGAAAAAAGTAATAAGATCTTTTATTTTCATAAAACCGAATTCTGCTTTTAAGGTGCTTTTATACCTCAAATTTCGATCAGATGAACATTATTTCTGGACCGTGAAAAGTCATTTTCACGGCGGATATTTTTGAATTGTTTTAAACAAAAAATGTTTTTTTAAGAAATATAATATTAAAAATTGTTTAAATATGTAAAAACACTTTAAAATAGTGATAGAAAGATGATTTGATTGAAAAGTTTAGCAAATTTTGCTTTAAAACGTTTTCTGCTACAAGAAAGTGTAAAATGACGATGTTTGTGAAATGGTTTGTACAGTGCTTCTTCCTTGTGAGTGTCTCTCAGAGTTTTGTTTATGTTTTATCGGTTCTTTTTATCTTGTAATAAATAATGAGTGCTGAAAATAAATCGGTAAGTTGAAATGTTTATTAAATAAATTTAAATTCAACTAATTGTTTCGAAAATTAATTATAATTACTTATGAAAATCATAAGTAATTATAAAACTTGACATTTAAAAACACAAAAAGTAAGTGAATAAATTTGAGGTTATAAATCAATTTTCCACTCATCTCTGAAATACTTTCTGTATAAATTAAGTTTCGTTCAGTTATTCGAAACAATTGGTTGAATTTAAATTTATTTAATAAACATTTCAACTTACCGATTTATTTTCAGCACTCATTATTTATTACAAGTTAAAAGGAACCGACAAAACGTAAACAAAACTCTGAGAGACATTCACAAGGAAGAAGCACTGTACAAACCATTTCACAATCATCGTCATTTTACACTTTCTTGTAGCAGAAAACGTTTTAAAGCAAAATTTGCTAAACTTTTCAATCAAATCATCTTTCTATCACTATTTTAAAGTGTTTTTACATATTTAAACAATTTTTAATATTATATTTCTTAAAAAAACATTTTTTGTTTAAAACAATTCAAAAATACCCGCCGTGAAAATGACTTTTCACGCATTTTCACGATCCAGAAATAATGTTCATCTGATCGAAATTTGAGGTATTGGCGATTCAAACAGCTACACTAGCGCCACAGTTGAACTAATTTAGGTGTGACTCGCTCTGTAGCACTCCATGTGTTTTAAGGAGGTTCGGGGGTATTTTGAAAAAGGTTAAAAAATTTTGAAATATTTTTTTTCCTAATGTCTGGGATGCCATTCAATTTTCCACCAAGTATGAAAATGATTTACCGTATACTTTTTGAGAAAATTGAAGTCAAAGTTCACATTTTATACATAGGCTCTTATGGGATAGTGTTCTAAGGTGAGACAAAATATCAATAAAAGTGCATAAAAAAAGGTTACACTGTTTTAAAAAACTTTGAATTGAATAGCGGAAACATTTCTGATTGTAAACATTTAATAATATTGTATTTTCACCGCATAGTTTTAAAGATAATTAATAAAAATCAATTAGAAATCATGCATTCAAGCAGTATTTCGGACAGGGGCATTGAAACGACGGCAACACTGTAATGTGATCAACGCGTTGACTTTACCCGCGAGAATTCAAAAATACAATAAAATACAAACTTTTATTTTAAACGTTTTTATGAAAAAAAAACAATTTTAACTTAATATATTAAATTTTAAAAAATGTTAAAAAATGGTTTATTTTTTTACAAAAATTTATAAATTTAGTTATTAACAATCGATTACAAAAAAATAAATAACAAATCTTAATGGATATTAAAATGATCAATGTTAGCTATTTCAATTAATTTTTATCTTGATAATTAATTTAAAAAAATTTAATGCTATGATTATGATAATCATAATTATTAATTTAATTGAAAAAAAATTAATTATATTTAATAAATAGATATATTTTTTGCAATAACAATTCTATGGTTTAAAGTAATTTTATAATTTGAAATACGAAATGTAATGTAATAAAAAACAAAATGTGTTAAATTGAAAAAGAAAATTGTTTAACACGCCTATCTAATTGTTTTTTATTAATAAATCTGCCTTTATACCTTAGAACACTTTCCATGTTTGCATTTTATTTGGGGTTAGGTTTGTCAATTGACATTTGACAACACACGCGCATACTATGTGAAGTTGTCAGCAAATACACTGACAGAGTAAGCGAGAAAGGAAATGAGATAACCTACGACGGACTGAGATGAAAATAGACAACGAAAGTTTTACTCATGTTAGCCAACACTACACAATAAATGCAGCGTTGCCAAGTCAACTGCAGTCAAATGTTATATTTCTTTTAAATTATTTTAACGATAAATTCACAATTATACACATTTATATGCAAGAATATATTAAAATATAATTAAATAAATTAAATTAGGTGTGTTTCATACAATAGAATTAAAGTAAATGCATATTTTCATTAACGGTATTATGTTGGTATGAAATTAAAATTCGTATGCTGAAGCATTGGTACTCCCTCTTCCCTGCCTGCCCCTCAAATGATCCCCCGAACCTCCTTAAATTATTTTTTTTTATTTAACGCTTAAAAATAATTTTACAAACGCAATAAAAATATCAGAATAATTAAATAATTTGAAATAAAATGTCAAAACAGAGACTGCTTTAGAGCGAGTCACGCCTAAATTAGTTCAACTGTGGCGCTAGTGTAGCTGTTTGAATCGCCAATAAAAGCACCTTTATTTCTCCGAATATTTATGTATAACCGAAAGTCCACTGATCAGAATACTTAATTCCCAAAAACTCCACTAGTCAGAATGTTTAAATTCCCTAATCTAAATGTGTTAGAATATTTAACTTTCAAACACTCCATTTTTCAGAATATTTAACTTAACGAATCTCCATTTGCCTGAATAATTAACTTCCCAAATTTTCATTTGCCATAATATCTAACTTTCCGAGTTTACATTTGTCAGAATATTGAAATTATCAAATTTTCATGTGTCCGAATATTTAACTTTCCGAAACTCCAGTTGTCAGAATAACTAATTTCTCGAATTTTCATTTGTCATAATATTTAACTTCCCAAATTCCAATTGTCAGAATATTGAATTTGCCGAAATTCCAGTTGTCAAAATATTTAACTTTCCAAATTTGCAGTTGTCAGAATATTAAACTTCCCGAATCGCAATTTGTCAAAATATCAGTTCATAACATCTATCTTTAACTATACAAAATTTGTTCAATATCTCTTTGTTTAATAATTTGAAAATAATTTGAAAAATAAATCGATTATAACTTTTTTCTCAAGAACCTATATAGGTTTCAAAAATTTAACTATACATATAATTTTAGAAGCATTTTATCTAGCAGTACACCAAGTTTTATCAAAATCTGTTTGTTTATTCGTTTATCGACAGAATCTCCTTAAATATAATGAAAATTCAAAAGAGCAATAATTGTTAAACAATCCTTATTGTTTAAAAAAAATTAATGTTGGGAATAATAATTTTTTTTTAGATATTTATAATTACGTATATTTTTTAGACGAGTACAGAGGAGTAATATATTTGAATCAAATTGCGTTGCAATTGAGGCAATAATGTATAATGTTCAATTCACTCATATTTATGCATAAATAAGGAAAATTTTTAAAATATAATTTTTCGACTCTTGTGAGGTCAAATAAGATTAAAATATTGTGAAAAGAAAATCGCATACTTCCTCAATATAAGGAAGAAAATTTCCAATTATTGTTTTAACATTTTTATACTTAATTCTGAATTCTACTGGCAATAGGTCAAGTGATTTTTAATGACATGTACATTTAAATTATTTTAAAGTTAACATGCCTATCATTCTTATTTTTGAAGTTCACGTTGATACACAATTTTATTGTTTTTATTATGTTATATAATACTTTAATTTATTAATGACATATTGTTAAAAAATTTTCTAAAATAATTATTTATGCAATCTTTCAAAATGGGTCCAATGGAAATTATTAATTATTATTACTACGAATTGGCTGGTAAGATATTAATATAAGAAAAAAAATAAAGTAATTTTTACTATGTACAACTTCTAAAGTAAATCCTAAACTTACCGCAAGTTCTGCGTATTTCTGTCAATTTTTTATTATTTCCAGAGTAAACTTAACTATTTCAGGAGTAATTTTTTCTATTTCTGAAACAAAAGTTGCGAGAGATGTGCAGAAGTTTCTGATAGTTTAGATTTTTCTTTATAACTAGTAAAAATTACTATATATTTTTTCCCCATTATTTATATATATATATATATATTTTCTTGACAAATTTTCAGATCCACGAATAAGGGATTGGTTTTTTATGAATAGCATTTGGTATCTAATTATAATTACGTTGATCTATATACTCATGGTATTTAAATTGGCACCAGCTTACATGAAAAATCGACCAGCCTATAAACTAAATACATACATTAAATGTTATAATCTGTTTCAAATTTTTTCAAATGCGTATATAGTTATAAACATATCACTTTGCTATCCATTTCTTCGTAGTTTTGAATGTCGTCCCATTGTTTACAATACAGATCCTTGTAGTATGATGGTACGTTATTTTTTAAATGTGAACTTATTTTAATTTATAGATAATTCACAATACTAAAATATATAATTTATTATGAAATGATATTAATAATTTTATTATAATTTCAGATAGTAAAATGTGCTTATATAGGAATGTTTTTAAAACTTATTGATCTCAGTGAAACAGTAGTTTTTATACTTCGAAAGAAAAATAATCAAGTTACATTTTTACATTTATACCATCATTTAAGTACCTTTATAATTAGTTCAATATTTTCAAGATATATTAGTGTAGATGTCGTTATGTTGGGTCCAATTTTGAATTGTTCTGTTCATGTGATAATGTACTTTTATTACTTTCTTAGTAATTTTGAAGGTCCAATTAAACAAATGATTATTTCTTTCAAACGCTACATGACTCTCATACAAATGGTAAATATAACAATTTCAATAAATTATTGCTTAAAGTTTGAAAATATCGAGCGCTCTTTGTATTTAAAAAATTTGTGTATTATTTTTACAACTATAGCGTATAGAGTTGTTATTAGTAAATTACATATATAATCATAAAATTTTAATTTCCATATTTTGAATATTTACAATTTAATTAAGATTATTATTTTTCAATCCTTTTTTTTTTTATTTAATTGGAATTGGGCCATTCTTCCAATTATAATTTGAACAAATTACAATACAATTTTATTTTAAACATAACTTACAAAAAATTTAGAATTTTTCAAACGTAAAGAAACGACTAAATATTTTGCTAATGGGATCTCTGGATTAATAGTATTATTGTTTCAGGGTCAATTTGTCATTGTACTTGTACAAATCTCAGTTATCATGATACCAGGCTGTGAGAAGTTGCCAAAATTTTTTGTATATACAATGTTTGTGAATGTTATTTTCAATTTCTGTTTATTTTATCGCTTTTACAAAAAGACTTACATTATTAGTATAAAAAAGAAAAATTGAAAGGTTCTATTACTGCTAAACCCATTTAAGAAAATTATTGCCACAATGTCATATGTCACCATAGACATATATGTTACAGTTTTAACTATTTTTTTAATAATTTATAATTTAACTTTAAAAAATTGTTGCGAAACTTTATTAAAATCAAATGACATTTTTGAGTAGCCATTAATGCTAACAAAAATAAAACACCATTATCTTGATTCAAGATTTTGTAATTTTTAAAAAACATCGTGTAATATATATACCTATTAGTTACTCTCAAGCTTTTTTACAAGATTATTTATTATAAAATTATAAAAAAAATATATTTATTATTATATTATAAAGTATATATTCTCTTATAATTAAATCAAAAAATAATTCAAAATTAATATATTAGTACCTAAAATATATGTAACATGATTGTGAGTTTACTTTTATCTCCTTCTTCTTTAATTTATAGGTTTATTTATTTTATTTAAAATGCTTTAAAATAAAAAAAAAATATTTAGAAAACAATAAAAAAAATTATAGTAAGTGTTAAATTTATTAAATTAATATTAAAAACTAAGTTTAAAAAGTTTAATTTTTAAACGAAAATGAAAAGAAACATGGCGCCGCATACACAGACGTTGCTTGAGTGTTCAGTGCTCCAGTAAACAGCGCCAATTCGAGCAAGTGGCCAATAAATGAACTACAACTAAATACATTATTTTACTATTATATGAATGAAATAGTCCATACCATCTATTACAACTTATCTATACACCTTCCCTAAATGGTAGAAATATTTACTTTCATTCACAACTAGCAATGCCGAAAATACTCACATAACAACTTTCGAGAAATTCCAAACTAATTAAATTTTTTTCGTCGTGGTATTAGATCCGCCATTTTGAATTATTAAAATCTAATATTATATTCATAATATCAGCGTTCTCGAACACCTCTAAGTAATGTAATGAGATTCAAAATGCTCCGGTGAATTTTAAAATTACACCCGCCATTTTGAATTTGCAAAAACAGACATGATATTCGTAATCGGTGACCCTGAAAACCCCTTTCGAAACTGTTTTAAACGAATCAGCCCACACAGCACAACATCTTACACCAGGCCTACAGCAGGCTTACATGTAAGGTTTGTAAGGTAACATCGTAAGCCCATAGTAGACTTACAGTAAACCTAAAATGTCCGCCTTACAGTAAGCTTACATGGTAGGGTCGAGGTAAGCTTATACATGGTACGGTTGAGGTAAGCTTACACGGTAAGGTCGAGGTAAGCTTACATGGTAGGGTCGAGGTAAGCTTACATGGTAGGGTCGAGGTAAGCTTACATGGTAGGGTCGAGGTAAGCTTACACGGTAAGGTCGAGGTAAGCTTATGAGTAAAGGCTGTGGTAAGGTTATTATTAAGTTGTAAGGTTGAGGTAAGGTTGTGGTAAGCTTACAAGGTAAGGCAAGTTATATTCAAATAATAATATTAATAATAAATAAATATTCAATAAAAAAATTTTTCTTTTGCCTTATTCTATTTTGGGAACCTATCATTTCGCAGAAAGTTTTGAAAACAAATTTGGGAGGAGTAGGATTCGAACCCGGGACCGAAGTATATACCTAACAACCTAACCAACTGAGCTAAACGGGGAACTGACAATGAGAAAAGTAATCTTACTTTTAAAGTGGAACCAAGAAGATAATCAACTCCTTAAAAGCAAGATTACTTTTCTCATTGTCAGTTCCCCGTTTACCTCAGTTGGTTAGGTTGTTAGGTATATACTTCGGTCCCGGGTTCGAATCCTACTCCTCCCAAATTTGTTTTCAAAACTTTCTGCGAAATGATAGGTTCCCAAAATAGAATAAGGCAAAAGAAAAATTTTTTTATTGAATATTTATTTATTATTAATATTATTATTTGAATATAACTTGCCTTACCTTGTAAGCTTACCACAACCTTACCTCAACCTTACAACTTAATAATAACCTTACCACAGCCTTTACTCATAAGCTTACCTCGACCTTACCGTGTAAGCTTACCTCGACCCTACCATGTAAGCTTACCTCGACCCTACCATGTAAGCTTACCTCGACCTTACCGTGTAAGCTTACCTCGACCTTACCGTGTAAGCTTACCTCGACCCTACCATGTAAGCTTACCTCGACCCTACCATGTAAGCTTACTGTAAGGCGGACATTTTAGGTTTACTGTAAGTCTACTATGGGCTTACGATGTTACCTTACAAACCTTACATGTAAGCCTGCTGTAGGCCTGGTGTAAGATGTTGTGCTGTGTGGGAGATGAATATTTGAATTTTGGGTCGCCATATTAAATCCGCCATTTTGGATTTTTAAAAACGGACATCATATTCGTAATCAGCATCGCAAAAACTTTAAATATGATATATGATGAGAAATTATTATTACGATAGTTAATTTGCACCTTAAAGGGTTAAATAAATTTTTCAATTCTAACATAAAAATTTTATTTTATTTTTTATTTCTTTACTACTTAGTTAATCATACGTTAATATAAAACTTAAAATGAAAATTTTTAAATCAACGTTCAATAAAATTCTAGAAAACAATAGACCCCTTTTAATGACGGTTGACATACAAAAAGTCAGGTACACTGAAAAACTTTTGGGGCAGCTGCTCTCCTAATCGAAAAATTTCTATATTCAGTTAACTTCATACTCAATATTTATCATGAGTTTTTATATGAGTGAAGTTAACTGAATATAGAAATTTTTCGATTGGGAGAGCAGCTGCCCCAAAAGTTTTTCAGTGTATATACGGAACAATCACAAGAGGGGAAGCCGAAGTCAGAAGGATTGCCTACCTCACTCTATTTCAAGCAAAACAACATAAGATTCTTTCTGTCATCTAACGCAAAAATTTAACGCTTTTCTTTCTTCATCTATCACAAAGAAATAACATAAGAATGTCTTTGTTTGAAATCTTTTTTTCTTTTCTGTCTAAGGAAAATATCATAAGACCCTTTTCGTCTAAAAATTTAACGCAATCATCTTCTCTCTTCTGTCCATGAAAATAACATAAGAATGTCTTGCTCTTGCCTAATTTGAATATCTACTCGTTTCATAGTATGGATGAGTAGAACAGCCTTATGCTTTGCACCCTCCTTTATCAAGTCTTCAATATTTTAACCCAAAATCATTATTTATTTCAAAGAAAGTTAGAAACCACAAAAAAACGTTCTTTGCCCACATGGCCTTAAGGGTATGTGGGAACCTCCCACGTGACCTAGTATGGGAAAATGTGTTTTGGTAGTATATACATTTCACTCTAAAATGAAAAAAGATAAAATTTTGAGGGATGATAGATTAGGGTACAAGGAATCTCGCTGTTCTCCGAAAAAATACATAATTTTGACTTAAATTATTAAAAAATGAAGTTTAAAAAGTGACATTTTTAAACGAAAATGAAAAGAAACATGCGGCGGCGCATACACAGACGTTGCTTGAGTGTGTCAATGCTCCAGTAAACAACGCCAATTCGAGCAAGTGGCCACTCAATGAACTACGATTAAATACATTATTTTACTATTTATTGCTTTATTTTTATTATTTTTGCGTTAAGTTTTAGTAAATGAGTAAAACAGCGAGATTCCTTGTATCAAACAAAATAATTTTTCCAAAATTTTAACCCGAAATCATTTTTTATTTCAGATAAATTTTCAAACCACAAAAAAATGTCCTTTGCCCACATACCCTTAAATGGAATTTCTGTTAAATAATAATTCAAAGAAATAAAAATTCAGAATAAATTCTAAATCCTAATGAAATTCTCTGTCAAATGAAAATTCAATTATAGGAGCTTATTCCTCCGTCTCGTCAAAATTAGTACGCAAATAATTAACGATACCTATTATTAATTTTATCGAAAGGAGAAATCGAAAATAATTAATAAATATTTCAGGAATTGTCTACATATATATAAACATGAAAATGTGAATATAATGTTATTTTTTTATTTTCAGATTTAATGCAAAAGAATTTAATTTTCCAAATACAAGTGCTACTTTTTAAAAAGAACATTCCTGTTTCGGATATAAATTTACGTATTATATCAAATTTAACTGACAATAGATTTCATAATTTTAAAGGATTAAGAAAAGACAAATATGCGATGAGTGTTTTTATTTTAGCTTATATAAACGATTTTGACGAAATGAAGAAATACATAAAATTATTAAGACGAACTGAAGTTATCAATTTTGTTATATTTATGGAACATTATGGAAAAATTTATACAAATATCTGTTTAAATCCAATTGAAAATCCATTTGGATTAAGTGAAGGTGTTTCAATTCTAGTCAAGTGTGGGAAAAATGTTACAATTCAAGAATGGCACTCCATTAATGACACATCAATTAAAATTATACCAAGAGCAACTTGGGAACCTAAAAGAAGTCCAAGATTTAATGAAATATCCAGCAAATTATTGATTGGCAATAGAAAAACACTTATGGAAAAAGTTTTACGTACTGCAATAATAAAAGTAAGCGTATGTGACTGATTCAAATATAGTTTGTGATTAAAATATTTTCAATTTTACAATTAATTACAATTACCTCGACAAAGTTATTTTTATAATAAAACTTTATGCATTTTAATTTGTAAATAATGTTTCTTTTTAAAAAACTATAAATTAATTCAATAACTTTATAATTTTGCGGTAGCTTTTTTCTCAGAGAATGCCTTTTATTTTAAATATATATATCGTAATATCTTTACTTTGTTGATGACAGGAATCTAAAACTATTGGAGAATATTTTCCAAAATTAATAAAAGCTTTTGAAAAAGTGGGAAATTTCCAATTTAATATAATTAAAGAAGAAGAGGAGCATGGAATTTTCTATGAAAATAACAAAACTTGGAGTGGTGCAATAGAATTAATTATTAACAATGAAATTGACATAGCACTAGGATGGTTTAGCTATTTACCAGAAGGATTATCTGTTGTTGATTATACTGTAACAATTGATAGAGCAGAGTACGTTATTCTTATAAAAACACCAGAAATTAAAGTACGTGTTTCATGGACTGGATATTTTCAGGTAAAAGAAAACATTTCTTTTTATTAAAAAAAAAAAAAATAAAAAAAAAAAATAATTAACTAATATTTTCTTTCAGCCTTTTACCATTTCAGCTTGGTTAGCATTATTATTATTCTTTATAATAATTCAAATGATTAGTGTATTTTTCAACAATAACTCCATCATTCATTTTCAAGAGACATATGATGCTGATAGTGTTTTTCATATTTGCAGAATTCTTCTGCATCAAGATTTGCCAAGTAACACACGCAAAAAGAATAAAATACAAATTCATTTATTTATTTTTTTTATTCTTTAAAGAAGAAAAAGTTTACTTTTTAAATTTATATTAATGTAAATTTTTCTCTTAAGGTATTTCACGTGTGACACCACTGAGGATATTTTACATTTCTATTATTATTTTTTCATTTTATATTTGGTCCATCTATTCTGCTATTTTTGCCAGTAAGTTAACGATTATTGACACAAATGTACCATTTAAAACATTGGAAGAATTTACTCGAGTGAAATCACATAAAATGATCGTTTTTCAAGATACGTCAAATTATTACAAAATAAAAGTATGTTAAAATTTCTAACTTTGATATTCTATTATATACAGTATTAATAAATAATTATTCTGCTATTTTTCTTTTTGTTAGAAAGCTCAATATTCACCTTTAATGGAAGCAAGAGAGTTACTTGTGAATGATGATCAATTACCAAAAACAAACGAGGATGCTATAGAAATGGTAAATATTTGTTGTTTCTAATTTTTTTTTTACACTCAGAAAGAAGGGCAAGAATAATTTAGAAGAATTAAGAATTTTTTTAATTCTTCTGAATTCTATTTACACTGAAAAAATTATATTCTAGATTTAAGAATTTCTTTTTAAATAAAAATTTAAATAAAATTTCTTCTTATTTAAGAAGAAATTCTTAAATCTAGAATATACCTTTTTCAGTGTATGTTCAATTCTTTTGTATCCATTTGAAATAATTGAAAATAAGCTTCATTCAAATTTTTTTAAAACCATTTTAAAATTTAATGTAGAAAAAAATAGTACTGAAAATTTGAACCTATGTCAACTGTATCTAAAATACTTAATTTTAAAGATACTTAAAATCAGACCTATGGGTATTTTGCAATTAAAAAGAATTGAAAAGTTAACGAAATATTAAAAAGGAATAGATTAGAATTTATTTTCAGGTGAAATTTAATCGCAACAAAGAATACAAAAGAATTGAATTAGGCCAGTTAATAAAGACAAAAAGTAGTATAAAAGCCCCATAATTTGCAAACCCCAAAACTACCAAAATCCGTTTAGAAAAATCTGTAAGCAATTAGTGGCTTTTTTTGTCTTTATTGACTGGCCTAAATAAAAATGGAATTAAAAAAAGATTGATTAATTTATCATTTTCTATGGAAAGGCAAAAATTTGCAATTCTTTTTGTGTTTCATTACTTAATGGTTATAGAATCAAAGGCAATAAATTATTTTTAGGTTTGCAATAAAGGAATGGCTCTTTTTACAGACGACATGTTTCTAGCAATAGCTTATAATAACAGCATTCCCAATATTTGTCCAATGGTAACAATTGGAACAAATGAATTTGATTCCTTTGCATTAGTTTTAAATAAAAATAGCCCTTTCACCTCACCAATAAATAATTAGTAAGTGAATATTTTTTAATAATAAATAGTATATGGTCAATTTTCATATGGAACCTTACGATTTCACGTTATACTTCTCATTTAAACCATATTTATTAAATTATGTATTTATAATTTTTTTTATAATATCTGTAACTTTTTGCTAACACATATATTTAACAGAAATAGCAAAAAACAAGTTGTAAATTCAGATGTTCATTACATGAATATTTTGCTTATTCTTTACGATCAGCAAAAAAATTTGCTTCCTCGTGGAGAAAGCAAAATTTTATTGACAAAATGTGAATTTTTGATTTTTTAACTTTCATTAATTCTTTAAATTTACCTCAAATGAATACTTTATATATATCGATCGATTCGTCTTGACGTAAAGAATACGATTTTATTATATACAACCTTAAATTTTTCTATTTAAAAATTTTTTCGATTAAAAAAAAATTTTTGGAAAAAAGACCACAAAATTTTTTTTTTGGAGTATTTTTCAAAATCCTTTAGTCAGATTTAAGATATTAATATGATAAATGAGCCTACTAAATTTTATCTAAATCAATTAAAACCTGTTAAAGTTATCTTCTAAACAAAAAAGGGATCCACACACACACACACACACACAAAAAATTCCATTTTTTTAGGCAGACGATTTTATTGCATATTCTTGCACAGAATACACCGAAAAGTGTAGAAAAAAATTGACACCCAGATCCGAGTAGAGGAAGACCCTTTTTATGACCAAAAACGCACCCAAAAGCGTAAAAAACTTTCCAAAAAAAATCAATTTTTCTTAGGCAGACGATTTTATTGCATATTCTTGCACAGAATACACCGAAAAGTGTAGAAAAAAATTGACACCCAGATCCGAGTAGAGGAAGACCCTTTTTATGACCAAAAACGCATCCAAAAGCATGAAAAACTAACCAAAAAAATTCAATTTTCCTTAGGCAGACGATTTTATTGCATATTCTTGCACAGAATACACCGAAAAGTGTAGAAAAAAATTGACACCCAGATCCGAGTAGAGGAAGACCCTTTCTATGACCAAAAACGCATCCCAAAGCTTAAAAAACTTTCCAAAAAAATTCAATTTTTCTTAGGCAGACGATTTTATTGCATATTCTTGCACAGAATACACCGAAAAGTGTAGAAAAAATTGACACCCAGATCCGAGTAGAGGAAGACCCTTTTTATGACCAAAAACGCATCCAAAAGATGAAAAACTTTCCAAAAAAATTCAATTTTTCTTAGGCAGACGATTTTATTGCATATTTTTGCACAGTATACACCGAAAAGTGTAGAAAAAAATTGACACCCAGATCCGAGTAGAGGAAGACCCTTTTTATGACCAAAAACGCATCCAAAAGCATGAAAAACTAATCAAAAAAATTCAATTTTCCTTAGGCAGAAGATTTTATTGCATATTCTTGCACAGAATACACCGAAAAGTGTAGAAAAAAATTGACACTCAGATCCGAGTAGAGGAAGACCTTTTTTATGACCAAAAACGCATCCAAAAGCATGAAAAACTAACCAAAAAAATTCAATTCTTTTTATGACCAAAAACGCATCCAAAAGCATGAAAAACTTACTAAAAAGTTGTAAATTCAGATGTTCATTACATGAACATTTTGCTTTCTCTTTACGATCAGCAAAAAAATTTGCTTCCTCGTGGAGAAAGCAAAATTTTATTGACGAAATGTGAATTTTTGATTTTTAATTTTCATTATTTCTTTAAATTTACCTCAAATGAATACTTTATATATATCGATCGATTCGTCTTGACGTAAAGAATACGCTTTTATTATATATAACCTTAAATTTTTCTATTTAAAAATTTTTTCGATTAAAAAAAAATTTTTGGAAAAAAGACCATAAAATTTTTTTTTGGAGAATTTTTAAAAATCCTTTGGTCAGAGTTGAGATATTAATATGATAAATGAGCCTACTAAATTTTATCTAAATCTATTAAAACCTGTTAAAGTTATCTTCTAAACAAAAAAGTGATCCACACACACACACACACACACACACATACATACATACATCCGGACAATTGATCAGGATCTCATATAACATGTTTCTATAAAGAAAAAAATTTGTTTCCGCCACTTTGAAAAGTTTTATAAACGAAAGGACTACAAAGCTTTCTCCACGAGGAAGCAAAATCATAATTTTTATGCTACTCATATACACTAGAACGTCAATCGAGAACACGTCAGTCGAGAACAGAGCAAGGGAACACTTGAAGGGAAGTGGGGAAGCGGGTAGAATTTAGGTTATGACTGACGCCAAAGTCGTACTTGTGATTTTTAAATTTAAGGTGGATTCAGTGCCCCACTAGTGAAAATCCCCTAGATAGAATTCACATTGTTGCGTAAGGCCCTTCATACGGCCCTGAGTGTTTTTATTTTCGAGCGATAAAAATCGCGTCAATCGAGAACAGCACTGCACATTCGTCTGTTCTCGATTGACGTTTTAGTGTATGTAGAAACTTATGAAATTAAATTTAACATGTTATGAACGTTGCCATTGCCCCCTCTCCCCATTTATCATAATTCTCGTCAACGTCAACTATCCCACCCTGCTTTAGTGAAATGGACTGTATAACTGTGTGTAAAGGTGCTTATATACCTCAAATTTCGATCAGATGAACTTTATTTCTGGACCGTGAAAATGCGTGAAAATTCATTTTCACGGTGGGTATTTTTGAATTGTTTTAAACAAAAAATGTTTTTTTAAGAAATATAATATTAAATAATTGTTTTAATATGTAAGAACACTTTAAAATAGTGATAGAAAGATGATTTGATTGAAAAATTTAGCAAATTTTGCTTTAAAACGTTTCTGCTACAAGAAAGTGTAAAATGACGATGTTTGTGAAATGGTTTGTACAGTGCTTCTTCCTTGTGAGTGTCTCTCAGAGTTTTGTTTATGTTATGTCGTTTCTTTTTAACTTGTAATAAATAATGAGTGCTGAAAATAAATCGGTAAGTTGAAATGTTTATCAAATAAATTTAAATTCAACTAATTGTTTCGAATAACTGAAAGAAACATGTACACATGTACACTGTACAAACCATTTCACAAACATCGTCATTTTACACTTTCTTGTAGCAGAAAACGTTTTAAAGCAAAATTTGCTAAATTTTTTAATCAAATCATCTCTCTATCACTATTTTAAAGTGTTCTTACATATTAAAACAATTATTTAATATTATATTTCTTAAAAAAACATTTTTTGTTTAAAACAATTCAAAAATACCCGCCGTGAAAATGACTTTTCACGCATTTTCACGGTCCAGAAATAATGTTCATCTGATCGAAATTTGAGGTATATAAGCACCTTAACTTTTAATTTTAACTATAAAGTTACTAAATTTTCACTAGAGCAGGGTGCGGTAGTTGACGATAATTATATATGACAAATGGCGAGTAGGGACAATGGAAACCAACCTAACCTTTAAGGGCCAACGATTTTTAACGGAAACAAAAATTTAATAATAATTAATTTCAAACAATTTTAGAAGATCTATTTATACAATTTTTGGAAAAAATTATATGAGTTAAAATCTTAATGTTAAATTATTATTATTTTAATATTTTGACTTTCTTCAAAAATCGCAAATTTTATCCGATTTTGATAAAAAAAAAGCTTATTTTATTCAGTAAAATATTCTCTACAATTGTAAACTTTTCTTAATTGTTATAATGTTAAAAAATTATAAAGATTTATTCTTTTTTTTAATATAGGGTAAGTGTGGATATTACCGTGAGTGCATGAGTTACCGTGGTTTCGCTATTTCTGGCAAATTTTATCATTTACGTCCCAATTTGTTAACCCAAAAAATTCAGATAGTTATTTTCATATTGTATGTGTTTAATAAACAAAAAATTATAGTTATTTAACTTTTGTTTATCGCTGCAAAAAATTTTAAATTTCTTAGGAGCGTAAAGTTTGATAAAATGCTTATTGCCCTACCGAAAGAGTGGTACTGGAATGGTACTGAATTGGACTTGGCTTGAGTTCCACTTCAGTACCACTACCTGATAACCCATAAGAAGACATTTTTAAAGTACTTTAACAATAGTTTTAAAGGTATATAAGATCAACAAACCGTCTCTCACGATATACGTGTAAAACAGCAAAAAAAAAAACATAATAGTTTGTAGAAAATTTCTGTTAAGTTTGGAAATTATATTGCAATCCCTCCTTGAACAATAGACCCCTAGGTCCTTTGTTGAAGGATTAAAATTTTAACCCGAGTTTTATTGCTTAAAAAATTTGTAATTTTAATAACTCAACTTTAAAAAATATATATTCAGATTCGTTAATATTTCCAGATTATGAATATCTAAAATTTATCATAAAATAATTACATTTAAAAAAGTTATAATTTATCTCGTATACCTTAAGTTTGATAAAAAAATGGACATCATTTTTGAATTTAGCTGACAAAGGAAATATCATATGCATAATAATGTATGAAAATAATATAAATCCATGAAAAACAAATATAATATTGAAATAAATATAAAGTTTTAGTTTAAACATATTGAAAAAGCTAGTCGCTTTTCACTTTTATGAGGGTATTAACGGTAACTCGACCCTTTTCGCAGGTAAATTTCCCAGTTCCATTTCAGTACCAAAATGCACCAAATTAGTACTGAGTTGGTACTGAGATCTCAGTTCCAATTTCCCAGTACCAATCCAGTACCACCCTTCCGGTAGGGTGCAATGCAAAAATAAAGTATTATATAAATCGCTTTTTTTACTATTAATACTTTAAAACTTGTTAATTTTTATATTTTCGATTAAATAATGTATTTCTTAAATTAAAACTTCGTGGTAAATGATGATTCGACTTATTTTTATTTTATCGACACGGTAATTGGTTAACGTTTTGAACTTGCGCGCCAAATACCGAGGGACTTGTCCAGTCCAAAATGGCTGCCTACCCAACCTATAAGTCAGATATACCTAACCTGGTTTAACCGATGTTGTCATAATAAATAATGTGAAGAGTGACAAACTTTTTTCAAGTTATTATTGTGAATATTAAAGCAAACGAAGATATGGCAAAAGCCAAAAAGAAATCAACGAATAAAGTAACTTCAAAGTCAAAAAAACGATTCCTATACAAAAAGGAACATATAAAAATTGCCGCCGAAGAAATTTCCAAAGGTGCTACCATTTCTGAAATAGCAAGAAAATACAACATTCCGGAATCCACATTACGAGATAAAAAAACTGCAAATATGCCGAGAAAAATCCGGGCCCAGCCACCGTTCTTAGTTTTGAGGAAGAAAATAATCTGGTTAGGTGGATTTTCCACTGCACCGAGAGAGGATTCCCAGTAACAAAAGATCAACTATTGGAAAGCGTTAAACTGTTGTGTGATCACGATAAAAAAAAGACACCTTTTATTAATAATAAGCCAGCGCGCAGTTGGTTCGACGCTTTTTTAAAACGACACCCGGAACTTTCTCAAAGAATTGCCGAAAATGTAACATTAAATCGAGCTCAAGTGTCAGAGCGCAGTATCCGTTCATGGTTTGCTGAAATCACGGAATACCTAACTGCACAAAATTTGTTATTTATTGACCCCAGCAGAATCTTCAATTCTGAAGAGGAGAACAGGAGTTCCGTTAAATCCGAAGCCACCTACAGTTCTCGCCCCAAGGGGTTCTAAAAACGTTTATAACGTTGTAAACAACAATGAAAAAGAAAACGTGACAGTGTTAGTGACTGCGAACGCGGAAGGAACACTTGCTCCACCCCTGGTGCTTTTTTCTGGTAAAAGTATCCCAAAAGATGCTGTTTAAGTAGTACCAGCTAATTACAGCTTAGGATTTTCCGACAACGGTTGGATGACAGCGAAAAACTTTTTTGAATATGTAACTATAACGTCTTTCAGCCATGGCTTGAAGAAAGTGGAATAATACTCCCAATTATTTTATTCATTGATGGACATTCGTCCCATATGACACTGCCTTTAAGTAAATTTTGTGACGAAAAAAAAATTGTGCTCATTGCTCTCTTACCAAATGCAACCCATATTCTACAGCCATTGGACGTATCTTTTTTTGTCCATTCAAAGTATCCTGGCAAAAAACATTTCAGGATTTCTGCAAAAATACTGGCTCCATATCTATTAAAAAACATCAATTTACAATCTTGCTTGATAAAACGTTAAAAAATATTAATATCGCGGAGATTCTAAAAAACGGATTCGAGACCTGTGGATTGTCTCCTCTCAATGTGAATGCTATAAATTTCAGTAAAGTTTTCAAAAGAATCCAACATTTTTCCAACGAAACCATTTGTGATGCTGAAGTCCCATCTGCAAGTAAAGTCAATCAAAATATCGATCTTTTGAAAGGACTGGAAAATGTTTTGGCTAAGGAAAAATTGGAAATATTCAAATTACATTCAAGCCCCACTTGGACGGGAGAAACTGAAGATACGTCTCTGTTTAAACTTTGGTATTCGTTGAAGTTTCCAAACGAGGTGAGTTCTATACTTTAATCACAGAGCCTTCCAGTTATAAAGCATAAAAAAATAATTTTTTGAAATTATTATTAGTGAATATTCATTAATAAATATATTTTTTCTTTCGAAAAATCGCAGCATAGATATTGACAAAGATACCCTTGATATTGTACACGTTCCAACTGACCATTTATCAACTACAAAGTTAGTCGTTGCAATCAATAATAATCTCCATAAAATTCAATCAATTAATTCAGATTTGAATAGTTCGGACAAGAATCTATACTTAGCTGCTGACTCAGGAAACCTCGTATCTAACGCACTGCTTATCAAAGAAACTGCGAAAGAATTACAGGTTCTTGAAAGTGTAAACACCAATAACCCACAATCTAAGGCAGACAAATTTTCCGAAAGTTTTGGACAATTGCTATTCTAGCCAAAAGAAGATACACAAAAGAAAACGAATCGTGCAAATAGTAAAACCAAATTTCCGTCGGTCTTAACTTGCCCTAAGTGGCAAAGTATTGCGCAAAATAAAGAAGACCAAAAAACTTAAGATCGAAGAAGATAAAATATCAAGAAAGAAAATCAAACAAGAAAAGTAAGAAGCAGCAAAAATTGAAAAAGAAAACAATCGTATTTTGAAAAAACAACAAAAAATTGAAAAAGAGCAAATGAAAATCCAAAAACAGAAAGAGAAGTTTGCGAAACATCAAGAAAAAATTAAGGAAATAGAGGCCCAACAAAACGCTAAACAACAGGCTTTACGACAAATTCAGGAGGAAGCAGAAATTAAATTTAAAATAGATGAACTTTTACAAAAAGAAGCAGAATTAAAGGAAAAACGAGTAAATTAAAAAAGAATTTCAAAATAGCTTAGACCAAATACTATTGTTAGTTTAATAATTACTATTTTTATAAAAAATATTTAATTAAATGTTATTAGGTACTAAATACTTTTATTTAAATAATAATTCTTGTTAACATTTGAAATTAATTACGTTAAAAAATTTGGAAGTTGTTAATAGATTTATAACGTATTCTGTGATTATTATTATTAGTACCTGATAAAAATTTGAAAATAATTACCATTAAAAATGTGAAAGTTGTTAATAGATTTATAACGTATTCTGTGATTATTATTATTAGTACCTGATAAAAATTTGAAAATAATTACCATTAAAAATGTGAAAGTTAATAGATTTATAACGTATTCTGTGATTATTATTATTAGTACCACGGTATTTGGCACACGGAATTTCGATCCTCAAGCTTTTAGCACCACGGAAATACCTGCACTCGCACCACTTTTTAAAATATTTATTATTTAATAAAATATACGCTCTACGACATACTCAATTTTTTTATTACAACAAATAAAGTCAAAGATCATTTTAAAAAAAAATTATACAAATATCTTGTAAGGTTTGTTCAGAATGTTTTGACTAAGTCTGCGTTAGATTTAAAACCACGATAATACCCACACTTACCCTATTTTTATAAAAAATGGAGCAGTTTGAATTTGGTTAGTTAACTTCAAGTCTTTTAATTAACCTTTTTAAATAAATTTTTTTTAAAATTATTATCTCCAAAACGAAGCAAAACACCTTCGTAAGATTTTAATAGAAAGTAAAGAATATTATAAAAAATCTTTGTGCAAAACCTCAATTTTTTCGGAGCACCGACAAAAAAGTTATAAGTAAATAAAAATCTTGAGAATATTTAAATAAAATTTTTTTTAAAATCGTATATCATTCAAAAATAATAAATTTTTTGCAATAATTCTTTCGTTCCTCTGTGCAGAATAAAGTGATTTATGTTTTTGGTGAGTTCCAACATCTAATTTTTAATAGTTTTTTAATAATAGCGTTTTTAAAAAAATTGAAAAATTTAAGGTTACAAAATCACATTGTGAACCTCCTACTTTTGATATTTAATATTTTCAAAAGGAATAAAATTTTTACGATAATATTATGGTTAATGAACTCAGGGAATCATCGAGTTTCACATATATTAAAACTAGATTTTTTAAAAATTTGGTCGCAACCACTATTAGACGAGAGTCAGTGGACTAACCCATATTGTTTATAAAAATTGGATAAAAATTGCGATTTTCATCTAAGCAGCAAGAAAAAAAGGCAAAACATTAAAATAATTATTATTTAACAAAAGATATATTAATTCAACACATTCAACTAAAATCTTACAGAAATTGTTTGAAATTAATTTTTATTAAATTTTTGTTTACGTTAAAAACCATTTTTCAATTTTTGAAGTTATGTTAAACCGTATGGTTCCGTGGATTAATCCATATATATACAATATATCATGATCTGCAATCTTGTAAAATAATTAACTTTTATTATTTTAAATATAAATTTTTTTCAGTTTGAGGTCATTTTTAAATAATGGTATAATGTCACGCATGAAGCGTATACTTGCCGAAAGTATACCGACTTATTTGAAAAATGAATCTGAAAACAAGTACAAAGCTGTTGAATTTATGGATATAGTGATACTTTTAACAATTTTGATTGCCAGCGCTTTTGCTTCTGTTGTAATATTATTTTTTGAACGACTCTATTTTCATTTTCGAAGAGCAAAGGGGCCGTCCATAAACCACGTAGCCAGTTTAGGGGTATTAAAAAGTGTGTAAAAGCATATTTAAGAGCATTTAATTTATTGAAAAAATCATTAGTATAAATTATTTATTATTATTTTATTATTATTTATTATTATTAGTATAAAAAATTAAAATTCCTTATGTGTTCTTAAATTGAATTTTCTTTATTGGAAATTGTTATCTATTCAATAGAAATACATTTTTAAATAAGTAAAAAAAACTACGTTCTACCAGTGGAGGGGGGGGGGGGTTATAGCGAAAGTCCCCCCAAAAGAAATAAAAAATATTAACATTTTTCAAACAAAATCTAATCGAATTAAACGCGTACTTTAATTAAATTTAAATATAATTAAATTTTTTTTAATTCATGAATTTTAATTTAAAAAAATAGCGTTTTTGTTGCTATTATTATCTTGGTTGACGATGATACATAATTATAAAATATTTACTTTTTTTACTTTGTTTTCTTATATAATGTAATATAAACAATTTTGCCTAACAATAAAAAGAAAATTTGACATTTATTGTGTATTATAAGTATTCCCCTAATATATAAATAAAAATGTAATGTTTCTTATAATTTTTTGATAATTACAAGTGACGTCAAGTGCTTGATTAAATATATCTATATTCTATGACGCTAGGACCACACACTTAATCATATTATGTCAGAAATAATTGTTGTATATAAAGAAACAATTTGCTACTAATTTTCGAAAAGACACAATTTTAATATATGCTAAAACTAGAATTGTTTTGATGTTATTAAATAAAATCTCAAAATGAAACAATTAATATTGACAATTTTAAATGTATTTTTAATAATTTTATTAACAAAATCCGATTCGTTAACTTCCAAGGATTATGTGAATTTAATTTCTGAAATTTTCAAATGGAGTAAATCTACTTCCGTAACACTTATACACTTAACTCGCGATGATGGTAAGTAAATGTATACATTAAATATTAATCATTTTTTAAAAACCTCAAAATTTATAGCAATACATAACTTATTATATTTAAATTTATAAAATTATAAAATAATATAAACATTTATTTACAATTTTAAATTCAGAATTTATGAATCTTAAAATTTAATTGTGTTCCTTTTTTTAGATTTGTCTCAGAAAAATTTCATTTTTCACTTGCAACTTCTTCTATTCAAAGAGAACATTGCTGCTACTGATATTAATTTTGAAATTTTAGCTGCTCTACCTAATATAGATAAAAGGTTTCATAATTTTAAAGGATTAAGAAAGGACGACAAAGCAATGAGTGTTTTTTTACTAACATCCCTCGTTGATTTTAATGTTATGAAAAATTTTACGAGATCATTAAATAGAACAGAAACAATTTATTTCGCCCTATTCATGAACAGTAGAGATGCTGCTTTAAAGGAAATTTGTTTAAATCCATACAACAATCCACTTGATTTGAATAAAGGAGTGTCTTTTCTTGTTAAATGTTACGATGATTTTATGATTCGCGAATGGCATTCAGTTGACGGTAAAGAAACAAAAATATACAATAGAGGCATTTGGAATACAGAAATGGGATTTTACAATGAAACATCAGAAAAACAAATTCTCAATGATAACGATATTTTGAGTGGGAAAATTTTACATTACTTTAAATATGTGGTGAGACACACACACATATATATATTGATTATTAATTATTAATGTTTATAATTACTCATTCTTTATTTTTTCTAATAACAATCAATTTATTATAAAAATCCGTAAATAGCTATCAATTATTAAAAAATTTGTTCACCATTTTGAATCTGCCATTTTTGAATTTTAAAAATCTGATTCGAATTAAGGGTATGTGAGCAAAGAACGTTTTTTGTGGTTTGAAACTTTTTCTGAAATAAAAAATGATTTCGGATTAAAATTTTGGAAAAATAATTTTGTTTGGTACAAGAAATCTCGCTGTTCTTCTCATTTACTAGAACTTAACGCGAAAATAATAAAAATAAAGCAATAAATAGTTGTAATAATGTATTTAATCGTAGTTCATTGAGTGGCCACTTGCTCGAATTGGCGCTGTTTACTGGAGCACTGACACACTCAAGCAACGTCTGTGTATGCGCCGCCATGTTTTTTTTCATTTTCGTTTAAAAATTTCACTTGTTAAACATCATTTTTTAATAATTTAACTCAAAATTATGTATTTTTCGGAGAACAGCGAGATTCCTTGTACCCTTTATCTATTATCCCTCGAAATTTTAGACAAAAATCTTCTTTCATTTTAGAATGAAATTTATACTACCAGAACACACATTTTCCCATTCTAGGTCACATGGGAGGTTCCTACATACCCTTAAGTGACCCCAAATTTTATGTAAATCCATTAATGATTAAAAAATAAATTCGTATACAACCAGAAATTTAATGTTTTTTGAGGTTAAGAAAAAATCAATTACTTATTTTTTGTGGGACTGTATTTGAATGAATTTATAATGAAAAAATATTAACATTCAGTATAATATGGGTCAATCCATTATACTTCGACTGAAGTCGTTGCTGACTAATTTTTAAAAATTATAATACTTTGCAGGAATGATTTTGAAGTTATTAGGATCACGAAATGAAAAGAATTTTATTAAAATTTTAATTATTTATTGCAAAATATGAATTTAAAGTATATGAGGTGCTGAAAACTGACAAATTTTTAGTCATTAGAAAATATGCAAAAAAACATAGAATTTACCATAAAAATAAAAAAAAAATTTTGGAATTAACTAAGAATGAATAAATTTATCATTATCAATTGATATAATTATTTAAATATGTGAAATAATATATAAAATATGATTTTCAAGTTCACCTGTCAAATAACCTAAATTTGCAAATTTCATCTATTAAATGTGAGAAAGAGAAGTCATTAAATTGAAAAAAACCTTACCAAATATAAAGTACCTGTGCACAGTGGCCGATTTCTCGAAAAACCTGGCCAAAAATCGAAAAATGATACGATTTCAACCAAAATTGGTATACCCATGTTTTTTGGGCTTCTGAATTCAAATTTTACATTGGTTGTGTCAAATTCAAAATGGCGGATCCAAAATGGCCGTTTAGATTTTAAAAAACTTTGCTGAAAATCTAAAAATGATACGATTTCAATCAAAATTGGTATATCCATGTTTTTTGGGCTTCTGAATTCAAATTTTACATTGGTTGTGTCAAATTCAAAATGGCGGATCTAAACTGGCCGTTTAGATTTTAAAAAACTTTGCTAAAAATTAAAAAATTGTATGATTTTAACCAAACTTAGTATACTTACGTTTACTAGGTTTCTGAAATCAAATTTTACATTTGTTTTATCAAATTCAATATGGCGGATCCAAAATATTTGCTGGTATTATAAAATTGCGTAAATGTGTTAGAGCTTATTTTTTTTAAATTACAGACAGTGCTTAAATTTTAGTTTAAAGCGAATGCGAATGAAGAAAAAGTCAGTCTTTCACGTTCAGTTGCACCGCCGGCCGGTGCAACGCGCTGTCGGTAAACCGCGCTTAGTGAAATAAAAAGTGATACCAAAACTGCAGGGGCAGCTTGGGGCAACTGATTTCAATTAAAATGAATTAAAAATATATTCTAGTTTATGATAATACCAGGTAGAGCGCGGATATCGGTGGATTTCACAACTATTTTCATGATTTACGTTGATAAAACAATACAAAAATCGTCGCCATGAATAGCGATGTTTAATGTCATTTTTTAAAAACTGTACGTTTTAAATGTGATTATAAATACATTCAACATATTTCATACACCTTTGTTAATAATTCCCAAAAAAAGATATTCAAAAATCTGCTGTATATTAGTATATTTTCACTATTTTAACTGTGACGAAAATTTATAGTTATGAAACGTTCTGAGTAAATCTCTGGCAAAGATCACTTTTACTTGTTCACATAATAAATTGGTGATAAAAAAAGTGTAATTTTTTTTCGCAAAATTATGCAGTGAACCCTCCTTTATAATATTCAACAATAAAAAGTATAAATTTCTAAAAAAAAATTTTTGACTTTTGGCCAGGTTTTTCGGGAAATCGGCCACTGTGCTGTGACTAATTTTTAGTTTTTCTTAGCACTTTCTTCCTTTTTTCTTCATAAATGTGAAATAAAAAGCAATAAAAATTGTCACTTTGCTTATTTTCACTATTTTCAAATGTAAATAACTTTCTTGGTGAAAACTGAAAAATTACAAAACTTGGGCAATATCTAATTGATCACTAAATACACACACTGGAAAAAAATTCGCTTTGGTCCCGAAGATACTTTTTGAGATAATTAAGTTTAAACTTTTCACAATTTTTATCAGGTTAATACATGTAATTTTTTAAGGACAAAGTTAGGTTTTATTGGTTAATCATTTTTAACCAACTTCAATTTTATAAAAATTACATGTATTAACCTAATAAAAATTGTGAAAAGTTTAAACTTAATTATCTCAAAAAGTATCTTCGGGACCAAAGCGAATTTTTTTCCAGTGTGTGTATTCAGTGATCAATTAGATATTGCCCAAGTTTTGTAATTTTTCAGTTTTCACCAAGAAAGTTATTTACATTTGAAAATAGTGAAAATAAGCAAAGTGACAATTTTTATTGCTTTTTATTTCACATTTATGAAGAAAAAAGGAAGAAAGTGCTAAGAAAAACTAAAAATTAGTCACAGGTACTTTATATTTGGTAAGGTTTTTTTCAATTTAATGACTTCTCTTTCTCACATTTAATAGATGAAATTTGCAAATTTAGGTTATTTGACAGGTGAACTTGAAAATCATATTTTATATATTATTTCACATATTTAAATAATTATATCAATTGATAATGATAAATTTATTCATTCTTAGTTAATTCCAAAATTTTTTTTTTATTTTTATGGTAAATTCTATGTTTTTTTGCATATTTTCTAATGACTAAAAATTTGTCAGTTTTCAGCACCTCATATACTTTAAATTCATATTTTGCAATAAATAATTAAAATTTTAATAAAATTCTTTTCATTTCGTGATCCTAATAACTTCAAAATCATTCCTGCAAAGTATTATAATTTTTAAAAATTAGTCAGCAACGAGTTCAGTCGAAATATAATTGATTATCGAATTTATCACTTGGTCAGATGTTTAATTAAAGAAGAATTATTGAAGAAAAAAGATTAATTTTTATTAATTAATTAATATTAACAATAAATGTTATCTCCTTATAGGATGATCATATTCAAGAAAAATATTTTGATAATTTAATTAAATACATAGAGAATACTGGGAATTGTATAATTAAAGAATATAAATGGAAAAGTTATGGAATTTACAATTACAATCGTTATAATTGGAATAATACGAAACCATTATTATTAAATGAAAGTCTTGATCTTGGAATGGGATTTTTTCATTATTTACCACAAAATATTCAAGATTTTGATTTATGTGAACCACTGTTAAATACGGAATTTCTTTTTCTAATAAAAGAACCGAAATTAAACATACACGTTCAGTGGTATTCATATTTAAAGGTACAGTATTATTAAAAAAAAAAAAATTTTAATAAATAACCTTCTTTTTTTGTCCCATTTAATAATTTAATAATAAAATTTTAGTATAAATGGAAAATTTTTCGGAATAGATTAAAAAATATAAATATACACAACCAGAAAAAAGTTTCTTTGTTTCAAAGAAGGTTTCTTTGAATTAAAGACGGCATTTATGCGATCTAAAATTTTTTAACCTAAACATTAAAAAATTTTTGCTTCCAACAATAAACATTTCTATGCACAGGTGCCATTCCATGAGTTTTTTTTATCACTTTTCGGAGTATAACCTTTCCAATAATTGAATGAAACATTTTTTTTATAATATTTATTAATATAAAGGTCCAAAATAATTACTTTTTAAGTAAAAACAATTGTTTATTTAAAAAATAAAATAATAAATAATGAAAAAAATTCACTTTTTTTCTGCACCACCAAATAAATTGGTTTAAAGATCAAAATTTTCTTTATTTTTCAACCTTTCATACCGCACAAGAAAAATGACTAAAAAAACTAAAACTGGCCAAAAGTGCTCTTTACGCATATATGCGCAACTTAAAAAAAGTGATGAAAAACATCTCAAATATTTCTGAAACTGGTTACTCGGGGGTTTTTGGGGTCGCTGATTCCGAATCTGAGGTCAGTTTTTCAAAATTCAAAATGGCGGATCCAATATGGCGGACGAAAATTTGAAAATATGATACAATTCGCTTGAAAATGCTTACTCAGGGGTTTTCGGAGTCGCTGATTATGAATCTGATATCAGTTTTTTAAAATTCAAGATGGCGACCCCGAAAATACCCGAATACCCATTTTTAAGAGAATTACATTATATTTTCAAATTGTCGTCCGCCATATTGGATTTGATCTTTAAACCAATTTATTTGGTAATGCAGAAAAAAGTGAATTTTTTTTATTATTTATTATTGTATTTTTTAAATAAACAATTGTTTTTCTTAAAAAGTGATTATTTTGGACCTTTATATTAATAAATATTATAAAAAAAATGTTTCATTTAATTTGGAAAGGTTATACTCCGAAAAGTGATAAAAAAAAAACTCATGGAATAGCACACAGACTTATTTTACATAAAAAAAACCAGGAAGTGGTTTACTCATGACTACATTCCCCTATAAAATTTAAATATTAAAGAATTAATTTTATATAAATTCGATTATAATTCATCATTTTTAAATGAACAGCCTTTCACATTTCAATCGTGGATTGTATTTATATTTATAATCATAATTAGTCTATTGATTCAAATTTTCACAAATACCAAACTCAAAACAGATTTTAATAATAAGAAATGTATTGGAGACGAAATATTTTCTATTTGTGGAATTTTCTTGCATCAAAGTATACCAGGTATAATTTTTGATTAGAATTTAACAAAATGAAAAAATCATTTTTTTTTACAATCAAATTAAAATATATTGTAAATTAATTTTTAAATTAAAATAACTATTTCTTGATATTTTTTTACAGAACGTCCAAAATCTCGAACTGTTAAAATTATATATTTTTCAAGTTCCACTTTCATTTTCATAATTATATCACTCTACACAGGAATTTTCGTCAGGAAACTTACAAATTTTAATTTAGATATTCCATTCAAATCAATCGACGAATATGCTAATGTCAAATCACATAAGTTAATTGTTTTCAATAATACTGCCAGTTATCATAAAGTAAAGGTATTATATTTATATATATTTTAGAAAAACTTTAAAACATAAAAAAGTTAATTATAATTTTCTACATTACCGTCTATTATGTTAATAATAATAATTTCCTATCAGAATTCAAGAACTTACGTTTGGAAAGAAATAAGTAAATTATTAGTGGAAGATAATCGCCAACCAAAAGAAACAAAAGATGCTTTAAATATGGTAAAATATTGTTAGAATCGTTTTATGGGGCAAAATTCCTAAACTGTCCAGTTCGAGTTGTCCGAAATTAAAAAACTGGCTTGTAACTTTGGTAAAGTCCTATTTTTTAAAAAAAGGGAGAGTATACTTTATCCATTAAAAATCAGTTTCTTATTTGTAACGCAACTTTACTTAATTTTTATTTATCAGAACTTCCATGGTTTAAATTTCAAATCAATTCAAAAAAACGAAAAATTATAGATTAAACTTATGCACATGAAGTTCTGAACGTTCAAATGAACGAAAAATTTGTTTACTACTTTTTTAATTTCAAAATTTTATATTATAAAATATTGCTTTCTGTATTTAAGAATAAGTAAATTAATAATGTAGTTTTTTTATTTTTCATTGCTGTAGGGTCAGTTGGGGTAAATGGGGACAAGAAGTGTTGGAGCTTAATTTACAGTTTTAAAATTAAATTCAACGTCAATATTTTAACCTCAGATCACCTACAAAAGGTTTTGAGTATTGCCAAGCTTTTATCTTGACAGCAAAATAAAAAAAAGTTATCGCTCAATGCATAAAAACTTAAAAATTAAAGTCAAACTGTTTCAGTATTTTGGTCGAGCATTTCAAAGAAGACAGACCTAAAACTTACGTAATTTGTGAAAAATATGTATTTTGTCCCCATTTACCCCAACTGACCCTAGATTTTTTTTTCAATTTTTAATATTTTTCAAATGCACCAAATTTTTACAACTTATTAAAAGTTATGTGATTAATGTAATTTCACATGTATTTTGTTTCAGATTTGTAATGAGAATATAGTATTGTTCACCGATGAACAATTTGTACACATGTTGTACAATAACAAAGTACACAGTCCATGTCGATGTGTTATAATACCAACTGGAATAAAACATCCTGTTAGTTTTATTTTACAAAGAAATAGTCCTTATACACCGATAATGCGACAAATGTAAGATATGATTTTGACAATTACAATTAATATAATTACACAGCCTCAGAAACACTAATATTTCAAGTCCGCGTTTAGCTCCATCATTTTTCTTTTTAAACATTAATGAATTTATATAAAATTTGGTATATCTACACTGAGAGAAATATGAATGGTTGGGGCTACTACTTTTTTTTTATTAGTAAAGGAGGTATTTATTTTCCTGCCTATTTAGTTAGTAAAATTCAGTAATGTTTTTAGTGAATTTTAATAATTTCGATGTCAAGCGCAACTATTTAGAATTGGTAAACAAGAAATAATAACCACACCTACAAAAATAGTTCCATGCAAAAGTTTAACCCCTTGACTGTCGATGACCCATATATATGTCCAAAAAAAGTGAATTTGAGGTTAGAATTAAAAAATTCAAAATGGCGGACCCAATATGGCGTCTAAAAAAAATTTAAAAATTTACTTGATTTTCATAAAAATGGTTCCTTTAGGGTTTATGGGGTCGCTAAATCCAAATTTGAGGTCAGATTTAAAAAATTCAAAATGGCGGACCCAATATGGCGGAAAAATTTAAAATTTATTCGATTCGTTCAAAATTCGGTACTCGAGGGTTTTTGGGGTAGCTGAATCCAAATTTGATGTCAGATTTAAAAAAATTAAAAATGTCGGATCCAATATGGCGGAAAATTTTTTAAATTGATTCGATTCGTTCAAAATTCGGTACTCGGGATTTTTTGGGTCGCTGAATCTAAATTTGAGGTCAAATTTGGATTCCGCGACTCAAAAAACCCCCCCCCCCCCATACCGAATTTTGAACGAATCGAATCAATTTAAAATTTAGCGACCCAAAAAAACCCCGGAGTACCAAATTTTGAACAAATCGAATCAACTTTAAATTTTTCCGCCATATTGGGTCCGCCATTTTGAATTTTTAAAATCTGACCACAAATTTGTATTCAGCGACCCCAAAAACCTTTAATATGATGATTTAAAATTTTTTTGGAAACTTTTTTTTTGGACCGTTTTGGGCCCACAAACGATTTTTCTACTCGACTGCGAAGGGATTAACTAACAGAGTAGTTGCTCTCTTAATTTGAATCAGTGAAATTTCACTTGTGAAATAGCTAGAAGTCGGTTACTGAAGTCTGTTTTACCCATTACCGATAATACAGATTGACTGATTCATTTAGTGAAATTTTCACTGGAAATCAGTGATATATGACTGATTTTCAGTGAAAATTTCACTAAATGATTCAGTAACCGATTGCTAGCTATTTCACCAGTGAAATTTCACTGATTCAAATTAAGATAGCGTCATATTGAAGCCGCCATTTCGAATTTTAAAAGTCTGACTCCAAATGTCCCTATGTGCATTTTTATTTTCTAGTTTAATTATATAAAAACTGAAATTACAATAGTAAATACAAAAAATAAAGTAAATGAATGAATAAATTTTCTTGTTTCAGTATCAACAAGTTCAGAAATTTTGGAATCCTCGAACGCATGAGACAAGTATTTAAATACCAAATTATTATACAAATGCCAAATAAAGCAAAATTAAATATTTTGGATATAGCAATACTTTTGGCGATATTGTTTTGTGGAATTACTTTTTCTATTTTAACATTATTTCTCGAAAATGTATATATTTTATATCAAACTAAAAAAGCGAAAGTTAATCAGAATAAAGCTACAGTTCTTTTAAAGACATATACAAAAAAAAAAATCAAAAAGTGCACCTAAAATGGTCAACAGGGTATCTACCAAGTTTTAAAAAAAAATTCCCTTAATTTTTTTTTACTTACTTTTCACATATTCAAAGCTTCACCCCATTATATGTATTATATTTTGTAAAAATAAACAAATTTTATAATAATTTCTATAAATAGAATACATGTTGCACAAAAAATAATTATGTCATATATAATTAATATTATAATTTATTAATTATACAATTAATATATAAGAAGAAACTACGTTTTCACAATAAAAACAAAATTGATAAAATTAAGATAACAACATTAATAAATTAATCAGGATGAGTCTCTATTGGCCTTTTCAATCAAATGTTACTTGAAATTGGAGTATGTAAACATAATATATAATCCATCATCCTGGATAATAGTTATTTTGGTGATTGAGTGATTCGATACTTAAATAGCTTTTTATAAGAGGAGAAAGTTTACAAATATCGAAAGTAAAAATAGTGTAACAGTGTTTTATAACAAAAGCCTATACAATTCGAAGTGCAAAAATTATTTCAATTCATTTTTGCACAACAAAGAATATTGAAATTCACTGTGAAAATGTTAAAAAATTAAAAATATTTCTAAAAAAATAAATTTCAAAATGGAGAAAGTTTATTTTCTAATCACAATAATTTTATCGTTATCAATGGCATCTGAAGAACATGTGCATTTCATTTCAGACATGTACGAAATTACTAATCGTACTTCTGTTGCTTTACTTTACTTCAATTCAAACGATAGTAAGTTATTTCATATAAAAATTAGTCCATACTAATTTCAAAAATATATATATATCAAAATAAACATAATTATATATATTTTTTTTGTGTAGATTTAAATAAATTAGTTTTCGACATGCAAATATTTTTATTGAAAAAAAGATTCCCAGTATCGATTCTTCAACTTTCGAATTTTAAACAATTACAATTAATAAAAACAAAAGAAATATACGATGAAACCTTTGTCAAAAATGACAAATCATTGATTGTCTACTTAATAACTTCAAACTATGACTATAATAAAGTGCAAGTTATTACAAAAACAATGATTCGAAGAAGAAGATTGGATGTTTTTATATTTATAAATATTGAAAAATTGCCTGCAATTATGATGACGTGCATGAGCCCAAATGAAAATAAACTTCAATTAAATAGCGGAGTTTCTATTCTTGTCAAATGTTACGAGGATCCAATAATTCGCGAATGGCATTCAGTAAATAATAAGTTAGTTATTTACGAAAGAGCCGTTTGGAATTCAACCTTAGGATTCATTTTAAAGACAAAAAAATTAGTTGTTGGTAATAGAGAATATCTTCGTAATAAAATTTTACTTGCAGCATCAATAATGGTAAGTTTTTGAATATAAAATAAGTGTAACGAATTTCAAAACTTTTGTTCCTTTCTAAAAAAAATACATGACATAAAAAGATCGAATACACTGAGAAAAATGTTTAGTCAGAGTAACTAAAATTTGGTTGGGCCAACAAAAAAATTTTGTTGGTATTTAAGCAACCAAACTATTTGTTTGAGTCAACCAAAAAATTAGGTTAAGTGTTTTTTGTTGGCATAACAAAAATGTTTGGTTAGCTCAACCAAATTTTTTTTGTTAGGTCAACAAAAATGTTTGGTTGATCAAACAAACAGTTTTTTTGTAAAATTAAAAATTTTATTCTACCTTATCTCTTTTCTTTTTATCATTTTTATTTATTTCATTATTTATTTATCAATTTAACATTAAATTTATATTTATCCAATTGAAATATTTATGGACTTTGAAAAATCTCACCTCCGCCTGGGATCGAACCTCTGTTTTAAAACTGAAGGTCAGGAGCTCTGACCACTGGACTACCCATCCTTGTGAAAGATTTAAACTAACTGTTCTCTTAAGCTATGATCTAAGAGCGAATCAAACTAATTTGGTTGTCGCAACCAAATTTTGGTTAGGACAACAAACGATCATTTGGTTTCTTAGACCAAACTATTTTGTTGTGTTAACCAAATTATTTTGTTGTCGTAACTAAATTTTGGTTGGAATTTAAAAATGTTCAACCAAATAATTTTGTAGACCTAACCAAATGTTTGGTTGAGATAACCCTATGACTTTGTTTCAGCCAACCAAAATTTGGTTACAAGAACCAAAATTGCCTAACCAAACAATTTAGTTGCAAATACTAAATTTTTTTTCTCAGTGTGGATATATCGAAAACTCTCGAAAAAATCGAACTTTTAATTAAAAGCATGGGGAATGTAAAATCTCAATAGAAGGGCGAAACATATCTCTAGATTAGAAATGTACAGGTGGAGCTGAAGTTGATTTCATCAATAAATAAGCGTTAATATTAAAATTTTATATTACATAAATCTTACATATTATCAAAAACACAAACTTTGAAAATGTTTAAATATTGTATACACTGTTAGAAAAATCTGTATTAGATTTAATATACATGCGTATGAAGCGAATATGCACTGCAGGTATTGAAATCTAAGATACATGTATATTAAATTTAAAGTGACAACATGGCGGCTGTAGATGCCTATTTCACCAAACGGTCATTATTTACTTGATATTGAAAATTTATTTGAAATCGAAACAACATTGCGTAATTCTTTAACTATTGTGTTGTTTATGTCCAAATAATGTTTTATAAGGGGAAAATTTTTCAAAAAAAACATTCTAAATACAAGAATTTTAATACTTATATGTGACATTTAGGTTAAGTACTATATGGCAATTAGTAGATTTCTACTTCTAAGCAGTAAAATATGACTGATTCAGATTTAGAGAGTAATTAAATAATAAAGGTTAAATAAAGTGTAGTTACATTATTTTAGTCTATATATATGTGAAATATATGAAACTGATTAAAAATAAATGATAATTTACTCAAAAAAAAAAAAAAAAAAAAAAAAAAAAAATGATTAACGCCAATTCCATTGACCCCAGCGTCTCCACCCGCCACAGAATTTCGACCGTCACTTAGTGCAAGTTTAATACACAATGAAACAAAATTAAAAATATTTATTATAAACTATCATAGCTCCGGTAAGTTTACTATAACTTACCAAATAAATTTCTATAAATTACTGTATAAATTTCTATAAATTACCGCATAAATTACCTCGAAAATTTCCGTAAATTACCGAAATCAAAATTTTTAATTGTCGTTCGCGCTATATATATTTTTGTAAATTACCTCGAAAATTTTCATAAATTACCGAAATAAAAATTTTGAATTGCAATTTATGCTTTACATATTTTTATGAATTATAGCCAAAATTTCTATAAATTACCGTATAAATTTCCATAAATTACCGCATAAATTTCCATAAATTACCGAAATAAAATTTTTAATTGTCGTTCGCGTTATATATGTTTTTGTAAATTACCGCGAAAATTTCCATAAATTACCGCGGAAATTTTCGTAAATTACCAAAATTAAAATTTTTAATTGTGATTCATGCTTTACATATTTTCATGTATTTTAGACAAAATTTCTATAAATTACCGCATAAATTTCCATAAATTACCTCGAAAATTTCCGTAAATTACCGAAATAAAAATTTTTAATTGTCATTCGTGCTATATACATATATTTTTGTGAATTACCCCAAAAATTTCCATATAAACATTTTAAATCAAATTTCAACTATTTTATAGAATTTGAAAAGCAAAGAATTTTTTTTTAATTTGTTTAAAAAAATTAAAATATTATAAAAAATTTTTCCGGCCCACTATGGATATTTATTTCTTGACACTTTATCTTCAAAAATATGTATTGATATTTATCATTTCGATAGAAAAATATTTTTAAAGTTTCAGACACCAAATCGTGCGCTACGCGGAGAATCACCCATATTATATACATATATCTTCCTATATTACAAAAAGATATCGCAGCCGCCTCCGCCGCCGCCGCTGTTTCAAGAATTCTTGACCTAGGAGGGGGGGGGAGTCCCCCCTCCTAAATTTTGAGGTTATGTTCGTTTCAAGGCTCTGAATATAGCCGCAAGTCCCCTCCCCTCCCGCGCCAGAAATGACCTAAATTTTGAGGTTATGTTCGTTTCAAGGCTCTGAATATAGCCGCAAGTCCCCTCCCCTCCCCCGCCAGAAATGACCAAAATTTTGAGGTTATGTTTGTTTCAAGACTCTGAATATAGCCGCAAGTCCCCTCCCCTCCCCCGCCAGAAATGAACAAAATTTTGAGGTTATGTTTGTTTCAAGACTCTGAATATAGCCGCAAGACCCCTCTCCTCCCCCGCCAGAAATGACAAAAATTTTGAGGTTATGTTCGTTTCAAGGCTCTGAATATAGCCGCAAGTCCCCTCCCCTCCCGCGCCAGAAATTTTGATGTTACGTTCGTTTCAAGGCTCTGAATATAGCCGCAAGTCCCCTCCCCTTTTTAGTCCAGAGGCGAACATAACAGGGAGTAAAATAACATTATTAGGTCAATGATTTTGACCTTCCCAATTGAACCAAAAAAAAATTTTTAATGATATTTATTATTTATTTATGATAAATATAAAATTCACTTTATAATTTTGGATTTCGATAAATTAATTGTCCACCTAATAATAATTTATCCAATGGCATATAGTCTTCTGTATTCAAAGGCTTTACATCCAAAATATTGTTAACTTGAAGGAAAATACTATTATCATCTGTAATAATAGTAATATAATCTGTAATATAGTTATATAATTCTTACAAAATGTATATATGTAATGTATACCGCTTTCGGTTAAAACTCCAATGAGATTCAATTTTTGTCCTTGGGAAAAGTTAATTTCTTCCAAAACATTTGAAATTGATACAATTAATTTAAATTTGCCATTTGTAATGCTACCAAAATATTGAGTGTTTTTGATTTTATTCATTAATATAAATTCATCTCTTAAATATCCTCGAATTTCAATCCATCCAGTTGCTTTAGATATGTCTGTTTCATCAAAATTTATTTTATTAATTTCCCTATCACTATTTAAAATATTGAATTCCCCTAAGTCTATAATTTTGGTATTAGTTTTAAGAATAAATTCATATGGCATTGATCCTTCATTGTACGACGTTGCTGGTTTTACTGTTAAATTTTGAAGTAGTATTTTCTAAAATTAAAAAGTTAAATTATTAATAAATGTATATAAATGTTAAAAAACAGTTTTATGTGTAAAATAAGATTAATTAAAAAAGTTTTTTTTACTCTATTCGGTTTTATTATTGCTGAAAAATTAATGGCATCTTTGTTTCAGGAAGTACATGAGATTTTGGTACCATTATTATTATTTAATAAAAATTTGAATAATTGACATTCTTTAGAATCTGTTTCTAAATCCTTTTTATAAAAAGTTTTAATTTTATGAATTTGCTCTACATAACAGACAACGGATCTATAAATAATTAAAACAATTTACTTCGTAATCATTAATTATATCATTCAAACAAGTAAAAAATATTTTAATATTTTATTAAATATATAAAAATTTTTTATAACTTAAACTTAAAATTTAATAAAATTTCTTATAAATTAAGCATATAATTTATAGAAATTATAAATTATAATAATTATAAATAAATTAAAATATAATTATGTGATTAATCATTTACGATAAATAAATTCTATAATCTCTTTTCTATTTATTATTTTTTTATTATTATTATGTTTCGATAGGTCTTGAAACGATAATTTGTATAATTAAAGTATACATCGTTTCCAAGTTTTTAACCTATTTTTAAAGTGTACAGAACATAATTGGGTGTTAATTTTAATAAAGTAAAAATAAAACTAATTGCAAATTACAAAGCAGGTAAATTAATTAATTAGATTAAATATGAAATAATTAAACTATTTAGCATTTTTAGAATTATATTGAATATTATATCATATTATTAGAATTAAATGAAACAGACCACACTGCTAACCGAATCAAATATTCCAATATTCCAAAATTTTATTTTTTTGAATCAAAGAAAAAAATTTGGATAAAACGACAACAATTTTCTAAAGCTTTAGGTAGAATGAATAGCGTCAGCCCAAAAGACAGTGAAAGGTTTCATTTAAAATTAATTTTAAATAAATTTGTTGGAGCAAAATTATTTAAAGATTTAAGAACTTTTGAAGGTACAGTTCATGATTCATTTAAAAATGCAGCAATAGCTATGGGTTTAGTAGAAACAGATGTTCAAGTATTTAACATTTTTGAAGAAGCTTGCAATATTATGATGCCTTCTGAATTAAGAAAATTTTTTGCATGGTATCTTATTTCAGATAATTCACCTAATTTATCATGCACAATTTGGGATAAATTTAAAAAATACTTTTGTGAAGGGTTTAAAGATAATCATGAACAAAGAGCTTTACAAGAAATTAATGTAATTTTTAATTTGGAAAATTTATCATGTTCTGACTTCGGTTTACCGGATCCTAAATATATTGAAAATAATCAATCAATAGAAGAAAAAAAATTGTTTTTAAGTAAAAATAAAGAGATTGGTATAACTTTAATAAATCAATTAAATAACGATCAAAAAAATATTTTTGATAAAATTATTCAAAATAAAAATTCAATGATTTTTATTGATAGTCCTGGGGGAAGCGGTAAAACATTTCTATATAAAACGTTAATATATTATTATTTAGGAGAAGGTAAGACAGTAGTTTCAATGGCATGGACAGGAATAGCGTCAATTTTGCTTCCTGGTGGAATGACAAGCCACAGAACATTTAGATTGCCATTAGATTTTTCAAATATAGAAACTACATTTTTAAAATTAAAATCAGATAAAGAAAAATTACGAAAGTGTGATGTTATAATTTGGGATGAAGCTTCAATGATACCAAAAAAAGCTTTAGAAGTTGTTGATCGAACTTTAAGGGATTGCTGCAAATTAGAAGATTTACCTTTTGGAGGAAAATTAATGATTTTAGGGGGAGATTTTAGACAAATTTTGCCGGTTGTAAAACACGGTGGGAGAATAAATATAATTCAAGAATGTATTAAATATTCAAATTTATGGAGTAAATTTAAAATTATGAAATTGAAAAATAATATGAGATCTTCTAATTTAAATTGTTCAAAATTTTTATTAAAAATTGGAGAGGGTCAAATTGATTTATTGCAAATTCCTGAAAAGTGGAAAGCAACAGACATTTGTAAAAAAATATATGGTTCAGTGATTTCAGAAGATATTGATCTTTCTAATAAAGTAATTCTTTCAAGCCACAATGAAGACATTTATAATCTGAATAATAAAATATTAAAAAAAATTGAAAGTAAAGAAAAAATATATTACAGCATTGATTACGCGAAAAATAAAGGGATGGACCAGACAGACGATGACGTACAATTAAACTTTCCAATAGAATATTTGAATTCTTTAAAATTTCCAGGATTACCGGTACATAAATTAATTCTAAAAGTTGGAGCAATAGTAATGCTCATACGAAATTTAAGTATTAATGATGGCCTTTGTAATGGGACGCGATTAAAAATATTAGAATTATATAAATTCAACATAAAAGTTATGATAATTACAGGAATAAAAGCAGGCAAAAAACCAATCAGTAAAATATTTTATATAAATGTATATAAATATCACTTTAAATTCTAGAAATTCTTTTGAAAAATATAAGAAAGGAACGTATAGAAGTATGTAAGAACAATCATAAAGGTAATGTACAATTAATTAAATAAATGAAAGATAGGGGGGTTGGCTTTTGAGGTTATGTTTGTTTTAAGACCCTAATAAAGCAGTAAGTCCTTCCCCCTTCCCTCATCTCTCTCTGTAATAATAATTCTTTGAAATAGGTGGTTCATTTGGAAAAATAAGAACATTTAAAAAAAATGATTAAAACAGGGGGGTTGGCGCGCGAAGCGCGCAGGGGGGCGTAGCCCCTCTAGTATATATATATATATATCTATAAAATCTGTTAAAATCTGTTAGCAATAATTGTATTTTTTTTTTGACTTATTAAATCACAAATATTTAAATTGTAAGCAATGTATAAGTAATTTGATAATATAAAATATAAAAGATTATAACATATGATCACAGGAAACCGATACCATCGCAGGCTATTTTAATAATGTGTGCCTTGCTCTTGAGAAAGCTGGAAATTTTACAATTAAAAAAATCAAAAAGGAGGAAAATTATGGAACATTAGATAAAGAAAATCAAACTTGGAGTGGTGCAATTGGTCTTATTGTTAATAAAAAGATTGATATAGCTTTGGGGTTTTTCACAGCATTACCAGATGAAATTGGTATAATTGATTACAGTGCAAGATTGATAAGAGTTCAATATGTCATAATAATTAAAAAACCAGAAATTAAAGTTCTTGTCTCATGGTCAGCATATTTTGAGGTAAATTACAATTTTCTTCTTTTTTTCCCTTTAAAAATAGCAATTAATTATTTTAAAAAAATCAATACTTTACCAATTCACTATTTATATTTTTTCAAGCCTTTCACATTTGAAATATGGATGTCTACAATATTAATGTTTATAATCGTTCAAATTATTTGTATTTTTATGAAAAACAAACTACCTGCTCAATATTTTCAAAAGTCATCATATGCAGACGATTTTCTTAATATTTTTGGACTCTTCTGTCGTCAGGAAGTGACAAGTATACTATTATTTATTATCTAAAATTATTTTTTCCGCAAAATTTATAAATATTTGTAACAATAATTCTATTAAATTTCGCTTTACAGTTGCCACGACTGCAATATCACTTAGAATATTCTACATCTCAATTATTTTCTTCTCTTTTTTGATGTGGTCCATTTATTCGGCCAGTTTTGTTAGTCATTTAACAATCATTGACTCTAATGTACCGTTTAATTCTTTTGCCGAATTCACCAAAGTCAAAACACACAAGTTAATCGTCTTTCGAGAAACTTCAAATTACTACAAAGTAAAAGTAAGATTTTTTGGTGTGTATACAATTTTTTTGTTAGAAAAAATTTATCCCTATAATTATTGTAATTATTTTTTTTTTTAATTAGATTTTAATTCTCAATTTGAAATGAAATATTACACTTTTATAGGAACATTAATTGCAACTATATTTTTAAAAAATTATGTAATTACATTCTAAATCTGAATCAGTGAAAATTCCACTGGCGAATTAATGAAAACTGAGCCACTGATTTGAATTCTGTGCAATTTTCACTGATTCAGATTTAAAGTGTATATATATATAAAAAAAAATCAGATATTCAAATTTTTATTTTTCCAGAATTTCGAGTTCTATTAAAAATATTATTAACTAATAAAATTTTTATTTACTTCTTCGTGATGTGGTATAATTTCAAATATTCTATATAATATCGCTAATGTAAAGTAAATTTCTATGAATTTAAATTTCACCGGTTCATTTTTAATAGTTTTTCTATTATTTTAAGAACGCAACCGAGTCTCCCTTAAAAGAAGCATCCGAATTGCTTGTAAGTGAAAACGAACTACCGGAAACAAACGAGCAGGCTATAGAAAAGGTAAAAAAATTAAACAATTGAGTTTGTTGTATGCATTCTGATATTTTTAATGAATTAATATTAAAATTTATAAAAACCAATTGTATAGAGAAATATTGTGAATTATAAAATTTATATATTATTTACATATTATTATTTAAATAATAATATATTTGAGGTTTTGGTAGGGAATTCTTGTCAAAACTTTAAAATTCTTGTAAAACGATTTTATTTGATATTGTTAACAACACTTTATAAAGGAAAATTTTTTAAAAAATTTATAATTTCTTCACATTTTATTTAAACAGGGAAAACTGATGAGGCCCTTACCAATGTCTTACTTTAAATAGGGCAAAGTCGGGCAATTTCTGCACGGGTATAGGGTATTCCCTTATTTTTGCATCAAGTTATATTAAATGAGTAGAACAGGGAGATTCCTTGATAAACCAAACTAAATCATTTCTCCAAAATTTTAACCCAAAAATCATTTTTTATTTCAGAGAAAGTTTTAAACAACAAAAAAACGTCATTTGTCCATATATATCCTTAACAAATGGGTCAAACCATTATATTTCAACTAAAGTGGTCGCTGACTAATTTTTAAAAATTATAATACTTTGCAGGAATGATTTTGAAGTTATCAAGATCACGAAATGAAAAGAATTTTATTAAAAATTTAAATATTTATTGTAAAATATGAATTTAAAGTATATGAGGTGCTAAAAACTGTCAATTTTTTAGCCATTAGAAAATATGCAAAAAAACATAGAATTTACCATAAAAATAAAAAAAAATTATTGGAATTTACTAAGAATGAATAAATTTATCATTATCAATTGATATAATTATTTAAAAATGTGAAGTAATATATAAAATATGATTTCCAAGTGCACCTGTCAAATAACCTAATTTTGCGATTTTTATTCATTAATTATAAAAAATAGAAAACATTAAATTAAATAAAAACTTACCAAATATGAAGTTCTTGCCATAAACTTTTAGAATTTCTTTGCACTTTTCTTCTTTTCTATTCATAAGTATGAAAAATTTAAAAAATAAAATAGCTACTTTGTCTATTTTCACTATTTTTGAAAGTCAATAACTTTCTTGGAGAAAAATGAAAAAATATGGGGTTTCGAAAATTATTTAAATACACACTACATATACATTCACTGAAAATTTCGCATTGGTCCCGAAGCTATTTTCGAAGATAAAGTAAATTAAAAATTTCGTATTTTTTAGGCTATATTGACATGGGTTTTAAAGGTATTAAATCAATGTGAAGTTTGTCGTCACCAGTGAACCACCTTCACATTGATTTAAAATCCATGTCAATATAGCCTAAAAAATACGAAATTTTTAATTTACTTTATCTTCGAAAATAGCTTCGGGACCAATGCGAAATTTTCAGTGAATGTATATGTAGTGTGTATTTAAATAATTTTCGAAACCCCATATTTTTTCATTTTTCTCCAAGAAAGTTATTGACTTTCAAAAATAGTGAAAATAGACAAAGTAGCTATTTTATTTTTTAAATTTTTCATACTTATGAATAGAAAAGAAGAAAAGTGCAAAGAAATTCTAAAAGTTTATGGCAAGAACTTCATATTTGGTAAGTTTTTATTTAATTTAATGTTTTCTATTTTTTATAATTAATGAATAAAAATCGCAAAATTAGGTTATTTGACAGGTGCACTTGGAAATCATATTTTATATATTACTTCACATTTTTAAATAATTATATCAATTGATAATGATAAATTTATTCATTCTTAGTAAATTCCAATAATTTTTTTTTATTTTTATGGTAAATTCTATGTTTTTTTGCATATTTTCTAATGGCTAAAAAATTGACAGTTTTTAGCACCTCATATACTTTAAATTCATATTTTACAATAAATATTTAAATTTTTAATAAAATTCTTTTCATTTCGTGATCTTGATAACTTCAAAATCATTCCTGCAAAGTATTATAATTTTTAAAAATTAGTCAGCGACCACTTTAGTTGAAATATAATGGTTTGACCCAAATTTTATTCTCTATTATAAAATAATAGGGGAAAAATAACCAGTTCGTAAACAAACATTAAAAATATATGGGACGAAATCGAATTTTTTTTAATATCTCGGAAATTTTTGAACCTGGATCAAATCATGCCTAAAAAATCAAAGTTGTCCCACCTAGGTTTTCGATTTCGATGAAACTTTGGGCAAATGTAGTGAAATACATGCTAATGAAAAGTCCAAAAGCGATTTTTGAAAATTTTGGGATTTACAGGACTTTTAAAATTTTTTTTGAAATTTTGAAAAATTTGTATCTCAAAGAAAAACGAATCGATTTTAATGATTTTTTCAGGGAATACGTATTATTAGCTAACAATTTAGAAAAAAAATTTACAAAAAAAAAATTTTTTTTTTTAAACAAAAAAAATTAAAAATTATTGTTTAAACAAATTTTTCTTTGATAAGGGTATCTTTAATTTTTTTCTAATACTGATATTTCGATTCCTTAGGATCTCACGAGTATTTTCATAAAAAAAAATCGATGGAGACTCTTAAACTTTCCGAGATATTGAATTTTTTGTCTTTTCGCGCAGCGGCGAACTGCGCTTTCAATGCTAGTCGCTGTATGCAAGCTTGCTTGTAAATCTTAACAGAATTGAATATTTCCTCTTGGCTAATGATCAGTGATAAATATAAGAGAAATCGGGTCGTTTTTATTGCTTAATTATTAATTATTTATATTTTTAAATAAACAACTAACACATATTTATTAAATTCTTTAAAATTTTATTTTTTTTACAAAATGTAACAACAAAAACAATTGATAAACTATCCAAATGATTTAAACTTTGTTTTAAGGATAAATCCATTTTATTTACATATTAAAAAATAATTGTTATAAACAATTATTTTAAACAAATTTTTTTAAATTTCATATATTTTTTTTAGAAATTTTACTGTTTTTATATAAAAATTTTAATAATTTCCCTAATCTATCAACTTACTATAAAATTGTTTTTCATAATAAAAAAATTGTTATAAATAATTTTATAAAAAATTAAATTAACTTTTGTTTCTTTTTCAAGTTTACAATATTGTTTTTCAACAATAATTGTTGCAATTTTGTTGAACAATATATTGTAAACAATAAACAATGTAAACAATAATTTTTAATTTTTTTTGTTTAAAAAAAAAAATTTTTTTTTGTAAATTTTTTTTCTAAATTGTTAGCTAATAATACGTATTTTCTGAAAAAATCATTAAAATCGATTCGTTTTTCTTTGAGATACAAATTTTTCAAAATTTCAAAAAAAATTTTAAAAGTCCTGTAAATCCCAAAATTTTCAAAAATCGCTTTTGGATTTTTCATTAGCATATGTATTTCACTACATTTTCCCAAAGTTTCATCGAAATCGAAAACCTATAGGGGACAACTTTGATTTTTTAGGCATGATTTGACCCACCTATAGGTAAGTATATTAGGATTTTAGTTTCTATTTTTAATGGCCTATTTAATACAATAATAAAATTGTATTTTATTATTGTATATTAAATAGACCATTTAAAATAGAAACTAAAATTCTTATATACTTATAGAATTTTAGTTCATTGAATTATTCACTTATCTAAAAATAAAAATTAATTTCCTGTTTTCAGATTTGCAAAGAGAATATGGCTCTTTTTATAGACGACATGTTTTTGCCAATAGTGATCCACAATAATGTGGCAAATATTTGTAATCTAACAATAATTCCAACTGGTGAATTTGATGACTTTTCTTTGATTTTACATAAAAACAGTCCATATAGATCACCGATAGATTATTAGTGAGTATTTTTATTAATAATTTAAAATTATATACGTACTTCAAAAAAAAGGGAACAAATAAATACACATAAAGGAGAAATTTCACGTGAAATAGTTAAAGTAAAAAAAATGTTTCTTTTTAAACGTGGTCCTTATAGATAACCAAAAATATAATTAATTTTACTTTTTTTGATTTAAAGACACAATTTTTTTTAACAAAAGATAAGATTTTTTCCTTGATCACATCACTTGAAATCCGTCCTATACGTATATATTTCCCTTAATTTTATTTTAAAATAAAGAATTTTTTAAATTCAATATTGTTTTAGTATTCGAAGATTTCATGAAAATGGTGTATTGACTCTACAAAACTCGGCAATTTATAAGAATGTAAAACAATATTCATTTATTAACTTTTATAAAAAACATACACCTGTTACTGTTCTGGACGTTTCAGTAATTTTTACGATTTTGTTTTCAAGTGTCAGTGCTTCTATTATAATATTTTTCTATGAAAAATTTCATTATTGGGATGAAAGAACGAGAGTAATAAAAAATTTTCTAAGCAGAATACATCGATTGAAAATTAAAGTGTAATTAAATTTTTTTTTTTTTGAAAAATATTTTTAAATTTGTTATATAGTTTGTATAATAATAATAATAATTTAAAAATACATGCATTTAGTCATTTGAAAAATCCTTTATAGAAAACAAAAAAATTAATAAATAGGAGTTTTAAAATCTACCAATCAAAAATTATCAAGAAAATTAAAATTGGTGGATTTTAAAACTCCCTCTGAAATTTTTTATTTCATTTCCATTAAATGACAATGACAATTCACTTAAAAATTCAACAAAATAGAATTTCTGTTTAAGGCCATGTGGGCAAAGGACGTTTTTTTGTGGTTTCCAACTTTCTTTGAAATAAATAATGATTTTGGGTTAAAATATTTAAGACTTGATAAAGGAGGGTGCAAAGCATAAGGCGAAAATTCGATATTTTAAAATATCACTTTTATAATGGTTCAGTTAAGGGACCGTCCATAAACCACGTTGCCAGTTTAGGGGGAGGGGGGGGGGGTTCAGTGAAATTCTACGGTAAACTACGTGGGGGAGGGGAGGGGTTCGAGCCATGACTACGTAGTTGTATTTATTAAGTTATTTATTTATATGAATATAAAGTAGAATTTTTGTAAAATTAAATATGTATAAATTATTTTAAAATGATTATTATGAACTTGATGAAAATAAGAAAAATAATTGGGTCTCACGAATAATATGCCATGAAAATTATAAAATTGCATTTTTAGTGTTTCGAAATCACCTGCTTTTAGAAATATTACTTAATCAAAAGAAATTAATGCAAACAATATTGTAAACAAATTTTTATTAATTAAGAATTCTACAATTTACTAAATTTTCATTCATTGAAATTATTAATTAGCTATATTTTTATTTATCATAATTATTAGAATGAATTTCACTTTGTCGATTTTGCTGCCAAAACCAAATGGTAAATACATTATTATTTCATTTTAACAAACATTTAACTGGTAAGAATGTTTCAGTTAAACTTATTTTTATTAGAATTAATTTTTAATAGAAATTAAAAGTTATGTAATGTTAATATTATTAATTAATTATTCGAATTACTATATAATTTGAAAATTATATAACGTAAAATTTTCATTAAAAGTAATTTTTTCTTATTAAAAAACAGGTGTAATATTCTTACAGATGAAATTTTTGTTAAATAAAATTTAAATCCCTTCAGGTATTAAAAAGTGTGTAAAAGCATATTTAAGAGCATTTAATTTATTGAAAAAATCATTAGTATAAATTATTTATTATTATTTTATTATTATTTATTATTATTAGTATTAAAAATTAAAATTAAAATTTCTTATATGTTCTTAAATTGAATTCTCTTTATTGGAAATTGTTATCTATTCAATAGAAATACATTTTTAAATAAGTAAAAAAAAACTACGTTCTACCAGTGGGGGGGGGGGTTAGAGCGAAAGTCTACGTTGGACTACATGGGGGAGGGGGGGTCAAAAAGTGCCAAAAATTGGGCTACGTGGTTTATGGACGGCCTCTAAATAAAAATTCTATTAATTTAAAATATTAAAGTAAATAAATAAAATTAATTCAATAAATTCTTCGAAAATTAGGCTCATTATATAAAATACACTTTATCAAATTTTGCTTAAAAAAAATTCGATAATTTTTAATTCTTATCACAAAAATTAGGTCATAGATTCAATTTTGGTAGTATTTATGCGTCTTGAATCATTGAGTTAAAAGTAAATAAAAAAAATAATATAATTAGGAAATTAAATAGAGTAAGTGCATTAATTACGGCGCGTGCATAAAAAATAACTATATCATTATACTATTATATTTAATATAACAGTTGCAAAATGATTGTAAAAAATTATTTTAATCTTTTTTTGATACAATTACTAATAGAGATGCACATTTAAACAATTATAAATTTAATTATTTGAGATGAAATTTTTTTTCCACGCCGTAATTGAAACATTTTTAAGATTTTTAATTTTCTATTTCAAATGTGTTTTGACTCGAATCGCGCCATAATTAATGCATTTACCCTAGTAAAAATAATAAATTAATATAAGAAGCTAATAATATAAAAAGTTTTATCTAAAAATAAATGTTGATATTTATTATTATATATATAACACCCCTAAATAAACAAAAAAGAACGTTCCCTTAATATTCGATAATTGCATGTCACGTCTATTAAATTAACACATATTTTCTAGGACATGAAGACTACTCAATCATTTCCTATTTCGACAGAAACAAAATAATATTTACTAACCAATAAAAAAAAAATCATTCTCCGCTATAATTTTTCAAAAAGAACACATTTTAGTATTAAATGTATAATTCTTGAATATGTAACCAAAAAAAAAAAAAATCTCAAAATGAAACGATTAATTTTAAAAATTTTAAATATATTTTTAACAATTTTATTAACAAAATCCGATTCGTTAACTTCCAAGGACTATGTGAATTTAATTTCCGAAATTTCCAAATGGAGTAAATCAACTTCCGTAGCACTTTTACACTTTACTCGCGATGATGGTAAGTACACTGAGAGAAATGGATAGTAAGAATTTGATAGTAAAAAGAAAGATTGTACAAGGTGCTATCATTGTGTTACTGACAAGAATCTACTATCAACATTTTACTATCCAAGATGTTACCCAAAGACGTAAAATATGTTAGCTTTTGGATTGTAGTCACTACTATCAAATATTGTAAAAATTAAATGTGAGCGCATGCGCTGATTGTGGTGTATACTTCGCCTATTCAATTGCGGTCCTTGTGTTTTCACGCACGTGTTTATATATAGTGAAAAAAGTTGTGAATAAAAAAATGGACGAGTTTGTTAAAAATTTATTAATGTCGTGGAATATAGAATCTTTAATTCCATCTTTTGGAGGTAGGTTTATTATTTTGATTGAATTAGCGAAGACTGAAGTGTGAACGTGTTTATAACCTCAAAACAATTTTGCGTTGTTTAGACGGTGAAATTGATGAAGAATCGTTTTACTTACTGGACAATGATACAATATCACTCATTATACCAAAACCAGAACCTCGCTTAAAATTTTTTAAAAAATTTCAAGATTACAAAAATCAAGTAAGTTTTTTTTTCGTTTGTATAAATGTACATGAGTTTATTGAAATTTTTTTTTGGAAAAAAAACTTTTTCATATTTTTTCTTACTTTTTTTAAACTTAAAAATTAGTAAAATAATTCAAATTCAATTGACTCTGTGAAAAAAATATACCGTTTGATAAACATATTTATGTTTAAGCAAGTCCTTTTTATAGACGGAGTGAAAAAATAGACATACTCTTTTTTATGTAAAAAGTTTAAAGTTTAAATTCTTATCGAAATGTCTTATTACAATAAAATGAAATTATTTAAGTTTACAAAAAAAGCGAGGTTAGGTTCGTGTATATTTGCCACTCGAGAACGTAAAGAGATCGTATAAAATTTTTAACATCAAAGATTGTAAATTGTACAATCAAATTTCTATAATCATCTGATAGTAAATACTACAATCTATATCGCTGTCTGTATATTTAGCACTAAATATGGTTGCCCTTAACATCATTATGTTACCCAGTAGCATAAATTTCTCTCCGTGTAAATGTATATACAATAAATATTAATCGTTCTCTAAGAACCTCAAAAACCTGAGATACTTATTATAAAATAACATTAATTCACAATTTTAAATTCAGATTCAAAACTTATACAATTTTAACTTAAATTTAACTGCATTTCATTTCAGATTTGTATCAGAAAAATTTAATTTTTAACATGCAAATTCTTTTATTCAAAAAGAATATTATGGCTTCTGACATTAATTTAGAAATTTTAGCTTCTCTAACTGATGCAGATGAACGATATCATAATTTTAAAGGGTTGAGAAAGGATGACAATGCAATGAGTGTTTTTTTATTAACATCCCTCATTGATTTGAATGATATGAAAAATTTTACAAGATTCATTAATAGAACAAAAATAATTTATTTCGCTTTATTCATGGAGAGCAGAGATGATGCTTTAAAGGAAATTTGTTTGAATCCATACAGCAATCCACTTGGTTTAAATAAAGGAGTGTCTTTTCTTGTTAAATGTCACAATGATTTTATAATTCGCGAATGGCATTCAGTTGATGGTAAAGAAACAAAAATATACAATAGAGGCATTTGGAATAGAGAAACGGGATTTAATGAAACATCAGAAGAACAAATTCTCAATGATTATGATATTTTGAGTGGGAAAATTTTACAATCCATTAAGTCTGTGGTGAGATATATATATATATACATATGTGTGGGGCAAAATTTTTCAACTGATTCAACAAAAGTGTGAATAGTAGATTATTTGAGAAGTCACACTGAGAAATTATTTGGTTGTCACAACCAAATTTTGATTCGGACAATAAATGATCATTTGGTTTTTTAGACCAAACTATTTTGTTGTGTTAACCAAATTATTTTGTTGTCTTGATCAAATTTTGGTTGGAATTTAAAAATGTTCAACCAAATAATTTTCCCACACAGCACAACATCTTACACCAGGCCTACAGCAGGCTTACATGTAAGGTTTGTAAGGTAACATCGTAAGCCCATAGTAGACTTACAGTAAACCTAAAATGTCCGCCTTACAGTAAGCTTACATGGTAGGGTCGAGGTAAGCTTACATGGTAGGGTCGAGGTAAGCTTACACGGTAAGGTCGAGGTAAGCTTATGAGTAAAGGCTGTGGTAAGGTTATTATTAAGTTGTAAGGTTGAGGTAAGGTTGTGGTAAGCTTACAAGGTAAGGCAAGTTATATTCAAATAATAATATTAATAATAAATAAATATTCAATAAAAAAATTTGTCTTTTGCCTTATTCTATTTTGGGAACCTATCATTTCGCAGAAAGTTTTGAAAACAAATTTGGGAGGAGTAGGATTCGAACCCGGGACCGAAGTATATACCTAACAACCTAACCAACTGAGCTAAACGGGGAACTGACAATGAGAAAAGTAATCTTACTTTTAAAGTGGAACCAAGAAGATAATCAACTCCTTAAAAGCAAGATTACTTTTCTCATTGTCAGTTCCCCGTTTAGCTCAGTTGGTTAGGTTGTTAGGTATATACTTCGGTCCCGGGTTCGAATCCTACTCCTCCCAAATTTGTTTTCAAAACTTTCTGCGAAATGATAGGTTCCCAAAATAGAATAAGGCAAAAGAAAAATTTTTTTATTGAATATTTATTTATTATTAATATTATTATTTGAATATAACTTGCCTTACCTTGTAAGCTTACCACAACCTTACCTCAACCTTACAACTTAATAATAACCTTACCACAGCCTTTACTCATAAGCTTACCTCGACCTTACCGTGTAAGCTTACCTCGACCCTACCATGTAAACTTACCTCGACCCTACCATGTAAGCTTACCTCGACCCTACCATGTAAGCTTACCTCGACCTTACCGTGTAAGCTTACCTCGACCTTACCGTGTAAGCTTACCTCGACCCTACCATGTAAGCTTACCTCGACCCTACCATGTAAGCTTACTGTAAGGCGGACATTTTAGGTTTACTGTAAGTCTACTATGGGCTTACGATGTTACCTTACAAACCTTACATGTAAGCCTGCTGTAGGCCTGGTGTAAGATGTTGTGCTGTGTGGGTTGTTGGCCTAACCAAATGTTTGGTTGAGATAACTCTACGACTTTGTTTCAGCCAACCAAAATTTAGTTACAAGAACCAAAATTGCCTAACCAAACAATTTTGTTGCAAATACTAAATTTTTTTTCTTAGTGCGTAACTATATTATTACGGAGAAAAATAGAAAAATGAATAAAGTAACTTTTATTATATAATTTAAAAGTAAAACCTGAACTGTCCGGAGTTTCTGAGCATTTTTGGTAATTTTTACTCTGAAAATGATAAAATTTACTCCTGAAATAGTAAAAATTATTCCGGCAATAGTGAATTTTACTATTTTCGAAGTAAAAATTACCAGAAATGCTCAGAAACTCCGGACAATTCAGGTTTTACTTTTAAAATTTAGTAAAAGTTACTTTATTCGTTTTTCCATTTTTCTCCCGTGTATATAATAGGTTTAAAAATTTTTTTCATCTACACTCAGAAAAAAATTCGTTTGAAGCAATCAAATTTTGGTTAAATCAACAAAATAAATGCATTCATATACAGTTAACCAAACATATGAAATAACTAATTTCACCTAATTTTCAATAAAATGATTTTTCATTTAAATGAATTCATAAAAATCGCATTAATTAGGATTTTTATTTTAAATTATTTTATTAGAAATAATTATTTTTTAGATGAACTTTCAATTTTCGAATTAAAATTTACTACACTTTCTTTTTATACGAATTTTTAAACAACAGAAATTCTAACTCACCGAATTTTAATTTATAAGAATTTTTAATTGATAGGATTTTTAAGACACAGAATTTTTTATTTGTCCGAAATTACAAATTGCCGAAAAAACAATCGATTTGAATACAATTTTTAAAATTGACCAATCACGATTTTCTTGATAATTTCTAATTTGTTTGGACATTTGTAATTTCGGATAAGTAAAAAATATGGCGTCTTAAAAATTCTATTAAATAAAAATTCAGAAACATTAAAATTCGGTGAATTGGAATTTTTGTCATTTAAAAATTCAAATCACATAAAAATTCGATTGAACGAGAATTCTGTTAAATTAAATTTCGATTAAAATTAAAATTCTCTTAAATATAAAAAGTCATGTTAATTAAATGACTATAAAATAAAAATTCGTATAAAAAGAAATTCTGCCAAATACTAATTCGAAAAATGAAAATACGTTTAAAAATTAATTATTTCTAATAAAATTCTTTAAAATGAAAATTCTAATTAATGATTTTTATAGAATAATGGATTTACCAATCAAAAGTTAAAAAAATTTTTCATCCAAAATGCCCCATAAGTGGTACTCATCCTTATAGCTAAACTATGCGCTCAGCTCGATCTAAAAAAAAAAAAATTTCAATTAGATCACTTCAAGAATTTTGCCTTATATGTATATTTAAAAAAAATTAGTTGTTCTAATAATTTTTATCAATGTATAGGGGAATAGTGTCAGGGTTGGACACAGTTTTGGTTTTTTGTTTATAAATATTTTGTTTAGATAAATTCAGTCAATTGTGGTGTATGGGTGGAAAGATCTACAAAAGAGGAACACTTTTGCTGTGGACCGTAAATTGATTGGTCTAAAATTAAAAAAGTTATAAACATTTAAAAAAAGAAAATCTAGTCAGGGTTGGACTTTTCAGTCAGGGTTGGACACTTTTTGAAAATCGAAACGCATTATTGGTAAAAACGTAAAATAACATTTGTAATGTTTTTTATTCTTATTTTTTCATGTTTATCTTTACTTATTGTTTACAAATTGTAAAGCTTCATGGGTTTAAAAAAGGAATGAACTCAAATTACAAAAAATAACGCTTTATTGTTCCAAATAACTCAATGAAATGATGAACAAAATTTATACAATTTAAGTATTATTTTTCTAATATCTTTGGCACAATTTTGCACTGAAATATCAATAAAATAAAATTTATTTATAAATTGTGTCAAATTTATAATTAATATGGGTGTCCAACCCTAACTAGAAGTATCATTTTCGAATTGTGCTAACCATAACCAGACATGTGTCGCGATTCGATTTTTCACTTTTTTTCTTCTTAAATTATGTACCCCACAATACATTCAATAAGCTTACTTTGCAGAATTCCTGCTTTTTTACACATTTTTTAGGTTTATTCACAAGTCAAACAAAACTTTTTTTGTCTCTTCGATTGCACCGAAGTCATAGGAGACGCTACTTTTGATTCTCCAAAAATGTAATGCCACAAAAAGTTAGGTTACACTACTAGAAGATTCGTCACGTACGCACACAGGTGGTGCTAGTGTTCTTATATAAAAAAAGCCAAGTGTCCAACCCTGACACTATTCCCCTAGTAAAAAAATAATTAATTAATATTTACATATGTCAATTCCTTAGGATGATCATATTCAAGAAGAATATTTTGATAATTTAATTAAATATATAGAGAATGCTGGGAATTGTACAATTAAAAGATTCAAGTGGAAAAAATATTATGGTGTTTATAATCACAATATTTCTACTTGGAATAATGCGAGAAAATTATTTTCAAATGGAAGCCTTGATATTGGAATGGGATTTTTCCACTATTTACCAAAAAATTTTAAAGATTTTGATTTCTGTGAACCACTGGCAAAGCTTGAATATGTTTTTTTGATTAAACATCCGAAATTAGATATACACGTTCCTTGGTATGCGTACTTTAAGGTACACTATTATTTAAATATGCAAATTTAGTATATTAAAGAATTAATTTTATACAAATGCAATTATAATACATCATTTTTAATTGAACAGCCTTTCACATTTCAATCGTGGATTGCATTTTTATTTATAATCATAATTAGTCTATTGATTCAAATTTTCACAAATACCAAATTCAAAACAGATTTTAATAATAAGAACAGTATTGGAGACGAAATATTTTCTATTTGTGGAATTTTCTTACATCAAAGTATACCATCAGGTATAATTTTTGCTCAGAATTTAACAAAATGAAAAAATAATTTTTTTTTACAATCAAATTAAAAATATATTGTTAATTTTTTTTTAAATTAAAATAACTATTTCTTGATATTTTTTTACAGACTATCCAAAACCCGGAGCTGCAAAAATTGTACATTTTTCAAGTTCTATGTTCATTTTTATAATTATATCACTTTACACCGGAATTTTCGTCAGTAAGCTCACAAATTTTAATTTAGATATTCCATTTAAATCAGTCGAAGAATATGCGAATGTCAAATCACATAAGTTAATTGTTTTTAAACACACTGCCAGTTATAATACAGTAAAGGTAAGTATGTTATTTTAGAAATGCTTTAAAAAGAAAATATTTTTGGGGCACATGAATTTCCTATAAAAATCATTAAAAAAATATGTATTTGAACCAAATACATATTTATTAAACTTAAGTATTTTATTTTATCGTATCAAATAAATAGTTATTTTAATCCAATACAAAGTATTCAAATCAAATAAATGGAATATTCGGATTAATTAGATGAGGGCGAGCTGATTAAGAATCATCTCCATTTTTACAAGTAATTTTGTAAAAAAGTATTGAAAATCTTTAATAAAATAATTTCCTCACAATATTATTCGTATATATATATATATATAAAGTATATGTTACACCCAAAATGAATTAAAATTTTCTTAATTTTTCAAAAAATTAAATTAATTATAACAGTTTTCAACTCGAAATTTTTTAAATCAATCATAATTGAATCGAAGAAATTCATTCACTTTAGGTGAAATATAATAATGAATTTTGACTAATTATCATTTATTATATTAATAATATAATAATTTCCCATTAGAATTCAAGAACTCACGCTTGGAAAGAAATAAGTAAATTATTAATGGATAACAGTCAACAACCAAAAAATGCAAAAGAAGCTATGAATATGGTAAAATATTGTCATAGAATTGTTATAAATGTAAAATTAAAAAATGTCGCACTAATCGAGCGAAAAAAAACTATTTTTTTGTAATAAAAAATGCAATATTTTTTATTTTTTTTATTTTAATATCAATTTATAAATCTAAAAAAAATTAATTCAAATATTTTGTTTCAGATTTGTTATGATAATATAGCATTATTCACAGATGAATTGTTTTTACAAATGATGTTCAATAACAAAATACAGAGTTCATGTCAATATATTATAATTCCAACTAAAATAAGACATCCTGTTACATTTATTTTACGAAAAAATAGTCCTTATACCCAAACAATGCGACAAATGTAAGATATATCATTTATATTTAATTTTGAACATGAACTTAATTTTTTTTTCTAAATAGTTTCAGGATATGTCCAACATGTGAAATGTAAACAAACCATGCACATTTTTACGCACTTCTTATTTGCGTAGAAAATAAAAATTTGTCGTTTTCTTTGTGAAAATGGTAAATTTATATATTAGACTAGGTAACTATACTTTATTGAACTAATTATGTGAACAAATAAGTATAATTATAATGAAATGAAAAGTACACTGAAATACCTGCTTTTGAAGGTTACGAAAAATTTAAGCATTCGAGTATATCTGAGGCACGGACGTTGAGGACCTAAGTGGGAGAAAGTGAGAGAAGGGATGTGTCTGTCCAATGGCTGAACTCTTTCTCCCACCTAGGTGCTCAACGTCCGTGCCTCAGATATACTCAAATGGTTTTTTTTCGAAACCTTGAATTTTCCTTAAAAATTTATGTTTAATAAATAAATAAAATAATATTTCTTATATATATGGATAAGTCGCACAGACAGGAGCCATAGGTTAAGTTTCATTATGTTAATACAAATGTTATAACTTTTGTAAAACTTTAATTGATATCAATAAACTAATTCTAATTCTAAAAAAAAAAAATTCGAAACCTTGAAAAAATTGCTAATTCAATGTACTTTTCATTTCATTATAATTGTACGAGGCGCATGATTTTTCCCAAAAATTAAAAAGGTCGAAAATTTAATTGATCGAATTACATTAAGTCGATATTTTATTTGAACGAAATTCTAAATGATCGATATTTAAAATGGTCAACATTTTATTTGGTCGATATTTTATTTATTCGAAATTCTAAATGATAGACATTTATGAAGTTCGACATTTTATTCTGTCGATTTTTTATTCGGTCGAAATTCTAAATAACCGACATTTATGAAGGTCGACATTTTATTTAGTCGATATTTTATTTGATCGAAAATCTAAATGGTCGATATTTAAAGTGGATGACATTTTATTTAGACGATATTTTATTTGGTCGAAATTCTAAATTATCGACATTTAAAGTGGTCGAAATTTTATTAGTTAGATATTTTGTTTGGTAAATATTCTAAATGAACGATATTTAAAGTGGTCGATATTTTATTTGTTCGATATTCTAAATGATAGAAATTTAGAAGCATCGAAAATTATATCCATCGAAATTTAATTTGGTCGATATTTTAAAAGCTCGACACTTTTTTAGCTATACGAGTTTCCTTTCTATATAGTTTGTCGGTAAAGTACATTGAAATTTTGCGGGAAATTTGAAATTATTGATGTAAATAATAATAACAACATAGAGAGGAAACTCGTATAGCTAAAAAAATGTCAAGCTTTTAAAATATCGACCAAATTAAATTTCGATGGATATAAAATTCGATGCTTCTAAATTTCTATCATTTAGAATATCGAACAAATAAAATATCGACCACTTTAAATGTGGATCATTTAGAGTATCGACCAAACAAAATATCGAACTAATAAAATTTCGACCACTTTAAATGTCGATCATTTAGAATTTCGACCAAATAAAATATCGTCTAAATAAAATGTCGACCACTTTAAATATCGATCATTTAGAATTTCGATCAAATAAAATATCGACTAAAGAAAATGTCGACTTTTATAACTGTCGTTCTTTTAGAATTTCGACCAAATAAAATATTGACTTAAAGTAATTCGATCAATTAAAATTTCGAACTTTTTAATTTTTGGGAAAAATCATGCGCCTCAATTGTACTTATTTTTTCATATAATTAGTTAAAATAAAGTATAGTTACCAAGTGTAATACATTAATTTACCATTTTCATAAAGAAAACGACAAATTTTTATTTTCTACGCAAATGAGAAGTGCGAAAAAATGTGCATGGTTTGTTTACATATCACATGTTGGACATACCCTTAATATATTCTATAGATTTTTTGTTTCTATAATTAAGGTTATGTGATTGTTGATGATTTCATATGTATAAATATTCTCTGTAGGTTTTCTTGTAAATTAATTGATAGTTTCAACTAAAATTTTGTGGAGAACTCAAAAATAATATAAAAATTTATTGTAATATTTCGTTGAAAAATTTATTCTTGAAAAATTTGAATATTTGGGGAAATGGCTAAAATTATACTGCCTTTATTTTGAATTTTCCTCAAATATTCAAGTTTTTAAAAATAAATTTTTTTGACAAAATATTATATAATAGTCTGGCACATAACAGAAATTTCTTATATGTACTATTTTTGAGTTCTTTATACAAAATTTTACCTCAATGTATAAATTACTCAACATATGAGAAATACAAAATCACAACCTTAAGTTGTTATTTTACTTTCCTAGTAGGATGGAGACTGAGGACAGTTGAAACAAATGAAATATATTTTCAAAACGGTTAATATTAATGGGGGGTCTAAAGGATAAAAAATAATTAGATTCCATATTGGAACTTATTGCGAACAACTTTAGTTTTCCAATTCGACTTATACACGTAAAAAATATAAACTAATTTTTTGGCAGAGTCAAAATTACGAATTTCACAACTTAATTTTTTTTTCAATAATTAAAAAACTTTTGTAGGTACCTATTTTACAAAAAATCAACTGTACCCAATCTCCCCTATAAATAAAGAATGAAAAATAAAATTAAAAAATGAAAAATTTCATTGTTTCAGTATAAAGAAATTGAAAAATTTTGGAATTCTCAATCGTATGGGAGAGAAATTGTTTTCAAAACGTAATTACCAATTTCTTCCAACTACAAATAAAGCAAATTTAACTATTTGGGATATAGCATTACTTCTTGAGATAATATTTAGCGGAATTTTTTTATCTGTTTTAATATTATTCCTTGAAAATTTGTACAATTTTTATCGAATGAAAATAGTGAAAATAAATAAGAATAAAACTAAAATTCTTTTCAAACAAACTAATCGCCTGATGAGACACATGAAATCTTAATATATGTATATATTAAAGAAAAATATTAATACATCGATCTGTGGTGACCAAATATTCAAAAAAACATTTCCAAATCATTGGAACGTAGTTTTTAAAAATAATTTTTATTATTTAAACAGTTTTTGTAAATTGTTTATTTATAAAATGTTAATAAAAAACAATTTTCTTTGTGTTCTATATGTAAATTTTAAAAATTATTTTATATTCCGCATAAATTTTTGAATATAAAACCGTTGTGAAAAAAATGATACTCATTTGAAAAAAGTTAATTAATAAATTATTATTTAATTTTGTAACAATTGAATATATAATTAATATTCTTTATTGAAAACAATGCGCAATTAGCATTCAAATTTATACTCTTTAAGTTTGAATTAGTAAAAATTTGAAATTAATTTAAATAAGTAAAAAGTGAGTCACCAAATAAAATTAGTTAACATTTTTACTAATTTAGATATAGAGAATACATATCTCATTATACACGTAATTATTATTTATTAGTGATGTTATAAAAATATTTGTAATCCTAATCATATCAGGAATAATTTTTCCTTGATTAAATGTTTCCGTTTATTGTTAAATATACATTGTATATAATAATAGATCCAATAAATATTTATTAAACAAATTTGAATTTATCTTATACATTATAAAAAAAAAAAACATTGATACACCTATATGGACTGTTTTAATTATATAAATGTGTATAAAAAAACCAAAAGAATAAGCTAAATTTTATTATTTGTTAATTAACAATAAAAAAATTTTAATTTACCGTTTGTTTATTATCTAAATATTAAAAAATTTCAGTTTTTTTTTAGTTGAGTATTTGAGTAGTAGTTAATGTAATTTTAAAGAATGCTTTATAACTAATTTGTTCATTAAAAAGGTTAAATAATTTATAGTATTATAATTTGTTATTTATTATTGCTAATTAATTATAATTGCCAATATAATAATAATAATAATAATTTTTTTTTTTTTTTTTGAGAGAGGAGGAGGTGAAATGCTTTATGCACTGCCTGATCTTAGGTCTCTGTGGGACTGAAACGATCCTGCCTTCTGCAGCCGCCCTTACCGCACCAAAACACCCCCCATTCACGCCTACCAAGTACCCCCGGTCTCCGCTTACGCATTTCTTCAGGGGTAAAGGTCATCGGCGACTCTTAGCCGTACTTCGGCTCATCTCTTTCCTGCTTGGATTTTCTCTTCTTTCGAGTATAAATAATACTTATTTTTAGTCATAAATTTAAAATCTGTGTATTCCATGTCAGTAATTAAAATAAAAACTCTTGCTTAGTTTGCTTCGTATCCTGAATGTTTTTGTTTTCTCTTTCTTTTATTTCATTTGGTCAATTTTCTTTTGTCGGAGGATGTATTCCGTAAAATTAGCTACTTTTAGCCAAGCGTCCTCTTTGCTAATCATTTTTTCCACTATATTATCAGGGTTTATCCTGCCGATTTCATTTTCCAAAGAATTTCTTTCGTTTTTCCATCTATTACATGTGAAGAACGTATGTCCGACGTCGTCCTTTCTATTTTTGCAATATAAACAATTGGGGCTTTCTGCTTTACCTATCTTATATAAGAACGCCTGAAAATATCCGTGTCCAGTTAATAATTGTGTCACAAAATAATTTACTTCTCCGAATTTTCTTTTTGTCCATGGGACAATATTTTTAATCAATTTTGCGGTCCATCTACCTTGAGTTGCGTTTTCCCATCTTGTCTGCCATATGTCCATCGTGACTTTCCTGGCTTCGTTTTTAGCTGA